AGGCTCATCGACCAAAACACAAGGTGTTGTGAAAGGCAATCAAAGAACTCTCTGAGAAAAGAGCTCGTAAAGGAAAAGGGTTAGGAGATACCCAAGATGAGAATGTTATGCTTGCCATATTACCCAAAGGCAACAAAAGTGTATAGCCAAGCTGGTGGGAAGGAAATGCTCGGTGCAGTGCTATCTAGATGAAAAGCCTTTAGAAGTTTTATGGAGCCCAGGTCTCCATTGTGTCCGAAGGTTTTCTGAAGAGCCAGCTATTATCTGTCCAAATACAAGATGTTGAACAGTTACTTGGTTCCAATGGTTCTCTTAGTTTGCAAGCAGTAAATGGAACTGATATCCCATAATGTTGGTGGGCAGAGATTGGTGTGAGGTTATCAAACGAGAATGAGGCAGAGGTAAGAGTTCCATTCTAAGTAACGAAGGAGGAAATTGAACAGCCCATCATTGGTTGTAATGTCATAGAGCTAATGGTCAAGAACACTGAAGGCGAGGTGGATGGGGAAAAATTACCAGGAAGGACGATGAGAAGCTTCCACCAAAGTAGAGATAGTGACACACAAGCCTTGATAAGTATCATACGTGCTACTAATTCTGATGAGCTTTGCTTTGTTAAATCCGCTAAGAAGGCACATACTATCCCTGCTAGACAGACTATTCGTTTACCTTGTCGTGCCAACACTGGACCAGATGAGTTGGCTACCTGGCCTTCAGGATTAGAAGTACATAAATCCCTTACAACTATAAAGGAAGGTGATGTTACCATATTATCCATCAACGTGACCAACAACACCAATCACGACATCGCTCTACCCAGAAGAGTGGTCCTGAGTGGTCTCCTTCGGTTAGTTCACTCGGTGACTCCTGTTGGAGTGAGATTCAAGAATACAGAGACACAGACTCCAGACAAGGAACTGTCCTGCGAAGAACATAAACTAACTGAGAAAATTGAGAGTAACTTGTCTTAGTCACCAGAAGTTGATTTGAGTGGACTGACAGCAGAACAAAAGGAGCAAGCAAAGCAGTTGTTGTTGGAAGAAGCAGAAGCATTTGCGATGAGTGACAATGATGTTGGCTGCATCTCAGAGTTAGAAATGGATATTTAAGATGACTAGTGACCAGCCAGTTCAGAAGAATTACTTTTCCCTAACCCGTCCGTTTTATCCAGAAGTTAAGGCTATATTGAGGACCTGCTTAACCGAGGTTTTCTTCAGGAAGTTTACATCCCCATTCTCAAGTAGTGTTGTATGTGTCCGTAAGAGACATGGTGGAATGAGACTATGTATAGATTACCGATAATTAAATAAGAAAACTGTGCCAGACCGTCACCCGATTCCTCGTATCCAGGAAGCTCTGGACAGTTTGGGGGGCAAGTCGTGGTTTAGTGTCCTGGACCAAGGTAGGCATTCATGGGAAAGTACTGTCAACCATTGACAGCCCTTATCACACCGTGGGGGTTGTAAGAATGGGTTCGGATACCCTTCAGACTGATGAATGCGCCTGCAAATTTTCAGAGATTTATGGAGAATTGCCTCGGGGAGCTCCGCGACGAGACATGTATTCCTTACTTGGATGATGTAATAGTATTCTCAGTAACATATTCTTAACACATTGAACACCTTCGTAAAGTTCTCTGTCGCTTGAAGAGTTATGGTGTAAAGTTAAAACCTAGAAAGTGTGCATTTTTCAAACGTGAAGTGCCTTTCCTTGGAAGAGTTATCTCTCAGGATGGGTACCAAATAGATCCCAAAGCCACATGTGCAGTGATTGCAATGACGAACTTAAGACCACGAACAGTTGGAGAAGTGAGAAGACTCATGGGTCTTCTTGGTGTGTACCGTCGTCATATCAAACATTTTGCACAAACAGCGAAACCCATTTATGATCTTCTCAGCCTTGACCTGCGAAAGAAGAAGAATGTCACCTCCACTAAACATAGTCCAAGGGGAAACAGTGGGCAAGTATCATCTTCATCACCAGTGGAGTGGGAGACCCAGCACCAGTCAGCATTAGAGGTCTTGATAGATCACATGACGTCACCCCCTGTGCTGGCGTACCCAGATTACGATGCACCATTTATAGTACATACTGATGCGTCACAGGATGGCCTAGGTGCTGTTTTGTACCAAAAACAGAATGGCTCTACACGAGTTATCGCCTATGCATCAAGAACTCTGACTCCATCAGAACGCAACTATCATATGCATTCAGGCAAGCTGGAATTCCTAGCCTTGAAATGGGCAGTGACAGAACAGTCCAGGGATTACCTCTACTACACCCCTGAATTTGTGGTATACACAGACAACAATCCCTTAACTTATGTGTTAACGTCTGCCAAACTAAATGCCACAGGATTGAGGTGGGTTGGAGACCTCGCGGACTTCAACTTTGAAATACGGTACAGACCAGGCAAGTGGAACACTGATGCTGACAGTCTTTCCAGGATACCTGCTGACTTCAAGAACTACATGGATAGTTGTACTGAGAGAGTAGTTCCTGAAAGCTTGCAGGCCTCAATCTGTGGAATTCAGACATTATCAAGTGGGGACTCAATTTGGTTGATGGCCCTGACTGATGACGACGGGGAGCTCCATCAGGTAGACATTCCATCACAAGCAAGCTGCAATCAAGTAAAAGTGGTGGATATAGTGAGAGCACAGAAAGAAGAACCTCACACTGGGCGCGTCCTGAAAGTCATCAAAGCAAACCAGAAGCCGACAGTTGGGCAGAAACAAAAATAATCGCCGTTGGTTCGCAAGCTCCTGAATGAGTGGCACAAACTTCATGTAGACAAGAAGAGTGGCATCTTGCATCGTAATCAGAATATAGTTCTACCACAGAAATTCCGACGCACTGTATACCGTGAACTCCATGAAGAAATAGGTCATCCTGGTGACGAGAGGTGCTTGCATTGACTCTTGAGAGATTTTATTAGCCTTACATGAGAAGGGATATAGACAACTTTATCCATCATACATGCCGCTGTCTGAAACAGAGACGCCCAAATCTACCAACAAGAGAGCCATTGCAGCCAATTGTCCGAACAGCTCCTCTTCAAATGCTCTCCATTGACTTTGTACGCCTAGAGCGGAGTTCAGGGGGCCACAAGTACATTCTGGTTGTGGTAGATCACTTTACTAAGTATGTTCAAGCATACCCAACGAAGAAAAAAACCGCCGTTACTGCTGCAGACAGGATCTTCAATGACTTTATCCCGCGTTTTGGATTTCCAGAGAAACTCCATCATGGCATGGGAGGGGAGTTTGAAAATGGTTTGTTCGAGCGGTTAGAGGAATTTTCTGGAGTCATGTATTCTAGAACTACCCCGTATCACCTACAAGGGAACAGTTTGGTCGAACGGATGAATCGCACGCTACTAAATATGCCACGAACTCTCACTGAAACTCGCAAATCCAGTTGGAAGGACCATGTAAACAAGCTCATTCATGCATATAATTACACTGTTCATGAGTCAACAGGTTACTCTCCGTTTTTCCTGTTGTTTGGTCGAAGCCCACGATTACCAATTGATGCAATCTTTGACCCCAACCAGAAACAGGAGCCAGATCACATGCTGAGTATGTGACTAAGTGGAAGACTGCCATGAAAGAAGCTTACTCACTCGCATTGAAATCTGCCACGAAAAGTGCTATTAGAGGAAAAAGGAATTACGACAAACGAGTGAGATCTTCAGCACTGCAAGTGGGAGATCGTGTCCAAGTCCGCAACCTCACCCCTTGCGGTGGACTTGGAAAACTCCGTGCCTTCTGGGAAGATGAGATTCATGTGGTGATTGCAAGAAAAGGAGAGGGAAGCCCTGTGTATGACGTGAGATCAGAATCAGGCCTTCCCGACATCTCACACCATTGCCTATCACCGGGAAATGATGGCAATGATCAATCCCAGATACAGGTACAGTCTGCAAGCAAAGAAGCAGTGGGAGCAGAACCAAACCCCCCAAATGTCAATTCTGATGAGGTGTTAGGCCAAATTGAGGCAAGTGCTATCATCACTGATTCTCCTGATGAAGTGCCAACGACTGAAAACCCTCAAGCCATTGGTGGAGAAACAAGCATGGAAGAGGATGCTAGTAACCAAGGTCGCCCTCAGCGGGCAAGACAAGGACTAACAGACTAAGGACTAACATCTGACAGTCTTGGGAACCCAACCTACGTACGAGAGATTAATGCAGGACCACCTACCGAGATAAACCAGGTTGGAATACCCTCGCCAGTACCCTGTATACCTGCGCCACCAGTAAACCAGTACAGTATGCTGCCACCACCAATGACCAGTTTCACTCCACCTGCGGTACCCATGATGTTCTGGAGGGCAAATACGATGATGCCGTATGGGATGCCCTATCCAGCAGTGCTTCAGTTACCACAATGGGAAATGCCACATCAGCCATTCCAGTACAGACAGACAATAACCCGTGTACTACATTCTTGTTGCTCAGAGAACTTAGAAACAAAAATGTAGTTTACTTTTGTGTATTTAAACATTCGTTTCATGAATGCTGAGAGAACTATCCAGAGATGGTCTTTGTGATACAGTATCATGAATAGTCGTGTGGTCAGATGAACTGTGATAGTTAGTGGTCTGTAAGGAGCTGGGCCTGATCACCCCACTCTAGGATTTATGTGTTGAACAATCCTAATACACAAGCCACTGTTGTAGAGGAATATTTTGTATCGCATGCTAAATGTCACGAATGACGTTTCTTTTTCAAGTTAGGGGGAAGTGTTGAGCAGTGAAATAACGTTGTTTCCTAGAGGAATTTATATTAAGTGTCAGGCGTTCGCGCGGAAAGGACTGGACATCCTGGTAGATGTCATATGACGTAAGAAAAAAACATGTGCTGGAGAGAACCGAGCAATAAAAAAGTTATGAGGATAATCTTATGTTCAGTTGGTAACGAATACACGTGGAAAGCCTAAAATCGTGTGGGTATTGTGTAACTTAACACCAGATGCGCCACAACCTTCATCGGCTTCTTAAGCTCCACGTTTTGTGTTAGGGCAGGGTAACTGCGTAGACGTATGCTTTTCTTTCCGAACAGAATTCCGATTGGCTCCACCATGCTGCAGTCCTCCTGTCCCCTTATTTGAGAGGCTCTCTTGTATTGCAAAGTTATTTACAGAATTCCTATTATTCGACAAACCTAGACAGTAGTTGTTGTCAAGTTTCTTTCCTGTTTTACCTGTATTTTGGTCATCTTTGCTAAAATTTTTGCCATGGATTCTGTTGTTTCCAGAATAGCTTTGATCCTGCACTTTACTATCGCTATTGGCAGCTACATCTTGGCTATCACCTACATTTGCGCCATTACTCCGCCTAGAAGTAAACAGAGCTAAATATGAGTCAAGTAATTAAATAAACTATACTACTGACTCAATTCAAGACAAAATTGAATTTAAACAGCCGTTGAAATTGAACTGCAGAGGCACCGATCATTATAAGGATATCTTTTATAAGTAAGTGAAGTCCACTTACGTAGACAAAAGCTATATTTATCTATAATCAATTCCTAAGGAAGTGAATTTCAAATTTGACTGAGTAGTATGAACAGATGAATAAGAAATGACTGAATAATTCAAATAAAAAGGCATTTAAAATAATTTCATACCTTTTGCACCAGATAAATACGCAAGCGATAATGATAACGATAACTATTCCACTTGTGACTGTTCCGGCTGTTATTGAATCAATGGTTCCCTTTTTCGACGACACTCCTTTCGCAACCTCCTCTCCATTGATATCCTTGGGGAGTTCCGTATAATTACAAAATTTTTCGAATGATGGAGGGTTACAATTTACATATATAACCTTGTAACCACCTAAATGTTTGCTGATAAAGTACACACTCTTTTGCACGATATAATCCAAAGTGCTGTTTTTAATTACCATACGGGATGAATTGGATTGGGTTCGAAGAATGAGTGAAAAAACCACTTCAGTATGATTCAGAACTGAAGACTCTCCGGGTTGCTTTAGGACTCTGATCTGAGCTGAACTGGCGTTGGAATCATTTGGAAAGATGCTGCATAACTGCTTTGCAATGGTTGTGTTTCTGTCGAGAAGGAAAGGAAATCACGATGTTTTACATACCTTATGCTAAAGCGTGATCATGTGGTGGTTGCACATTACTTTATATTCAAGTTCCACATTCAGGTGCACTGAGTCAGAGCAGTCAAGCACACTTGGTCACAGTGTTGGGTTACCTCTGCCCCCTTGTCAAGTGAGGCAGTCACTTTAATTCGTCCATACGGGAAATAGCTTTAATGCTTCCTTTTTTCTAATTATCAATGGTGTTTTCGGTCTGATGGGCATGCCTTCCCATGTTGGGTTTCCATAAATATTACTATATAGCAAGAAAATTTCAAACTATAACGGTAATATACCAAAACGGAAATAATTTCATTTCCACAAACAGTGTTTGCAATACCTTGATTTGTAACTGCATGTATCCTCAAAGCAGTAGTCTTTTATCCCTTTCACGACTGCTTGTTTAAATTTCTCTTCCTCCCACTGATGAACATATTTTAATACATCCTTATAAGTTATTAAAATAGACAAAAAGGAGTAGTTTCTTCAACCTACTTATCTTATAGTAATATCGATACTTCGACCTTTATTCAGTAAACCCATTGACTGCCCAACCTTAAGGGACTCTGCTTAGGAGTTATGTGCCCAACAGACCGTGCCTGGAGTATTTAGGCCACAACTGCTTAGAAAAGCTGAGAATGACCTCTCATGTGATGACGTTTGGATCACCCTTCAGCAGCAAAACAAATTCCAGATAGTTCAAGGAACAGATTTAGCTGCAATGGCCAGTGTTACTTGTAACAGTATCATAGAAGTCCAAAAGAGCAGACAATTGTGTCCGAGCGGAAGCAAAAGACACCAGCCATTAATTTTTCGCCAGGAGCGGGAGATGGAGGTGAGGGTCAGAGGATATTTTTTTTTGTTACGATGAAATGTACTTCAAAAGAAAATTAGAATACCTCTTCCATTTTCATTTCCAATGTAACACTGACAGCCACCAGATCTATTTAAAAAGAGATTTGATTTGGCTGATTACAACTGGTGAACCAATATCTTTGTGGGTAATGCAATGATAATTGATGGTTCAAAAATGTTTGTTTCGTTCTTTTATTTTCAGAGAAAATAGTGGAGTACCGACTTTGAGTGCCTCTTGGCTACTAAAGTTTATAGTTTAAAGTTTCATACAGGGTTAAATTAAAAAATCGGAGTAGGAAGAACAACAAACAATTTCTACTTACTTAGAGGTTGCCTTGATCCGTCTAATACAGTAATTCCATGTATTTCAGGGAAAGACAGGTCGAGATTTCCAAGATATTCTAGGCTTGTTTTGTCCACCAGCCGAATTTTTTTTGCTTTTTTATCAGACAAGTAGACAGTTCCGTTGTGAAGTGCTATAGCGACCGGAAGACTGTTAGTTATTTTTTTTGATAGTTTTCGATTGTGTCCGTCCAGATCAGCTCTGCCGACCACACCGGTGCCCGGACCAGCGTCGACCCAATAAATTGCGCTCTTTGAATCAGCGTAGTCCACTATTACGCCATTTACCCACTGCAAGGGAAAACTGGAACTCGTTTCCACAATGGTGACCCTTTCCTTCCCGTCTAAGGTGGCTCTCTCAATTTTAGGACTTGAACCCCAATCTGTCCAGAAAATGTACCTGTAGGATTTGATTCGTCAATTCTGTGTTATTCCTCTTGTCAACAATTAATTTCAAGGTGTTAATATTGTACTAAAATCCCTGATTATTTAACGAGGAGCAGTACAGTTAGCAAATAGTTGTTAAAGCGATTGGCTGACCTATCCTGCTGAGAGGCAGTTACGGCTCCATATCAGTAGTGTTCTCTTTTTGTGATAAAGAAATAACCAAAATTTCAAGGACATGCTACGAAAAATGTGTCACGTTGGTAGTCGAATGATCCGTTTTTATTTTCCTCATTTGTTTCCGAAGAGGCGACTTGTGCAGCAACTCTCTTACGCCATTAGTGCAAATTGTACAAAACATGTAACAAAGAAACGTGATTCACCACCATTGGAAAAAGTGCACTTTAGTAGATTTTATATCTGCAATACCATACCCTGAAGTGTTAAGAACACCGTCTTAAGTAAGTAGATAAACAAAAAGAGAAATAACAAAGAAGAAGAATTAAAAAAAGGTCTACCTAAAATTGAACACTAGCTATATCGAACTTCTCAGTTCGTGAGTTGTGGTTTCAACACTTAAAGTATATATGACTTCTCCTTACTCACCCATTGATCGAATCAACAGCTATACCTCGAGGTTCGTCAATGTCTCGGTCAAACAGTATCTTTCTGTCACTTCCGTCAACCTTCGCCATTTCTATTCGGTTGTTGGTTGCATCCGTCCAAAATATGTCTTTGCTAATCCAGTCTATGGCTATTCCTTCCACTCTACCGACGCCTTTCGTCACATTTTCTTTTATGTTCGTCTGAAGATCCATTCTTTTGATGGTACCACCCCCAAAGTCACTCCAGTAGATGTAATTGTCCTCCACGTCCACTGCAATGGCAAAGACCCGTCCAATATCTTGCACTACAACACTAAAAGCGGTTTTGCCAGCGGACAGGTTGATACCATTTATGGTATTCCCAACGCTATGGTACAAGCATGGCTCTTCACACGCTGTGAGAAGAGGAGAATAGCTAATTCAAAAATTCCACAAGATAACCGGTGAATGGGAAGCAGTACAGTAGAGAAAAACAAATGAATTTGTCATCCGCCAGATCAAATCGAACAGTTCTGCATGCGGGAATAAAACTTCCCCACAAAAAGTCGCTAAACCCAATGAAATAGCCGTCGATATGAAAATCGCTTGCGTAAGGTGTATACAAAGAGCTTATCAACTTTCAAGAAAGAGTAGTTATCGATTTACACGTTTAATTAAACTACTGAGTATTTCATGCAAATATAATACGACTTATTGCGATTTATAATAACCGAGATACGACGAGCGGCCTGATCGGTCAAGAACGCTATCGTTTATTGGACCGGTAAACCTATATAGAAGTGCAACAGATTTAACGAGAGTTCTCTCAACATCCCGCCCAGGTTTTCAGTAAACCAATAGAAGGGGCGTTGTATTGCTTCATTTTCAAGCACTTCATTTATGATAGTTAACGATTACTACGCTAAGCCTTCTTATTGTGCAAGTTTGCTCTTAAAAATTCCTTTCCTCCATAAAGGTTTGTAAATAACACAGTGAATCAGTGCAGTTACCAAAACACACTTTGCGACGAGAATTGACTAAACTGGTCAACAATTCAGGTTAAAATGATGAAGTAACTTACCATGGATGATTTTGCAATGACGCCATAACAGGAGAATTAAAAATAACTTCAATCTCTCCATCCTTAATGCAAAAATAAATTCCTGCTTCTGCAAAGTAAAATATAATTTGTTAGATTAGTTAGATTGGCAACGTCAAAAGAAAAAAAAAAGAAGACCACGGCTGCTTCAAAAAATGTAGACTACGGTGCTGCGTTGTTTTGACTTTTGAATTACGAAATACTGCATTACATTACATTCACAGTCGGCTAGATTTAATTTATGTTGTGGTTATATAATAATATAAACCCAATTTGTACAAATACTTCTACATCAAATTCCTATTTTGGTAGAACGACTGTATATACAACTGCGTCTATAACTGTTAATACCCGATACTCATCTATTGAGTTACAATAACATGTTTTCCCATTTTTTATAATGAATAGATTCTTTTTTATTCTTTTTTGCAATCAAAAATTCAAATTTCCGAGTTTCAGAGTTTTAGCCTTCAAAATACAGACGGCTTGATATTTTTACAACGACATGAATAAATGGTATATTTTCCAAGAATGATTATGTGATTTGACAAACAATTCCCAGGGTTATTATCGGACAACATCCGATAATAACCCCTTGTTTTGACTTGTCATGAATTCCTATTCGCGTAAAGTTAGTCTCCTTTGCGGCCATAATTTGGTCACGTCATGTGACGCGTTGCGTGACTAACGCAGGGTGAGTGCATTTAAATTAAAAGGAAAAACAATGAAGAAACAGGCGAATATGTATGTTATCTCTTGATGCTAGTTAAATGTAGCGAGAATGGACTGATTTGTTTTGAAATGGTGAAAATTTCTGGCTTCCCGGCATTTAGTCCATTCGAGAGCGTGTCCGACAAAACTTCAATCCCTCCATCCTGAATGCCAGGCTTAATTCCTGCTTCTCTAAAGTGAAATATAATTTGCTAGATTAGAAACGCTAGATTGGCAACGTCAAAAGAAAAGGAAAAGGAGAACGCCACTGTTTCAGAGAATGTAGACTGCGGTGCTGATCTGTTTTGACTTGTCATGAATTCCTAATAACGTAAAGTTAGTCTCCTTTGCGGCCATAATTTGGTTACGTCACGTGACGCGTTGCGTGACTAACGCAGGGTATACTTGCTCATTAATTTGTTTACACTCTTACAGAGCGGAGTGAAGATGTTATCAGCAAACACGGATCATTCAAACAATGAAGAAAACAGACGAATATGTATGTTATCTCTTGATGCTCGTTAAGTGTAGCGAGAATGGTCTGATCTGGTTTGAAATAGTGAAAAATTCTGATTTCCCTGCAATTAGTCCCTTCGAGACCGTGCCCGGCGACCGGATCAGCAGCATAGTCAACCCAACGACATTAGAGTATGCACAAGCTCTGAGAGTTTCTCCACTGAAAAACCAAATTAATTTTTTGAATCGCTTGACATTTTTAAACAAACATATCTGACACTTTTAAGAAGTTTGAAAGAAACTTTCGGTGGAAATTCTTTAAAAACTGCTGACTGCTGGGCATTTAATTACGTTGAAACACGTAAATATATCGCATTCAAGTGGATCCTTCGGGGCATATTTTCGCCAAACCTAAGGATCCTGTCACGAAAGAACAACGAACCGACGCCATTTATTCTATTCCTTGCAACGACTGTGACAGACAGACGGACAGACTAAAACGTCAGTTTGGTACACGTTGGAAAGAGCATCAAAAAGCGGTTTTCTTTTGCAAAAAGGAAAATTCAGCTTTATCGGAGCACACATGCCTAACTAACCATACAATTGGGTGGGATAATTCTAAATTTATCACCACTAATCGGCGTTACCACCAACTTCTTTGTCTGAAGGCTTGGCATATTAACTCCGGTCACGCTCCTTTAAAATCGTGACGATGGCGGCTATTTACACCTCGTCAGAAAAAAGGCAGCTAATTAGTGATCATATTAAAGGACCTCTTGTTACAGCGTTTAGATCACCCCTGATGAAGACACTAGACAGGAGTGTCGAAACGTTAGGTCGGTAAAATTTCCGCACAGCCCCATACTATTGTAAAACAAATATGTTTTCCCAATGGAAATGTATTGTTCTTTTCATTGTTTGCTAGATCCAAGAACTGAATGCATAATGTAGTATGGGGCTGTGCGGAAATTTTACCCGTTGGGTCTATGAATTGTAACTTATTCGGTTACATTCATTAAATCAGTAAACCAGAGTAGCGTCAACGATGTCTGATTGTCCACCTGGTTGCCGTATGAACTTAAATATATTTAGAGCCTAATCAAGATAACGCTACTAGTTAAGTCTATTCTTCTTCGATAAATAGCCCTACGTTTCGGTTGTCTGAGCATGAAACAATACTTGCGAACACGGATTGACAGGCCTGCGTGAAGTTACGCATTCTCTCTATCTCTTTTCCAGCTTATTTGCATTTTTTCTGTGCGACTTTTTTTAATGGGCGCGATTCCGTAATGAAACCGTACCCGACACTGAATAGATTCTTCAGAAAATGACTCACTGTAGCGGTAACATGGAGATAACAATTTAAAGTTTTAGCTGGGCTATCTATACTAATAACTCGAATCAAGGTCGAAAACAGAAGTGGCTATTCCTCGAAAAGGAAATTATTATTCTCAGAATTTGTAATCATATTTATTTCCGCATAAGGGATTGCTATGTCTTTCTGCTATTCCTCACTGCTTTATTTTCTTCTGAGCTAAAATTGGCTAAAAGAGGAACAAATGAGCCATGGATAATAGAGCTTTGCCCACATTTTACCGTAAGATAAGATATTTCACGTCAGGAGACCAATAATCAGGAAATCAGTGAGGCGCACAGGAGACAGATTTCATCTCAAATAACTAAATTTATTATATATCTTGGTCTGACATATTTCTATTGAAAGGTACACCTAAGCCGAAAATTTTGTTTTATTGTTTCTGTAGATAATGGCGGCAAATAGCTAGATGTAAGAAAATGCGGTTACGAAATAAAGGAGCGAGCGGTTTACGATAAGATTGTGGTTGTTTACATTCTTTTCCACAGTGTGTTATCAGATTCCACTTACCTCATAGAATACACATATATAGGCACTCGTTTTCAGGTAGTGGTTCGATTAAGAAAGCTGGATACTACTCAAATCTATGACCAATACCCACCAAGAAAATGCGGTTATGAAATAAAGGAGCGAACGGGCCACGATAAATATCGTGGTTGTTCTTAACAGATATTCTTTTCCACAGCGTATTATCAGATTCCACTTACCTCATAGAATATATATATAAAGGCACTCGTTTTCAGGTAGCGGTTCGATTAAGAAAGCTGGACACTACCCATAATCTATGACCAATACTCACCTTACAGTCGAGAACTTTGGTCAATATTGATTTAGAAGGAAATATGATATGTCAGCAAAATTAGGAAAGGGGGACTGGGACGGGAGTCTTGGACTGAAAGTACAGCGGTAATCCGCATAGCACCAAAAAATGGCGGATGAAAAAATAAACAGTTTGATAGACTCTTTCGTTAGAACAATCGGCATCATGGACGATCAACAAGGAAGTATTTTATTGAAGGCTTTTTTCTTTATTTTTTTGTGTTGAAAAAAGCCAGATGTAAATTGCCAGTGCGATCGAAATCGGTTCTTCGGAGTAACATTGAACAACATTGAACAATAGATTTGTGTCACCTTAAGTAAACATTACTTTAAATACGAATTTTAGATTCAAACTTCACTTATATTTCTGTTGACTGATGCTTTGCTCATCTTCACATCATACTGTTATGTCTTCCAACGGCACAAATCATAAGTCCATTAAAAGGGATTGCATCGTAGGGCGGAGGTAGTACCTATTTTAAATACGATTGATTCTCATACACTTTCCTTTTCTTTAAACCCCGTTCGTTGTAATAGTAACATCATATGCTTAAATTATAAAAGTTCATTTTGCATTGTCATGTACTTACTCAAAGTCTGATTATTCATTTGATTTATTTTATCCACTTTTACTTGTAGGTTACTTAGGAATTAGCCTAGTTACACACAACCCCTCAAGTATCTCTTGCTTTCATTCTCATCTTGTTTCAATAAAGGATCTTACTAACTATAACTAGTTACTTTATGTTTCTTGTGTTTTAGTGAAAGTGTGTTTTCTAAGAAGACAATTTACGATGCATACTGTAATGGAATAAGTCTTGTGATTATTAGGAATCAATTATGATCATTATTTCTCAGTCATGTTGCGACAAAGATACGTGGCTGCATTTAAAAAGCACTCGTAGGAAATAGATTTATATAAATACGTCATTTCTTAAGGTAAAAAAGACACTTTTTATATCAAATACTTTGAGAGGGCAATGTTTGGGTGATAACTATTGTGTAGGGAAGCCAATAGTCAGAATAGAAAGACCCAGAAGTGCCCAAAGATTTAGATGACAATAAATTTCCTTTCCACCCCTCATCAGGTAGCCTACTTAATAGTTGGACGATTTCCAAGACATGCGATATTTGGCTTGGTGAGATGTGGTTATCAAGGTAATGATATAAAAAAGTAGTATATCGTCATCTTTACCAATCAAGTCTGCCTGTCGATCTTGATACGTCTTGTGTGAAGTAAAGCCCCACCATCGCTGAAATGCTATCACAGAGGGTGTGAGGAGATTGATAGTGAAATGATTAAAAAGAAATATGGCAAACGTAAAATGAAGGGGTTGGTCCGCGTACAAAGCGTGTTTCTCAAACTTAAATTAGTTTTCACTGCCTTTTCCAGAGAAGTTGGAATTTCGCATTGAAATTGGTGGTCAGAGTCATCAATAAAAGAGCAGCCTTCAAACTAAATGAAAGAGTTTGTTGGAGATCAAGGGTAGCAGGAAGTCAGCTGTTAGGTTCTCCATATATTTCCACGTCGACTTGAGGCTGATGAGCAGGGAGATATGGCCAACACTGAACAGTTTTTAGTATTTGCAAGGCCGTTTGCCTATATCGCCTGCTTCTGGCAAAGTAAATGTGAATGAAAATAAAAAAATGATTAAGGGAGGAATTCCATAGTGAGAAAGTTTTGGCCCATTCAAAGCCTTCGTAGTACCAGCTTTCGGACCATGGAGCAATTGCTGAGTAGAATATGAGCGGGATCTATGTCACTACAAAAGCACCAACCACAATTGCAAATGTTTCGGCAGCTTTGCTTTCCTTTAATGTCTTCGCTGCTTTATCTTCTGACGCAATCAGGAGTTTGCTTGCTAAATCTATCTTCGTTGTCTCGATGTACCATCGCCACAATTCTAATACGCTGCGCATGTGCGACCCTCAAAATATATGAGTACATGAAATTTTAGCTAAAAGCTGTACCATGCAATAAATCCAAAAGAAAATTTCTCGGTTGGTTTCTACGAATGAATAGACAGTAGCAATGATTGCAGATGTCAACCAGGCGACAGATACGTAAGAAAAAGCGGACGTCTTGTTCATTAGTTTGTGGTAACGTAATGGCCACCGAATTGCTGTGAGACGATCTACTGTAATTCCAACCACATTAACTTGCCTACAAATTTCCTTATCATAATGTGTGTGGCATTGTTTTTCAGAACTGGGTAGCAAATTGTATTTTTTACGTCAAAAGGCATATATATTGCTGACACTATTAAGTCAGCTAATTTGAACGGAACGAAATACATTCCTTGTGATGGCCAGCGTCAAGGCTATTTCCTAGCGTTCCATATATATAGATAAAGTTATTACTTGAGAGTAGTCGTCAGAGCAGTTTGTACATCTAGAGAAGTCGGACGAGTTTGAAAATGCTCTTTCCATTTCAAACAGCTGAAGTGATAGTGGTTGGCTCTTTGGATCTGCAACAAGGAGACTTTGGTTTTTGGTATTGTAGACTATGGCCATTACCTACAATTTGCTGCAGCTGTTAGTCGAATAGAATGGAATCTCGTTAACAAAGTCAATGTTAACCGGCTACTGAGGCTAATGATTATCACCCACAAATGTGTCGATAAGAAAACTTCAGAAGACACAACTGTTATAGCTGATTTCGTAGTCTCTGCAATTTTCCGAAAAGTTATTTAAAGTATAATAATGCTCTCATACCTAAAATATTGGAATGATAATGGAATTATAAATGTTTGAGTGACTCCTCAGAAAAAAAGTTATCGCATAATTTTCAAACTTTTCCTTAAATTTTTTCTACCAAGGTCTGTTTCGAAAAATACAATGAAAAAGATAGGTCATCGTTTTTGTTTGAGAGACATGATTAACCAAACCTACCCCACTCATGCCTGTTCTAGCACTAATCACGCGCGTCATTTCATCTGCTCACGATACATTTTGCAGTAGCTAACTTTTTTTAAAGTAATAATTAAAAAACCTGGTTGGTAAAAAGTCTCGAGCGTATGGAACAATTTTATATATGATTTGTGGAAAATCACGCCATTTTTTAACAAAATCGACTCGAAACGTTCCTCGAGTCGTTCCTTTCGTGGTCATTATTTGCATCCTCGCATAACAGGCTTCGTGCACGCTTTTAGCTTTACTTTTTTTTCCTTTGATGATTTTTCTGTTTATGATTTTTCCAATTTAAAGGGGATAATTTGAACGCAAAAATTATGCAATAAAAATTGTAGTTCACTGTGCTCCTTCAAATGCTAAAGATCATCCTACCTTTCAACCTGTTCATTTGATTGGAAAACGATACCGTGTTCTCGGAATGCGCGCACGCTTATTCGCCTGATTACGTGATTTTTATGCGTAGTACAGTATACGCAGTACAATACTGAGGAATCACCTTCAGCGCACGTATATACATCAACCTACAACTTGTAACAAAGGCCAAACTGTTAAGATCGACCTAAAATTCAAGGAAATTTCAGCCTAACCTAACCAATCATATTTTTCATAGCAAGTCTGATTACGCGTTAATCAATTCTAAAGAATGAAAAGTTTACAAAATGCACTGGAAAGCTTTAAATACGCCTTGCTTTAAAAAATGGTTTCAGAAGCTTGCAGTTATCGACATAATTTCTGGTCTAACACCAGAAAAAATACAGCAAAAAACTGTACTCAGGTGTCAATATTCATTGAAGGCCAACTCAGGTCAAACTGATTCAAGTCATTTCCCTAGTATAAAATTATTTTCATAATTGATATTTATCTATTCTCAAAACAATAATTACGGTAAAAAATGGAAATACAAATTATTTGTAGCATTGAATGGCTACAACAACAACTTCTACATCACAATGGAAATATAGACGTTTCGAATACGCCTCCATCAAATGGGTTGCTATTTAATTTGGCAGCGCAGGCAGTCTTCATAAGAACCATTTCTTCAAAAGTTAGAAGTTAGTTATACATCCTTCGGGTTTACATCGTCCGTGCATTGAACTGGTCTATTAACACCAGATGCGCCACAACCATCATCGTTTTCTTCAGCTCCACGTTTTGTGTTAGGGAAGGGTGAATGCTTTTCTTTCGCAATAGTATTCCGATTGGCTCCGTCTGTCTTCTCATTTAAGGGGTTCTCGTATATCGCAGAGTTTATATTATTCGACAAGTCTGGACGTGAGTTGTTGTCAAATTTCCTTCCTGTGTTTATGCGATGGATTCTGTTGTTTCCAGGATCTATATGACCCTGCACTTCACTATCGTTCACCTGAGGCTGCACAATCATCTCCATATGGTTTCTGTCATCATTTATGTTGTCAACAGCTACATCATCCTCAGGCTCTTGACCACACACATTTGCACCATTATCCCGCCTAGAAGTAAACAAAGCTAAATATGGGTCAAGTAATCAAATAAACTATAAAACTGACTCAATTCAAGACAAAAATGAATTGAAACAGAAAGGGAGCCGTTGAAATTGAACTGCAGAGGCACTGATCATCATAAGGATATCATTTTATAAGTAAGTGAAGTCCACTAACGTAGACAAAAGCTATATTTATCTACAATCATATCTTAGGGATATGAATTTTGAATTTGACTGAGTAGTATGAACAGATGAATGAGAAATGACTAGCTAATTCAAATAAAAAGGCATTCAAAATAATTTCATACCTTTTGTACCAGATGATCACGATAATGATAACGATTCCACTTGCGATTATTCCTGCTGTTATCAAAGCAATGGTTCCCTTTTTCGACGACGCTCCTTTCGCAACCTCATCTTCATTGATATCCTTGTGGGGTTCCGTATAATTACAAAATTTTTCGAATGATGGAGGGTTACAATTTACATATATAACCTTGTAACCACCTAAATGTTTGCTGATATAGTACACACTCTTTTGTACAATATAATCCAAAGTTCTGTTTTTAATTACCATACGGGATAAATTGGATTGGGTTTGAAGAATAAGTGAAAAAACCACTTCAGTATGATTCAGCACTGAGGACCCTCCAGGTTGCTTTAGGACTCTGATCTGAGCTGAACTGGCTTCGGAATCATTTGGAAAGATGCTGCATAACTGTTTTGCAAGGGTTGTGTTTCTGTTGAGAAGGAAAGGATATCACGATGTTTTACACGTCTTTGGCTAAAGAATGATCATGTAGTGGTTGCACACTGCTTTATCTTCAAGCTCCACATTCAGGTGCACTGAGTCAGAGCAGTCAAGTACACATGGTCACTGTGTTGGGTTCCCCCCGCCCCCTGGTCAAGTGTGGCAATCACTTAAATTCGTCCATATGCGAAATAGCTTGAATGCTTCCTTTTTTTCTAGTTATGAATGGTGTTTTCGCTGTGATGGGCATGCCCTCCCATGTTGGGTTTCCATAAATATCACTATATAGCAAGAAAATTCTAAACTACAACGCTAATATACCAAAATGAAAATCATTTCATTTCCACAAACAACGTTTGCAATACCTTGATTTGTAACTGCATGTATCCTCATAGCAGTAGTCTCTTATCCCTTTCACGACTGCCTGTTTAAATTTATCTTCCTCCCACTGATGAACATATTTTAATACATTTTAATAAGTCATTAAAATAAGGAGTAGGATCTTCAAACTTATCTTATAGTAATATTAAAACTTCGACCTTTAGTCAGCCAGCAAACCCCTTAACTGCCCAACCTTAACGAACTCTGCTTAGGAGTACTGTGCCTAACTGGTCGTGCCTGGGGTATTTAGGCTGCAATTGCTTAGCAAAGCCGGGAATGACCTCTCATGTGATGACTTTTGGATCACCCCTCCACAGCCAAGCAAATTCCAGATGGTTCAGTGAACATATATAGCTGCAATAACCAGTGCTACATATAGCAGTATCATAGAAGTCCAAAAGGGCAGACAATTGTGTCCGAGCGAAAGCGAAAGGCACCAACCATTAATTTTTCGCCAAGAGCGGGAGATAAGGTGAGGGTCAGAGGATTTTCTTTGCGTTACGATGAAATGTACCTCAAAAGAAAATTAGAATACCTCTTCCATTTTCATTTCCAATGTAATACTGACAGCCACCAGATCTACTAAAAAAGAGATTTGATTTGGTTAATTAAAACTGGTGAACCAATAACTTTGTGGATAATGCAGTGATAATCATGGTTCAAAAATGTTTGTCTCGTTTTGTATTTTCAGATAAAAATAGTTATGCATCGACTTTGAGTGCCTTTTTACTAATAAAAGAGTCCTCTAATACTTGTGACTGAAGGTGTATTGCTGATTTTCCTGCGGCTTTTTTGAAATGTGTACCATAAAACATTCTTCTAAATGGAAATTTAAAGCGCGTTTTCCTGAATTGATTGTATAAGAAAAAAAATTTAAAGTGTTCCGCATTGAGGATTTTAGGGTAAACGACTCAATTTGTCTTGAAAGTAGATTAAAGTCTCATTTATGGTGTTTATAGTTTAAAGTCTCATTCATGGTGAAATGAAAAATCGGAGTAGGAAGAGCAACAAACAATTTCTACTTACTTAGAGGTTGCCTTGATCCGTCTAATACAGTAATTCCATGTATTTCAGGGAAAGACAGGTCGAGATTTCCAAGATATTCTAGGCTTGTTTTGTCCACCAGCCGAATTTTTTTGGCTCTGTTATCAGACAAGTAGACAGTTCCGTTGTGAAGTGCTATAGCGACCAGTTGACTGTTAGTTATCTTTTTTGATAGTTTTCGATTGCGTCCGTCCAGATCAGCTCTGCCGACCACACCCAGACCAGCGTCGACCCAATAAATTACGCTCTCTGAATCAGCGTAGTCTACTATTACGCCATTTACCCATTTCAAGGGGAAACTGGAACTCGTTTCCACAATGGTGGCCTTTTCCTTCCCGTCTAAGGTGGCTCTCTCAATTTTAGGATTTGAACCCCAAACTGTCCAGAAAATGTACCTGTAAGATTTGATTCATTAATTCTGTGTTAATCTTCTTGACAACAATAAATTTCAAGATGTTAATATTGTAAAAAAAAGGCCTGATTATTTAACGAGGAGCAGTTTAGTCAGCAAATAATTTTTAAGGCGATTGGCTAACCTATCCTACTGAGAGGCAGTTACAGCTCCGTTTCGTTAGAACTCTCTTTTTTCAATTAAAAAAATAAACAAAATTTCAAGGGCATGCTGGAAAAAATGTGTCACTTTGGGAATCGAGTGATCCGTTATTATTTTGCCCATTTGGTTGCGAAGAGACAACTTGCACAGCAACTCTTTTACGCCATTAGAGCAAATTGTACAAATGTAATATATGTATATATGTAAAATATGTAACAAAGAAACGTGATTCACCACCAATGAAAAAAGTGCACTTTGGCTGATTTTACGTCCTCAATACTACACCCTGAAGCCTGGCTTAAGAAAGTGGTTGAACAAAAAAAGAAGTAACAAAGAAAAAAATAAATAAAAAGGTCTATCCTATCCTATCTTAAATTAGACGTTTCCTAGTTATATCGAGCTTCTCAGTTCGCGAGTTGTGATTTCAATACTTAAAGTACATATGACTTCTCCCTACTCACCCATTGACCGAATCAACTGCGATACCTCGAGGCTTGTCAATGTCTCGGTCAAACAGTATCTTTCTGTCACTTCCGTCAACCTTCGCCATTTCTATTCGGTTGTTTCTTGTGTCCGTCCAAAATATGTCTTTGCTAATCCAGTCTATAGCTATTCCTCCCACTTTACCGACGCCTTTCGTCACATTTTCTTTTATGTTCGTCTGAAGATCCATTCTTTTGATGGTACCACCCCAAAAGTCACTCCAATAAATATAATTGTCCTCTACGTCCGTTGCAATGACAATGACCTTTCCAATATCTTGCACTACAACGCTAGAAGCGGTTTTCCTAGCGAACAGGTTGATACTATTTATGGTATTCCCAATGCTATAGTACAAGCATGGCTCTTCACACGCTGTGAGGAGAGGAGAATAGCTAATTAAAAAATTCCACAAGATAACTGGTGAATGGGAAGCAGTACAGTAGAGAAAAACAAATGAAATTCCAATCCGCCAGATCAAATCGAACAGTTCTGCATGTGGGAGTAAAACTTCCCCACAAAAAGTCGCTAAACCAAATGAAATTGTTGTCGATATGTTAATCGCTTGTGTAAGGTGTATACAAAGAGCTTATCTACTCTCAAGAAAGAGTAGTTATCGAATTTCACGTTTAATTAAACTAATGAGTATTTCACGCGAATACATTGCAACGACCAATTGCGATTTATAATACCCGAGATACGACGAAAGGCCTGATCGGTCAAAACGCTATCGTTTATTGGACTGGTAAACCTATATAGAAGTACAACAGATATAATGAGAGTTCTCTCAACATCCCGCGCGGAGACTAAGCCTCCTTATTGTGCAGGTGTGCTCTTAAAAATTCCTTTCCTCCATAAAGGTTTATAAATAACACAGTGAATCAGTGCAGTTACCAAAAGACACTTTGCAACGAGAATTGACCTAATTGGTTGACGATTCAGGTTAAAACGATGAAGTAACTTACCATGGATGATTTTACAATGAAGCCATGATAGGAGAATTAAAAATAACTTCAATCCCTTCATCCTGAATGCCAGGGTTAATTCCTGCTTCTGTAAAGTGAAATATAATTTGCTAGATTAGAAAAGCTAGGTTGGCAACGTCAGAAGAAAAATAAAAGGAGAACGCGGCTGCTTCAATGAATTAAGACTGTGGTGCTGATCTGTTTTGACTTGTCGTGAATTCCTATTCGCGTAAAGTTAGTCTCCTTTGCGGCCATACTTAGGACACGTAACGTGACGCGTTGCGTGACTAACGCAACGCGAGTGCATTTAAAACTGTACTTACTTGCTCACTAATTTTTTTTCACACCGGCTGATAGAGAGGAGAGAAGATGTCATCGGCAAACACGAATCTTTCAAACAATAAAAAAAACAGAAAAATATGTATGTTATCTCTTGATGCTGGTTAAATATAGCAAGAATGGTCTGATTTGGTTTGAACAATGTTAATGTGTGCATAAGCTCTGAGAGTTTTTCCCATTGAAGAATTAAATTAATATTTGCAATCGCTTGACATTTTTAAACAAACATATCTGATACTTTCAAGAAGTTTGAAAGAAACTTTCGGTGGAAGCTCTGTGAAAACTGCTCAAACACGTAAATGTTTCGCAGTCAAAGAAAGTTACGTCAAGCGGAAGTATTTTTTTAAAACCGTTCACAGTCACGTTCAGATTGTGTACAACCAGTGAACGCCACAATTGACAAACCGCACCCGACACTGAATAAATTCTTCAGAAAATGACACATTGTAACGGTAACATGGAGATAAAAATTTAAAGTTTTAGCTGGGCTACCTAAACTATTTACTCGAATCAAGATTGAAAACGGAAGTGGGTATTTCTCGAAAAGGAAATATTTTTCTCAGAATTTGTAATCATATTTACTTCCGTATAAGGGATTGCTATGTCTTTCTGCTATTCCTTACTGCTTTAGTTTCTTCTGAGCTAAAATTGGCTAAAAGAGCCATGGATAATAGTGCTTTGCCCACATTTTACCGTAAAATAAGATATGTCACGTCAGGAGACCAATAGTCAGGAAATCAGTAAGGCGAACAGGAGACAATTTTCATCACAAATAATTAAATTCAATATATATCTTGGTCTTACATATTTCTTTAGGAGGTACAATTAAGCCGAATAGTTTTTTTTTGTTTCTCCTGATATGGCGGTAAATAGCTAGATTCAGCTTTTCAATGAAAGAAAATGCGATTATAAAATAAAGGAGCGAACGGTCTACGATAACACTCTGCATATCGAGGTTGTTCTTAACAGATATTCTTTTCCCCAACGTATTATCAGATTCCACTTACCTCACAGGATGTACATAAATAAGCACTCGTTTTCAGGTAGTGGTTCGATTAAGAAGGCTGGACATTACCCAAATCTATGACCAATATTCACCGTACAGTTGAGAACTCTGATCAATATTAATGTAGAAGGAATTATGGTATGTCAGCAAAATTATGAAAGGGGAGTGGGGACTGGGACAGGAGTCTGGAACTGAAAGTACAGCAGTAATCCGCACAGCAACAAAAAATGGCGGATGACAACATAAACAGTTTGGTAGACTCTTTCGTTAGAATAATCGTCACCATGGACGATCAACAAGGAAAGATTTTATTGAAGGCTTTTTTGACTTGATTTTTGTGTTGAAAGATTAAGTGTTACCCAGATGTAAATTGCCAGTGCGATCAAAATCGCTCCTTCGGAGTAACATTGAGTAACATTGAACAATAATTTGTGTCACTTTAAATAAATATTACTTTAAATGAGAATTTTAGATTCAAACTTCACTTACATTTCTGTTGACTGATGCTTTTCTTATCTTCACCATCATGTTGTTGTGTCATCCAGCGGCGCAAATCGTGAGTCCATGACTGCACTGTAGGGCGGAGGTAGTTCTTATTTTAAATTCGATTGATTCTCATACACGTTCCTTTCCCTATACCCCGTTCTTGGTAGTAGTAACATCATACGTTTAAATTATAAAAGTTCATTTTGTACTGTCATGCATCTACCCTAAAGTCTGATTATTCATGTGATTTATTTTATCCACTTTTACTTGTAGGTTACTTAGATATTAGCCAATTACACACAACCCCTCAAGTATGTCTTGCTTTCATTCTCATCGTGTTTAAATAAAGGGTCTTTTTCTAATTTTTATTTTTATTTTTTTATTTTTATTTTTTTCTATATATTATACTTACACATGTACTTACACTATACTTACTTCTTACACGAAACTTACACTACATTAACTTGCACTACTTACAATACATTTATTTCAATACAATTACACTAGTCAAATTGATTACAATTAATCTACTTACGTTATTGTTTGCATGTTAATTGTTCGAGTCACTGATAAGAATTTTTTATTAATTTCCCCACATAGGGTATTAATTTTCTAGAATTTAATAGATTTTTAAATAAATAGGTAGCGAAAAGAAACAAATCAAAATACAAAAGTTGAGAAGAAAAAGGACATAATACAATTTTATAAAGACAAAAAATTTCCATTTGTTCCTCAATTCCTTCTCCTTATTATTAGTGACTGCAATATATTTTTCTAGATTAATTTTTTCGCAGCACAAGTGAGACAAAATCATCGAATTGGTACGTTATGGTATTTAAAGCGTTAACATATAAGAAACATTTACCCAAAATAATGAGATAGTTGATCGAGGGCTAAACATTAGGTGTGACAGCGAATAATTCCGAACGTAAACTCTAGTTCTGACAGCAGCAGTTTCGTATTACTAGAGATTGAGTACCACTCCTGGAATCTATTCCAAAAAGAACTTGCGTGCATGCAGTTTATAGACAAATACCACAGGGTCTGACACTCAGAAAGACAAAAGGGACAGGAGGGCGAGGAAACTTTTTTCATTTTGTGTAACACGCTATTCGTTGGTAAAGTTCGGTGAATGATTTTGTATTGGAACATCATCGATTTAATTTCTCTCGTGGCTTTGAATGGTGGGAGGTAAATATCATTCAAACCACTTTTCTCGATGCGAGACGATAAAAGTTTTCTTCTCAGAAGCACTGTATATTGTCTTGCATGACAGTGAACAGATTGAGGTGGGAGGCATGACTGGGTCTTTGGAACCTTCTTGCAATACTTCCAATTTTGGGGAATAGAAGAAAGAATGCTATAATATTGTAAAAAGTTACATTTTACATTGAATTTATTGCAAAAAGAATTAAATGGAAGGAGATGGCCCTCACAGGAGTCAAAAAGGTCCAAGATTTGTTTTATTCCTGCTTGATACCAATGAGGAAAGAATACCATTTTCTTATTCACAGTTAAAAATCGGTTATTCCAGATTGGCTGTGAGAGAACCTCACTTTTATTTTTAGGTGTGGCCGTTGTGATGTCCTGCCAGTAAAAAATAATTTGTTTGTAGAAAGCAGGAAGATGGTTGTCTAGGTCAAGGAGATTATAATAATAATTACATTTAAGAACAAGTCTCTGTAAGAATCAAACATCTTGGGAAATGAAAATTTTCAACCCCCCTTTCAAATTTTGCATGCAGTTAGGCGCTCACGGGGCACAAAAATGCTCTTTTTAAAAGGCGCAGCACTCTTGTTGTCATGGTAACAACAGCTGCTTGTTCGAGGCCTGGGGCCTCATTTTCATACAAAAACGTCGCAAAAAAAGAGTGAAATGTTTATTTCTCTATCTCAAGCTAAATACAACATAACAAATTGGCACTTCTACCATACATAGTAACATCATTCATCTTCATATTGATATAGTCAATTTTTCCAGGGAGTAAAGCTGAACACACTAAAAGATTATTCATTTCGGTACAGTTCCGGTCATTTTTGTTGTCGGGTAAAACAGGGAAAACGTTTATCTGAATTTCTCCAAAAGTACACCGATTCTGGAACTGAAACTAACCACATAGCTGGTTATAATATTGTAGTTTTTAAAAATGTTAAAATCTCTGCGGGCCTGTCTCTACTTTCCATAGGAGCAATTCGCGAACGAAGCTTAAAAATCAGATATTGCATAATTTGGCGATGTTTACATCGAATGTTCTCGACAACAAATGTTTCAGAAAAATGAAACATGTAAAGCTTTGGAAGAATGTCATCTTATGAGCAATATCCCGAAGATAAATCTCGTCTCTGCTTGTCATCTTTTAAAAAAAAATTGATCAACCTTCATGGAGGACTACTCGACGTAACTACAAACATATACCTCAAATCGTGTGCATATCATCCAGATTCCGAGTGCTGCACCTTCTTTCATGGGAATTTGAGCTATCTGAAGTCCTCTGAAGATACACTGTCATACTTGTATGTCATTTGAAACATGTTGAAGTCGGCTGATCTACATGAAACCATTCTCACACCGGTCATTTGATGATGGCGTGACGCTGTATTTCTCTATGAAGTTTCCATCGGTCGTCCCAAAGAAGACAAAAAATGGACATTTCGGCATATCAGCAGATTTCTGCGCATTCTAAGTAAAACAACCAAAAAAGAAAGGAAAAACCCTCGATTGAACGCTCGTACACACTAAGAATCTGAAAGCAGAAGTTGCAACTTGTCAGCGGCAGTACTACATGTAAAACCCAGTCGCCAGTAATAGCAATTTGTACGACTCGCGCGAAAATCATCACAAAGTGGAGATTTTGAACTACTCAGTATCCTTGCAGTACAGCAAATGGAATAGGGATTTCATCACAACCAATCTCCAGAAATTTAGCTTTTTTTCAGGGAGTCTTTCTCGTGCTCGAACGTTACATTGGCTTTGAACCTTGAGATTTATTTCCCTTGACAATAAAATGCTATAGGTAGTACTTACAAAATTACACAGGAACTATTTTTGTTGTCGCTTGGACCGAGAAATACATGTTTGAAATAATTAATGCTGTCACTGATGAACCAAAGGGCACAATTTTCTCAGTTATTAGATTGATAATCTCAACAGACTAACGTTATTGGACCGAACGATCTCCTGTTTCTTCCTGGTGAGCCGGCCACCTCAGCGGAAAATTAAAGAGACCTTTGTCTTCCTCTCGTGTAAATCACTGGGAGATTGCGCTATATTCATCTTTCTTTAAGTTTGTAAAAGATGTCCGGGAGAAAAGTATGGAAAATAATGGTGATGAAATCGCTGTTCTTTTTCCTGAAGGTCCTGAAGCAATCCAGATTACATATTAATCATGGGGAGTTTCGTTCAAGTTACGAGTTGCGATTTGCGTGTGGATAATAAGTTGTTTAAAAGGTGGAACTATGACATCATGATTTCATTCAATCTTTTATTTCGAACTTTGTTATGATATTTTCTCTAACAAGACATAGAAGGAAACATTGATTGACTCGATTGCACTGCGGCGGTGATAAGTCTCTCCTCATCATATCTTATGCAAATTTTCTAACAGTTTTCTGACAGTTTTCAGATGATTCGAATTATCCTAGTTCCTGTCACAAGGAAATAATAACTGTCCGAATCTGCCCTTTGTTGGGAGATACCTATGTCGTTCAAATTGCTATTGTTACAACTGGGTCTTACATGTAGCACTGCCGCTGACAGGTTACGATTGATACTCTCAGATTCTCAGTGTTTACGAGCGTTCAGTCGGGGTTTCCTCTTTTTTTTTTCGGTTGTTTTTACTTCAGAGTGCGGGTAATCTGCTGACATATACGAAAAATATCAATTTCGCGCCTTTTTTGGAGCGAGCGATAAAAACTTCACGGAGAAATACAGTGTCACGCCATCGTAATAACGTATATGTTTATGACAAATGACCGGTGTGAAGATAGTTTCATGTAGATCAGCCGACTTCAACATGTTTCAAATGACATACAAGTATAACAGTGTATCTTCAGAGGACTTCAGATCGCTCAAATTCCCATGAAAGAAGGTGCAGCACTCGAATCTGGATGATATGCACACAATTTGAGGTATATGTTTGTAGTTACGTCGAGTAGTCCTCCATGAAGGTTGATCAATTTTTTTTTAAAAGATGACAAGTAGAGACGAGATTTCTCTTCGGGATATTGCTCATAAGATGACATTCTTTCAAAGCTTTACATGTTTCATTTTTCTGAAACATTTGTTGTCGAGAACATTTGATGTGATTCGATATCTGCAGCGTCATGTCACTCGTTCGTCAAACCTTCTTAGTTTTAAGACGAAAATGCAAGAGTTTTTACTTAAATAATCACTGAATTGGCCTAGTCGCACATACGTAAGCCCTTTTTCTTTACTTTATTCATTAATGTAAGTGAGGTGGCTCTCCCATAAGTCCGGTGTCTTCGTGGGTCTCCTCGCCTTCTAGCTATAACCCTTGTAAACATATCTTTTGTATTGTGTTAATAAGGCAAGTAAAAGATGATTATGATGATGATGAATGATGCTAAGAAAAGCAATGGAAGTATCGCAGGAAATAATACCTCTTTGAGAGACCAGTATGATCAAAATAAAACATCATAGCAAGGAGACCAGTACAAACCAGGGGCGTGAAAACAAAGGCCAAACCATTCTTGTTTTAGGCGACGGCGAAGAGATTAACACGGTGCCTGAGTTATGAATTACACTGGATTTAAAAATGCCGCGAAATACGTGGCAATGCCCATAATTTACATTTCACAAAATTGAACAAACGCTTGACATGATTTCCCTTCAAAATTATGGACTTTTTAACGACAAAAAAACCACAAAATAATTTGGCTAAACCTCGCCCTTTCGTCATTGTGTTGCAATTATAGCTAACTAGAGCTTTTAGAAAAATGCAATCATTAAAAATGTGAAACAAGAGTAAGAACCGCTGTGTTCTCGTACAATAATGAATTGAAGGCCGCCTTGAATTTTCCTTTGGTGCGAACCTCCACATTCATTGCTTACTGTACTTATACCGTTACAGTTTCTCGCAATTATAATATGTAGGAATGAAAACGTACACGGATTTCGTAACTCAAATTTTTATATTGTCAATAAATCAAAAGAATATGCGAGATCTGTAGTCTCTGCAGTTTTCCGAACAGTTATTTTAAGTAATGATAATGCTCTCGTACCTAAAATATTGGAATATAGTGTCCAGTGAAATTATAAATGTTTGAACCTCCTGGGAAAAAAGGATAATTAGCTAACTCTCTGGGTCTCTCCTCATAAAAAAAGTTATTGAACAATTTTTTTAAACTTTTCCCTAAATGTTCCCTACCAAGGTCTGTTTCGAAAAATATAATGAAACAGATAGGTCACCTTTCTTATTTAAGAGATACGATGATCCAAACTTACCCTACTTATGCCTGTTCTGGCACTAATAATATACATGGATAAATTACTCAGTTTTGATTGGTTTAGATAAATGCAGTTTTCAGGTAGTTCAGTGCAAAAGAGAGTTAATTCAGTACAGAAGAGGGTTCATTCAGTGCAAAGAAAGTAACAAATCAGACATTCTGATTGGTCAATAATCATAGAAACTCACAGATAGCCAATCAAACGTGAGCCTTAGATGTCGCAACAAATTTGAAAATTTGCGAGCGAAACAATGGCCGGCGTTTTAAGTAGGTTTTCCTTCGCCACCGCAGCTGAAAAACAGCTCAAACAACGAAAACATTGTAAAAAGCACTGCTTTTTGGTTGTCGGTTTGGAAAAAGTGGTGCTTAGAGAAGGGAATTGCCGAGGAAATCGAAAATTGCGAGCCGACCCAGCTTAACACTTTGCTCGAACGATCCAACGCAGAAATTAAAAACAAACGCGGTTAAACCTCGGAAACGATTCCATTTCTTCGAAAGTGATTCGGACACAGAATGAACAATTTCTTGAACTGCTAGCCGGACTTTGAACTTTTTTGCGCCTTAAAGATGTAAAGATATCATTGCTTATTATTGTTTTGATCCTACGCGGTTGGTTTGACCGAGCGCACGGTTTGAATAAATTATATTTGCACTTGATGCGCGCGCTTTGCTTATGGTTAATTATGATAAGCATCTCGTATTTTTCCATGTATATTATTAACAGGTAATCACATGATTTTTCTCATGCAATTTGGAATAAACAAGCACTTGTTAATTTTTCAAAGACCACAAACTGCACTCACCCTAAAAAAAAAAAAAAGTTTACTCATGCTTATTTGTTCCAAATTGCACTCAAAATCATATACTAATCACGTGCGTCATTTCGTCCGTTCACGATACATTTTTCGGTAGCTAGGAGCAGGCGTTTTTAAAAAAGTAGCACTTCGTTAGATAGAGAGTCTCGAGCGTATGGAACAATTGGGTATATAATTTGTGGAAAATCACGTAATAGAGTCGTTGCTTTCATAATCATAATTTGCATCCTCGCGTAACAGGCTTGATGCACTCTTTCAGCTATATTTTTTTTTTCAATGATTTCTTTGATGATTTTCCCAATTTAAAGTGGATAATTCGTACGCCAAAATTATGCAATAAAAAAAATGTAGGTCACTGAGCTCGTTCAAATGCTAAAGTTCATCCTACCTCTTAACCTGGTCATTTGATTGAAAAACAATACCGTGTTCTCGGAATGCACGCGCGCTTATTCGCCTGATTACATGATATTTATGCGTAGTACAGGATACGCAGTCCAATACTAAGGAATCAGCTTCGGCGCACGTATATATATAAACCCACAACTTGTACCAAAGGCCAAACTGTTAAGATCGACCTAAAATTCAAGGAAATTTCAGCCTAACCTAACCAAACAGATTTTTCATAATAAGTCTGATTAAGCGTTAATCACCTCTGAGGAATGAAGAGCTTACAAAAATGTACTGAAAAGCTTTCAATACGCCTAGCTTTTACAAAATGGTTTCAGAAGCTTGCATTCATCGACGTAATTTCTGGTCTAACAACAGAGAAAAAAAAAATACAGCAGTACTCAGGTGTCAATATTCATTGGAGGCCAACTCAGGGCAAACTGTCTTAAGTCATTTCCCTAGAAAAAATTATTTTTCGTAATTGATACTTATCTATTCTCAAACAAGAATCACACACGGTGAAAAATGGAAATACAAAATATTTGTAGCATTGAATAATTACTACAACTTTTTTACATCACAATGGAAATGGAGACGTTTCGAATACACTCCATTAAATAAGTTGGTGTTTAATTTGGTAGCACAGGCAGTCTTCATAAGAACCATTTCTTGAAAAGTGAGAAGTTAGTTATGCATCTTTCGAGTTTTCATCGTCCGTGCATTGAACTGGTTTATGAACACCAGATGCGCTACAAACATCATCGTTTTCTTCAGCTCCACGTTTTGTGTTAGGGAAGGGTGACTGCGTAGACATATGCTTTTCTTCCTCAATAGTATTCAGATTGGCTCCACCATGCTGCGGTCCGGGGTTTTCGCGTATTGCACAGCTATTTTTACCGTCTGTGTCATCATTTCTGTTGTCAACAGCTTCACCGTTAACATCGATTTCCTCGTAGTGTCGCTCTGGGTCCCCATTGAATCCCGAATTTTGCCTCCCATGGACTCTTGCTTCATTTTCCCGCCTGGAAGTAAAACAAGCTAAAAATGAGTCAAGTAATCAAATAAACTATAGAAATGACTCAATTCAAGTCCATATCGTTTATAAAAGATATACAGGGAAAGGACATAGGAAGATGCAAAACGCCCATGCTAGTTCCCTTCCAGTTGTGGGTGATTGTCGCTATTGTATATAACCATTTACATAAGCTTTTCTCAAATACGACAGAAGCAGTTATTGTTGCTGCCGAGCAAAGCAACACATTATGACTAAAATGTATTAAAACAAAAAGAGAGCCTTTGAAGTTGAACTGCAGAGGCACCGATCATTATAAGGATATCATTTATTGTTAAGTGAAGTCCACTCAGGTGGACGAAAGCTATACTTATCTACAATTATTTCCTAAGGAAATGAAATTAAAATTTGACTGAGTAGTATGAACAGATAAATGAAAAATGACTGAATAATTCAAATAAAAAGTCATTCAAAATAATTCCATACCTTCTGCGCCTTACGATAACGATGACGATAACGATGACAATAACGATGACGATAACGATGACGATAACGATAACAATTTCATTAAAGATTCCACTTGCGATTGTTCCTGCTGTTACCGTAACCTTTTCATTGATATCCCTAGGAGGTTCCGTATAATTACAAAATTTTTCGAACGATGGAGGATTACAATTTACATATATAACCTTGTAACCACCTAAATGTTTGCTGATATAGTAGACACTCTTTTGTACAATATAATCCAAAGTGCTGTTTTTAATTACCATACGGGATGAATTGGATTGGGTTTGAAGAATAAGTGAAAAAACCACTTCAGTATTATTCAGAACTGAAGACCCTCCGGGTTGCTTTAGAACTCTGATCTGAACTGAACTGGCTCTGGACCCATTTGGAAAGATGCTGCATAACTGCTCTGCAATGGTTGTGTTTCTGTCGAGAAGGAAAGGATATCACTATGTGTTACAAGTCTTTGGCCAAAGAATGGTCATGTGATGGTTTCACACTGCTGTATCTCAAGTTCCACATTCAGGTGCACTGAGTCAGAACAGTCAAGTACACATGGTCACTGTGTTGGGTTCCCCCTGCCCCTTTGTCAAGTGAGGTAATCACTTTCGTCAATACGGAAAATATCTTTAATTCTTCCTCTTTTCTAATCATGAATGGTGTTTTCGCTCCGGTGGACATACCTTCCCATGTTGGGTTTCCATAAATATCACTATACAGCAAGAAAATTTCAAACTACAACGATAATATACCAAAATGGAAATCATTTCATTTCCACAAAAATGTCTGCAATACCTTGATTTGTAACTGCATTTATCCTCATAACAGTAGTCTCTTATCCCTTTCACGACTGCTTGTTTAAATTTCTCTTCCTCCCACTGGTGAACATATTTTAATATATTTTAATAAATCATTAAAACAGACAAAAAGGAGTAAGTTCTTCAACCTATTTATCTTATAGTAATATCGATACTTCGACTTTTAGCCAGCAAACCCCTTAACTGCCCAACCTTAAGGGACTCTGCTTAGGAGTACTGTGCCTAACAGGCCGTGCCTGGAGTATTTAGGCTATAATTGCTTAGCAAAGCTGGAAATGACCTCTCATGTGATGACTTTGGATCACCCCTCAGCGGCAGAGCAAATTCCAGCTAGTTCAAGGAACAGATATAGCTGCAATGGCCAGTGCTACTTGTAGCAGTATCATAGAAGTCTAAAAGAGCAGACAGTTGTGTCCGAGCGAAAGCAAAAGGCACCAGCCATTAATTTTTCGCCAGGAGAGGGAGATGGGGATGATGGTCGGAGGATTTTCTTTTCGTTACGATGAAATGTACTTTAAAAGAAAATTAGAGTACCTCTTCCATTTTCATTTCCAATGTAATACTGACAGCCACCAGATCTATTTAAAAAGAAATTTGATTTGGCTAATTACAACTGGTGAACCAATATCTTTGTGGGTAATGCAGTGATAATTGATGGTTAAAAAATGTTTGTTTCGTTCTTTTATTTTCAGAGAAAATAGTCGTGTATCGACTTTGAGTGCCTCTTGGCTACTAAAAAACGTCCTCTAATACTTGTGACTGAAGTGTATCGCTGTCTTTTCCTTTTAGAGATGTGTGCCATGAAACATTCTTCTACATGGAAATTTAAAACACGTTTTCCTGAATTGATTGTACGAAAAAAAATTAAACTTTTCCACATTGAGGATTTTATTGTACACGACTAAATTTATCTTGAAAATAGTTCTCATCTATGGTGTTTATAGTTAAAAGTTTCATACAGGGTTAAATAAAAAAATCGGAGTAAGAAGAACAAGAAACAATTTCTACTTACTCAGAGGTTGCCTTGATCTGTCTAATACAGTAATTCCGTGTATTTCAGGGAAAGACAAGTCGAGATTTCCAAGATATTCTAGGCTTGTTTTGTCCACCAGCCGAATTTTTTTTGCTCTGTTATCAGACAAGTACACAGTTCCGTTGTGAAGTGCTATAGCGACCGGAAGACTGTTAGTTATCTCTTTTGATAGTTTTCGATTGCGTCCGTCCAGATCAGCTCTGCCGACCACACCGGTGCCCAGACCAGCGTCGACCCAATAAATTGCGCTCTTTGAATCAGCGTAGTCTACTATTACGCCATTTACCCACTGCAAGGGGAAACTGGAACTCGTTTCCACAATGGTGACCCTTTCCTTCCCGTCTAAGGTGGCTCTCTCAATTTTAGGACTTGAACCCCAATCTGTCCAGAAAATGTACCTGTAGGATTTGTTTCGTCAATTCTGTGTTATTCCTCTTGAAAACAATTAATTTCAAGGTGTTAATATTGTACTAAAAGCCCTGATTATTTAACGAGGAGCAGTACAGTTAGCAAATAGTTTTTAAGGCGATTGGCTGATCTATCCTGCTGAGAGGCAGTTACGGCTCCATATCAGTAGTGTTCTCTTTTTGTGATAGAGAAATAACCAAAATTTCAAGGACATGCTACGAAAAATGTGTCACGTTGGGAGTCGAGTGATCCGTTTTTATTTTCCTCATTTGTTTCCGAAGAGGCGACTTGCGCAGAAACTCCCTTACGCCATTAGAGCAAATTGTACAAAACATGTAACAAAGAAACGTGATTCACCACCATTGGAAAAAGTGCACTTTAGTAGATTTTATATCTGCAATACCATACCCTGAAGTGTTAAGAACACCGTCTTAAGTAAGTAGATAGACAAAAAGAGAAATAACAAAGAAGAAGAATTAAAAAAAGGTCTATCTAAGGTCTATCTAAGGTCTATCGAACTTCTCAGTTCGTGAGTTGTGATTTCAACACTTAAAGTACATATGAATTCTCCTTACTCACCCATTGATCGAATCAACAGCTATACCTCGAGGTTCGTCAATGTCTCGGTCAAACAGTATTTTTCTGTCACTTCCATCAACCTTCGCCATTTCTATTCGGTTGTTTGTTGTGTCCGTCCAAAATATGTCTTTGCTAATCCAGTCTATGGCTATTCCTTCCACTCTACCGACGCCTTTCGTCACATTTTCTTTTATGTTCGTCTGGAGATCCATTCTTTTGATGGTGCCACGCCCAAAATCACTCCAATAGATATAATTGTCCTCTACGTCCACTGCAATGGCAAAGACCCGTCCAATATCTTGCGCTACAACACTAGAAGCGGTTTTCCCAGCGGACAGGTTGATACTATTTATGGTATTCCCAACACTATAGTACAAGCATGGCCCTTCACACGCTGTGAGGAGAGTAGAATAGCTAATTCAAAAATTATACAAGATAACTGGAGAATGAGAAGCAGTACATAAGAGAAAATCAAATGAATTTGCCATCCGCCAGATCAAATCGAAAAGTTCTTCACGCGGAAATGAAACTTCCCCAGAAAAAGTCGCTAAACCCAATGAAATTACCGTCGATAGGAAATTCGCTAGCGTAAGGTGTATACAAAGAGCTTATCTACTCTCAAGAAAGGGTAGTTATCGATTTCCACGTTTAATCAAACAACTGAGTATTTCACGCAAATACAATACAACGACTTATTGCGATTTATAATACCCGAGATACGACGAGCGGCCTGATCGGTCAAAAACGCTATCGTTTATTGGACAGGTAAACCTACATAGAAGTGCGACAGATATAACGAGAGTTCTCTCAACATCCCGCGCGGGTTATCACGCCAGTAAACCAATAGAAAGGGTGTTGTATTGCTTCATTTTTAATCACTTCATTTATGATAGCTAACGATTATTACACTAAGCCTCCTTATTGTGCAAGTTTGCTCTTGAAAATTCCTTTCCTCCATAAAGGTTTGTAAATAACACAGTGAATCAGTGCAGTTACCAAAAGACACTTTGCGACGAGAATTGACTAAACTGGTCGACAATTCAGGTTAAAATGATGAAGTAACTTACCATGGATGATTTTACAGTGACGCCATAATAGGAGAATCAAAAATAACTTCAATCCCTTCATCCTTAATGCCAAAATAAATTCCTGCTTCTGCAAAGTAAAATATAATTGGCTACATTAGAAACGCTAGATTTGCAACGTCAAAAGAAAAAGAAAAGAAGAACACGGCTGCTTCAAAGAATATAGACTGCGGTACTGTGTTGTTTTGACTTGTCATGAATTCCTATTAGCGTAAAAGTTAGTCTCCTTTGCGGCCATAATTTGGTCACGTCACGTGACGCGTTGCGTGACTAACGCAGGGTAAATGCATTTAAATTAAAAAAAAAAAAACGACAACAATTAAGAAAACAGGCGAATATGTATGTTGTCTCTTGATGCTAGTTAAATGTAGCGAGAACTGAATGAACTGATTTGGTTTGAAATGGTGAAAATTTCTGACTTCCCGGCATTTAGTCCATTCGAGAGCGTGCCCGACAGTCGGGTCAGAAGCACAGTCAACCTAACGTTATTGAAGTATGAACAGGCTCAGAGAGTTTTCCACTTAAAAAACCAAATTAATTTTTGGAATCGATTGACATTTTTTAAAAAAACATTTGATACTTTTAAGAAGTTTGAGAGAAAACTTTCGGTGGAAATTCTGTAAAAACTGCTGACTGCCGGGCATTTGTGACCCTCCACGGGATTTCAGGGAAGAAGGTGAACGCACGCACACGGTACACTAGCACGCTAAAACAAAAGAACGAGCTTTTAACACATTAGCTGCATGTAAGTTACTTGCCTCATTAAATTCGCAGCCATTGTCTTGCTTGGCACGGTAGAAACAAAGAAACGTGTTAAGATCTTGCTGGCAACTTTGCACGATATAACACGGTGACCGTGCCAATTTTATAACATGCCTCTTAAATTTAAAGTTGCTTTCAATTTGTACAAGAAGTACGTCCTAAGCTTTATGGCTTTTTAGCTCACTGATACGCCCGGCCGATATACGATACTCAATATCCAGTGCAAACTAATTCGCCAAACATAATGGAATATCTCGACTTGTTGTCCATCATTTAAAACTTTACTTGAGTTGCTTCCTTCATTATCGAATTCCTCATTTTCTTAAAACAGCTTGCAAAACACGGGCCGAACAAGGTCCTTTGCTCTTGAAATCGTACATGAACTTTTGAAGGTAGCAAGCACAAGCTTTTTAAAATAATAAGAGCGAATCTATATGATGCAAAGCAAATGGCTACTTCGATGAGGGTAAACTGTGTTCTCACCACGTTTGTCTGTTCTGCTAGTCTCCGAGGCATTAGTTATTTACATTGTTAAATTTGTAAACCGACAAGTACGACAGTCCGTGGGGTGCAGTGGTAGCGTCATCCTTTTTTTTTTTTTTTTTTTTTTTTTTTTTTTTTTCATACGGACAGAGTTCACAAAATAATGAAATATCTAATGTACTTTTTTTTATTAACTGACAGTCTATTTGCCAGTTTTTAAGCGCTATAGATTCCTTTGACTGTCGTCACCTAACCTGTTTGTAAATGCATTATTTTGGGCAGATAAATGATTTTCTAGTCCGCGTTTATGCTTCCTTTATTCCCTTAATAATTAGCAACGTTCATAATTTAATGATGCTATGGTTAGCCAAAATCATGGTAACTTAGATCGTGGTTTTGTTGAACAATGGCTAAACTCTTTCAATTAATCGACCCATAATTTTTATGTTAAATGATGGACTAATCGTGCCATCTCCAGTGTTTTCAAAACAAACTAGTTTTTTAAGTATGTGAATAAGAGTCCTCCTCTTTCTTGTACATTTCGTATTAAAGCGAGCGGCTATCTGATTCCACTGCTCACTAAAACATGGCGAGTCAAACTGTCTTTGTAAAACGGACACAAGAAAACCTAATTTTCCGCTATCCAACTGTTGGAAACCTTTAGTTCCTGACGTGTTGCACCTCGCCATCTCGTCGTCCGTGAAGAAAACATCAACAGAAGCGTTACAGTTGCGTTACGCAAGGTATAGACCGCAGTGCTAAAGACTAAGAGCTCATAAGATGCTAAGATAGGCGTACAGTAAATAATACGCAGCTTTGCTCGGAAAGCTTTGTTTTGCGCCGGCTAACTAGCGCTTATTTATTTTAAAAATGCCGGTTTGCTCAAAGTGACGAGCAACGACCGCGTAAGAGACATGGAGCCGGAAATCTGTTGCTAAAGGATTCACAAAGATTTGGTACTGGGCTTATTAACTTCTTGAGGCGATAAGGATTTATATTTTACAAGGTAAGAATTAAGTTTTAAAAAAGTAATTCATGTGTTCAAACTGAGCTCCTCTGGACCTTGTGAAACACGTCGTGCTCACTGAATTCCTTGCGAAAATCCTGAGGGAAAGAGCCGTGGTTTGCCGTGAATGTTTTCTTTTTTATTACAACTTTCGGATAGGAGAGATCTTCTTCATTTTCGCTTATATTATATATATATATATAAATGCATCGCTTTCGCTTATATTATTATATATTCTGTAATATATTCCACAAACACCATTCTCACAATTACGAAGCTGATAAACACAAGTAACAAAGTAAGGTGGGATGTAAAAGATAAGCTAGCGTGTTATGGAACAAAGGAACTTAGCGAAAAAAAAAATTGTAGCGTGTCATAGAAACAAAGCTCTACCGCGTTAGCCAAATATAAACAATGGCTACAATACGCTTTCCAAAATCAACTGTTTTTATGCGCATATCTGCACGTAAAGCGGAAGTTTTTTTATTTCGACCGTTCAACTTCAACTTCCTGAGATGCTGTATCGTCGTGCCTAAAATAGGTCACTGTCACGTTCAGTTTCTGTACAGCCAGTGAACGCCATAATTAACTAATCGTATCCGACATTGAATAGATTTTTCAGAAAAGGACTCACCGTAGCGGTAACTTGGAGAAAGGAATTAGAAATTTTAGCTAGAAACCTGAATAACAACTCGATTCAATGACGAAAACAAAAGTGGAGTTCTCGAAAATGAATGTTAATATTCTTAGAGTCTGTAATCATATCTACTTCCGCTTAAGGGATTGCTATACTCTATTTTCTACTAAGCTAAAGTTAACAGGAGAGAAGCAAACGAGCCATGGAAAATAAAGCTTTGCCTACATTTTACCGGAGGATAAAAATGATATTTCATGAAAGGAGACCAACAATCAGGAAAATAGCGAGGCGAACAAGAGACAAATTCCATCATAAATAACTAAATATATATATGGTCCTACATATTTCGATTGAGAGGTACAATGCAGCCGAATATTTCGCTTTATTGTTTCTCTCGATAATGGGGGCAAATGGCTAGATTCATCCGTTCGGTCTAAGAAATAGCAGTTATGTGTACATTTCGTAGATGTTCTTAGCAAATATTCTGTTCCATCGCGTATCATCAGATTCCACTTACCTCAGAGAATGCATTTATATAGGCACTCGTTCTCTGCTAGTGGTTCGATTAAGAAGACTGGACACTACCCAAATCTATGACCAATATTTGCTATACAGTTGAACGGAGCGAGTGCGTCTCTAGTCAATCGTGACTTAGAAGGAAATACGCAAGTATGATTTGGAATGAAAGCAAAACTAGGAACGGAGAGTGGGGAGTGGGGACGGGGAGCGGGAGTCTGGGCCTGAAAGTACAGCGGTAATTCGCATAACAACTAAAAAATGGCGGATGACAACATTAACAGTTCCATAGACTCAGTCGTGAGAACAATCTTCATCATGGACGATCAACAAGGGAAGATGTTATTAAAGGCTTTTTTGACTTAATTTTTGTGCTGAAAAATTAGGTTTTACTCAGATGTAAAATGCCGGTGCGATCGAAATCGGTTCTTCGGAGAAAGCTGCATAACACTTAAAGGCATTCAACAACAAGCTTATGTCAATTTAAATAAACATTACTTTCAAAGTGAATCAGTTTAGATTCAACCTTCACTTTCATTTCTGTTGACTGACGCTTTTCTCATCTTCACCGTCATATTGTTATGTCTTCCAGCAGCACATATCATAAGTCCTTAATAAGGCACTGCATTGTATAGCGGATGTACTACCTATTTTGAATTCGATTGATTCTCATACACGTTCCTTTCTCCATTCCCTGTTCGTGGTAGCAGTAACATCATATGCTTAAATTATAAAAGTTCATTTTGCATTGTCATGTATCTACTCTAAAAGTCTGATTATTCATTTGATTTATTTTATCCACTTCGACTTATAGGTTACTTAGGTATTAGCTAATTACACACAACCTCTCAAGTCTCATCGTGTTTAAACAAAGGATCTTACTTACTATACCTAATTACTCTATGTTTCGTGTGTTTTAGTGAAAATGTGTTTTCTAAGAAGACAATTTGCGATGCATACTGTAATGGAATGAGTCTTGTGTTCATTAGTGATAAATTATGATCAGTATTTCTCAGTCATGTTGAAACAAAGGCAAGTGGCGGCATTTAAAAAGCACTCGAAGGAAATAGATTTAAATAAATACGTCATTTCCAAAAGAAAAAAAGACACTTTTTTATTTCAAATACTTTGAAAGGGCAATGTTTGGATGATAGCCATTGTGTCGGGAAGCCAATATTCAGAATAGAAAGACCCAGAAGTGCCCAAAGATTTAGATGACAATAAATTTCCTTTCCACCCCTCATCAGGTAGCCTACTTAATAGTTGGACGATTTCCAAGACATGCGATATTTGGCTTAGAGAGATGTGGTTATCAAGGTAATGATATAAAAAAGTAGTATATCGTCATCTTTACCAATCAAGTCTGTCTGTCGATCTTGATACGTCTTGTGAGAAGTCAAGCCCCACCATCGCTGAATTCCTATCACAGAGGGTGTGAGGAGATGGATAGTGAAATGATTGAAGAGAAATATGGCAAACGTAAAATAGAGGTGTTGCTCCACGTGTAAAGCGTATTTTTTAAACTAAAATTAGTTTTCACAGCATTTTCCGGGCAAGTTGGAATTTCGCATTGAAATTGGTGGTCAGAGTCATCAATAAAGGAGCAGCCGTCAAGCTAAATGAAAGAGTTTGTAGGAAATCAATGGTGGCAGCAAGTCAGCTGTTAGGTGTTGTTTCTACATATATTTCCACGCCGACTCGAGGCTGATGAGCAGGGAGACATGGCCAGCACTGAATAGTTTTTAGCATTTGCAAGGCCGTTTGCCTATATCGCCTGCTTCTGGCAAAGTAAATGTAAGGATTTAAGAAGGAGTTCCATAATGAGAAAGTTTTGGCCCATTCGAAGCCTTCGTAGTACCAACTTTCGGACCATGGAGCAATTGCTGAGTAGAATATGAGCGGAATCCATGTCACTACAAAGGCACCAACCACAATTGCAAATGTTTTGGAAGCTTTGCTTTCCTTTAATGTCTTCGCTGCTTTATCTTCTAAGCAATCAGGAGTTTGCTTGCTAAATCTATCTTCGTTGTCTCGATGTAGCATCGCCACAATTCTAATACGCTGCGCATGTGCGACCCTTAAAATATATGAGTACATAAAAATAGTAGCTAAAAGCAGTGCCATGCAATAAATCCACAAGAAAATTTCTTGCTTGGTTTCTGCAAATGAATAGACAGCAGCAATGATCGCAGATGTCAACCAGGCGACAGATATGTAAGAAAGAGCAAACGTCTTGGTCATTAGTTTGTGGTAACGTAATGGCCACCGGATTGCCGTGAGACGATCTATTGTAATTCCAACCACATTGACGATGGAAGCAAGCAAGGCTAACTTGCCTACAAATTTCATTATCATGATGTATGTAGCATTGTTTTTCAGAACTGGATAGCAAATTGTATTTGTTACGTGAAAAGGCATATATATTGCTGATACTATTAAGTCAGCTGTCGAAAGGCTCAAGATCAAGAAGTCTGGAACGGAACGAAATTTGACGTTCCTTGTGATGGCCAGTAAGACAAGGCCATTTCCTAGCGTTCCAACAATGGCGCCAGCAATGCCGATCATAGATAAGGTTATCACTGAGGTGAATGTCAACGTCCATTGTATTTGAGAGTGGTCGTCAGAGCAGTTTGTACATCCAGAGAAGTCGGACGAGTTTGAAAATACTCTTTCCATTTCAAACAGCTGAAGTAACAGTGGTTGGCTCTTAAGATCTGCAACAAGGAGACTTTGGTCTTAAATATTGTAGGCTATGGCCATTACATAAAACTGCTGCAGCTGTTTATACAAACAGCTGCATATATTAGCACAATGTGATTCAAGCATCAAGTCAAATAGAAGGGAATCTCGTTAAAGTCAATCTTTACCAGCTACCGAAGCTAATGATTATCACCCACGCGTGTGACGATAAGTAAACTTCAGAAGACACAACTTTTGTAACTCATTTCATGTTATAATGTTTCAAGTCGGAAACTTCCGCCGAGAACCTCTGCTTCACAGAGTCAATAGGCATAATAGAAGTTGACATGAAATCACGTTTTTAGCATTGACTTCGCAACGGTTCGCTCACAATGACGTAAATGAATTGAAATACTTACTGGAACCAAAGAGGAAAACACAAAAGAGTATCCTACCGAACAGCTACAACAGTGAATCGGGAAATAAATCCCGTATGAACCTGAAATTTATCGATGAAATTTTTCTTGGTCAACAGGCTTCACTCCTGCAACCGTCTATACAAGGGACTGTGCGGCGTTATTTCTTCAACTTGAATTTATAAACGATATAACCTCTTACTTTTGAAACGTAGAAAGAATTCGTGTTTCTTGCACGAACATTAACGAAGCTAGAGCTGATTTTCTTCATAGCTTGATGTAAATGATTTGTCACGGTTCGAATTTTTCTTTGGCTCGAGTCCTCGCGCCTCGTGTGTACACTTACGGTAAAATCACGGCAGACGAAGCCTTGACTTATGTGTAAGTCCTTGATAATGAAAGATGGTTTAGTGGATAAACAACTTACCTATCTGAAGTAAATGCCATCGACGATATGTCTTGATCCTTTGGCTCCAAGCAATGATTTCTTCCAAATCAACGAATATGAGTGAAAAAATTTAGCTTTAGGACAGACGTAAGTCCTCCACGTCGTCAATCCATAAGAGCTGTTACACGAAGGCGAATGACGACAGTGATAAATATTAAATAAGTCACGAGAATAGTAACCCACTTAGGAGTAGTTATTTTTGTTTCTTTCGGCCACGGAAACCACTTCAATGAGCGGTTCCTGTAAAAGGCGATCTGTAATTAAATGCTTTGTCTAAAAGAAGCGCTCAACCATGAACCACGCTACACTGCAACACTTCAGTTCAAAAGGACAAAGACAACCCGTAGAAATACCTATACACAGCATTTTTTTTGAATAATTGTATCCTGAAGTCATTTGCTAAGTGCAGTGCAGTAAGGTTAATACTGAACGTAATTGTAGCCGCTTTTGAGAGCTGTAAAGCCCCTTCCTGTCCGTAGATGATTAACCCAAACTGAGGGAGAAAATAATGAAACGAAATTTTTTAACTAAGAGAGCTGTAAATGGTTTTTTAAAACTGCTTTTTCCTAGTCAGGTTCCATTTCCATTAAAAAAGACAAAGATAGACAAATTCTTGTTATGCACTCTTTGATATTATATTGAAGACAAAAGCTAACCATAAGATAAATATAGAATCCATACTAAGGGGGCAGATATTGAAAGCAGCAGCTTTCTACAATTTCTTTAGAAAGTAAATACCAATACCAAAAAATTAAGTTACTATTAGCAACATATGCTTTGCGGCATTGGCTCTATTTTCAAAGGTGCCTGAATACCGTACAGGTTTCTTTCCTTGCGATTTTTCATAATTTGTTGCGCATTCCCCATGACATATAAAATAAAATAAGGCTGCATGAGAATGTTGGTGCAGCAAAAAAAGCGTGATAAGGCCATTGATTTAATTGAGATTTTTGGGGGGTTATTTCTTCGTTGACTGGAAAGTTCTGAGCAAAGCTAAGAATTTACCGTATAGTTAGTTTGACATTATGTTGCTATCTGAGTGCTTTACGAATCTATTCAGACCATTTGATTCGTCAGACTGATTTTTTTTGCCTTGTCTTAACCGTGGGTAGCAGGTAAAAGCCCGCACATAAGCAGTAGATTAACAACTTATGGCCATTTTTCTCAGAAAAAATTACGGCAGTTTTACTACCTAAGGCTGTTATCTAGGCTCTAAACGAATGTAAGTGGCGAATGATTTCATAATAATAGCTCTTCGAATAAACACATTGTTTTAAATCTCATCGGTCGCAAAAATTTAACTTTTTCTCCTAACTCTTGGTAAAAGATCACTGGATAAGCTTTTTCCTAGGTCACCTTACATCCAAAAGGATGATGTCAGATGCAAGACTATGTCTGGTTTTGCTTTAAATTCACAATTATGCATTGTTCTTCACCAAGATGCATTCGAAGCAATATCAGCTGATAGGGCCAATGAATAACCAGTCTATCTAATTTCGACAGTAATAAGAAGTGACTGCGGCACGGAATGTCAAGAACTTTTGACTCGGTCGAGCACGGCCCGGAAAGCGAATACATTATGGAACAAAGAATCAATAAATTCCTTCATAGTTTTATAACTTTCTACAGGAAGTTGATTGAAAGCGACTGAATACTTCACTACTCTGGTAAGATCTTTTAATCACTTGGGCTATTTATGGTTGACATACCATCGCGGTTCTAATCTAAAAGGATGGAAAACTTCGTAAATTCGGTAGGCGTAACACGCAAAAATTGGTGACTATCAAGATGAAGCCTCATCGTAAATTCTTGCAGCCTCCATTTCAGAGAAAACCTGTCAACGCTTACGCGACGGAAAGGAAACAGGGCCAAGAAACAAAAACAAAAAACAAAAAACAAAAAACTTCAAAGCAAAACAAACAAACAAACAACAAAAAACAATTTTTCCTGTTGAAAATATCAGGACTTTTGGTTGTTTGTAATTTATCTTGGAGTGATTGTTTCAATATCATCGGGATCTTTTTTTGGCCTTCGGCCTTCGAAAAGCAGCAAGCATTGTAAGAAAAAATCGATTAGCGGCGAAGGATGTTTCAGTGAAAATTCAAATGGGGAAAGGGCGCGCTTAAAGCAGCGTTTGGGAAATTTTCTTCTACATTCATGAGCATTTCGCTGCCAACAAGTGATGAAGATGAATCCAGTAAATAGAGCGACAAATGAATAAGTAATGAAATGCGTAAGTAGAGTTAAAGAGCCAGTCATAACATGCTATAATTCAGCTACAAAGACAAACCATAGGGTCATTGGCTTCGCAGTTGAAGTTATACAGTTTATTTTACAAAATAAAAATAAGTACAAAAATAGATTTAAGCGAAAATCCAGAGAGCAATCGATAATTGTAAAGCTAGCCACTCGTTAGCCTAGCTTCGTTGGAACTTTGGAAAGCATCGCAGCCTCCCATCCGCTCCCCTCGAAAAATAGACTTCATTGCTCCTTGATTGAGAGTGTCTCAAAGGAGACGATCCTCTAGATTTTGCTCCTAATGAAAATATTTCGGCCATTATTTATCAAAAAGAATAAAAAACCAAACAATAAAAAAACAAAAGTAGTTGGTTAATATACGAATTTTGTCGGTCATTATCCCAGGAAATCCCGAGGAAGCCGAAAACAGATTGCTGATTTGTTACATTCACATACAGATAGGTACATTTCTCTGCTAAACTTTCTAGAGCGTTTAAGCAGCTACTGAATAATACTTGTTTATACTGCCATAGCATAGTATATCTGCTCTGCAGTGTTAAGTATTAATTCAATCATTACTTTTAAAAATATCACTTTCATCTGTTGATGATGTGCTGGTCTATCATTCCCTTTCTATCGTTTAAATATTTTTTTTCTCACTCTTTTCCCTTTCCCTCTGTAAAAACTTTGGACCTATGACACTGATAACACAAACCCTGAAGATTTATTTTTCCTAAGGCTGTTTGGAGCCACTGCTATCAAGTTATTCCTTCCTTTCATCCTCCTTTTTCTCAGTTCTTTCGACCTTACCTGTTCGATTATTGTAAATATGGTTACATCTGAATTCATAACCACTCCACCTACGTATAAGAAATAAATTGAAAAAGGATAATCACAGTACACTTTTGTTTTAAAGGTAAATAGACGATTTAAAAAAAGTGTAATACTCCGCATTACTTAAAAAAAATGGGTATTCCGTACTTGACCTTAGAAGAATAATATCCAGTTGTTGTATTCTTTAAAACCTTAGTAAAAAGTGCAAAACTGGGTTACCTTCGCTACTGACACTCGTAGTTATTTTCAATTTTTTTCACCCTTTCAGATAGCGTCAGCGCTAGCACTAAGGGCAGTAAAGAAAACTACTTGCAGCATCAAACATGGCAGTAGTAATAGTTACGTGGTAGCAATTACAAAAGTTGTGGAAAAGTTAATAGTGGGGGAAAATAAAGGCATTATCTGTGTTTTACTAGTGAAACTAGTAGCCTTACCATTGGTGGCACTAATAACAGAAATCAATAATTAGTTTATCTAGGTCCTGGTTCATTGGTTCATTGGTCAAAATAGTTGCAAAAGATGTTGCGCCAAAACATGTGCCAAAACGTATTGTACAAGCTCTTGTGCAAGGATCTCAACGGTGTAAACCGTTAAGCCGAAAAACGACAAAAAATAAATAAGTAGTCGTTAGGCGTAAACATTGACAAATTTTAACCATTAGTCGTTACAAAAAAACAAACCGTAAACATTTTTCCTCCCATAGCAACGGAAAGAAATTAAGCGGCAATTGTGAAATGTTAACCGTTTGCCTTAAAAGCCACCACCCCATTGAGACCCCCTTTAAGGTTTAATCAATTTTAATGAATTAAGTGCCCTCTAAGGTGTCTAATTGGCGCTGACTAAATCCAGGGAATTATTGATTTAAGATTGTGATTGATCATTAGGCTGTTTGTTCTCTTCCAAAATCACCGCGGTCCGTCCACCATCATTTCCTGTCAGTGTTTGGTATCGGTCTTCTTCTTTTTCCTTTTCAGTTGCCGTATGGTCATTCTTGGCTTCTTTTTCTTTACCAAAAGACAAAGAAACGTATCGTGGATCTTCTTGTTTGGATGCTTCCCCCTGAACAATGATTTCCACGAACTCTGGCTTTGCTTCTTTATCGTCTGGAAGTGGTTCCTTCTTGGGCAGCTCGCCTGGGGAAGCGTCGCTTTGATCAACGGACTCACCGTTAGCCTCGTCTCGTTTGATATCCTCGGAAGAGGACATTTTAGTCATACCTATCTCAGCATAGATTGGATTGGACACTCCACTGGCCTCTGTCGTTTCTTGAAACGGAGAGAAGACCTCCGGATGTATGTCGTCGTAGTCTCCAGTGCCGGCGCCGTCGTATCCCGGATTTTCAAAGGCCGTGGTGCGACGTTTCGACTCGTCCTCGTCTACTTCTCTCACATAAGGCAAGTTTAATTTACCAGTCCTCTTCATTCTAATAAAAATCAATTAAGACAAATGAATGAATGAGGATGTTTAAATGTTGAGGATAGTTGATGTGATATTACGTTATGACGTGAGTTGATACACTCTGCAAATAATTATTGTATCGTATATAAAACCCGATTTCTTTTGTGCAGCCGGAAGAGCAAGATGATCTCAATGTGAGTAGTGAACTTTTCTACATAAGAATCTTACTCACCTGAAATACCAGACGGCCAGGGCAACCGTGATGAGAACAAGCCCCAAAGCTACGACTACCCCAGTAATCACTCCTGCATTCGATCGTCCGGATTGTGGCGCGGGCGTGGATTTTATGACTGGTTTCTGTTTAACTGAGAGTACATCCCCTCCATTTTTACGTCCAATCGCCGCTGCGTTCTTTTTGGTCACATCAGCGACGAATGAAGCTGACACCGGCTCAGGTTCGCCTCTATTAGTAGTTTTAACCACAGCATACTCAACTTGGGTTCCTCCATCAACTTCTTTTGGATCAGAGGGAATGTAGATGTCTTCTTGTGTAAACGGACCATTTACAGCGCGTTTGACGATAGACGCAGGGCTGATAAATTAAAATTATTGATAAGACATTGATAAACGAATTGCTGAATGAAATAAATGATAAAGAACGAGTTGGTTAGGGAAGCAGACTTATCAGTTTCAGGGTGCATATAACCACCAATATCCTGGTAGTTAACACTAATTAGTAGACAGGCAGACATGTAGGTAGGTAACTGAATGGATAACTGAGCAGATTTCATAGGTAACGGACTGCGTGGTTACTTGAATAAAATTTATTGCGTAATTAGTTGGTAAATATAAATGTGCGGTGTACTTTTGTATTATGAAAGCTGAAGTTTCGAGCGTTAGCCTTTCGCCATTCGCTCTGATGAAGGGCCGGAACGCTCGAAACGTCAGCTTTGAAACTTTTTACGGTGGCCAATTTACTTTATCAACTCATTTGATAATACCTAATTACCCTTTTGTTCTCTCCCACCGACGCAGCACCACAGTTTGTTGAGAAACTTCCCCCCTTTAAATAGGCGGTGGCCTGGTAAATCGGTAGAAGGTGGCTAAATACGTAAGAGGGAAGGTAAATAGGCGTATTTTGCAAATAATTCCTACCTTTCGCTAATTGGGCATGAGTCAGGGTTCGCATTGCATTCTTCATTTAGTGCTGCCACAATTGAGAGTATGAAGTCTTTTAGATTGAACTAAAAAGATATAAACAAATTAGTTGACATCGCGATTACGAAGTCTCCGGGAGAGAGTGCGTTTACGACATAATGAAACTCAAAGGAAATCTCCCCAAAATTTTCAATTACGGGGTGGACCTTGATTAGAGCGATGCAAAAACTTTGTTTGCTGTTTCGTTTCACGCTAAGCTTGGTGATGGGACTATCGTAATAAATTAAGGGAATTAATTGCTTTGTAACGCACAGGGGAGAAAACCTTAAAGGTACCTTTTTGTTTAATTTTAAAGCAGCAACCTCCAAATTAGAGTTGAAATTTTCCGTTTTCTGATCAGCTCGATACAGCTTCTTTACCCGAACATGGCTGGTTAAAAGAACTCGAAGAAATATTGCGACAAACAGTTGGGATGATATTTCGAATTTACCAAGACAGAGATTTAGGGTTTTTCTTCCTAATTTCCTTGCTCCTTGTTGATAAGCACAGGTAAATTTATTAAAGACAGCAAAAACCCTACGAGCTCGTACAATTTGTCGTCTTTGAATTTAAGCCAAATGGAACAAGACATCATGTCATTACCCAATACATAACAAAAAAACGGCATTACAGAAAGTCAAGACAGACGAAATTTTGGACAGCGCGCGCGCTATTTGTAATTTGCACTCGCGTTACATAAAAAAATGCACAAATTTACAGTCAATCAGAAGTGCGTGATTTTTTCATGCATATCATCAATTTTCGAAATGAAAATTTTGAGAACTTCATGTCTAATACGTAGACACCCAGTGGGGTGTATTTTATGAGGATGAACACAGGCTAAAGTGTAATTCTTGACTAACCTCCGCTAAAGGCACTGCTAGTACCAACTGGACCGTTTCTTCTTCTGCATCAATGAAATATTGACTAAGTAAGTAAGAATTCGCCTCTTAACTTATCCTAGCCTGCCATTTTACTTATTTGTAGGCAGAAAGAGCGAAAAAGTGGGGACGCGAATTAAAAACGGTGGGACTCAGCCTCATAACGCAGTCGTTACCCTAAAGTTCACAACCTACGTTTTTCGTTCCCTCACTCTTTCGTTCTTCTTCTTTGACAAAAAGCCAAGGACAGGCCAAACTAAGTCACATTTTAAAATGATGAAGCAAAGACGTTCATAGAGACTTGAAAAACAGTTAGTCATCAGCTTGGTTTACATAAAAAGAAAAACTAAGGAAAATGATAAAAAAAAAAAAATAAACAAACAAAGATAGTAAAAACGTAAACTATAAATAACAAACAGAAACACTAATTTTTTTCTTTTAAGGAAGTTTTAAGAGTTAAATTTTTTATAGAGAAGAATATATATATGAGGTTGTGTCTCGAATTTTCACAATTACACAATTGCACCATTACACAGATTCTGACTCACCTATATCAACCGAGCAAGTTGGACCCCCAAAGTACCCCACACAGCGGCAATGGAACTTTTTATTGACTGCAGGTTCAGATTTGCACGTGGCTCCGTTCATACAAGGTGCGCTGGCACAGTAGTCAATAGGCGTTGTGGGGGGTGCTGTGGTCGTTGGTGCTGTGGTCGTCGTAGGCGGCGGCCAAACCACAACTGACGGTGAGCAATTCTGTCCATCGCTTGTGATATTTGGGCAATCACATTTGTATCCAGATGGAATTTTGAAGCAGAGGTGCGTGCAGCTGTTTTTACTACATGGATGAATTGCTAAAATAGAAATAAATTAAACCTAAGAGACTGAAAACCGCAGTTAGAGGTCTATTCAGACAATGGGTGTTCAAGTGCTTCAAAAAAATTTTATACGAACTTGGAAGGTATCCACAAAAGACGAATGAGATGAGAGTAAAAAAAATGTGATAAGATAGTCGAATTTATTCTCGCTTTGTGCCAAAGTTAATTAGGAGGGAAACGAATGGCCCCTAAAAAAAATTTATACGGCTTCGTGATATCATGATACTGTCGTAAGAAATACTCACTTTCTTGTTCATAACGACCTTTTTTTACTGCAATTCCCCTTTGTCCATGCAGCCCAGAAACCTCAACTGAAACATCAGCATAGTTGGTCTTGTTGACTCGCAGAACCATTGCATACCAGAAAGTTTCACCCCAATATAAGTATTGGTCATCGACAGCAATTCCATGTGGTTGGAAGAACAAGAAGACATTTTGAAGAACCGTATGGATAGAGTTGTTTCCGGAATCGAGATCGATGTAGAAGATGGCGGACTCGTCGTAGCTCACAAAGTATATGCGGTTAAATGGAACGTCAAGGGTGATATACAAGGCATCAAAAGGTCTATCGAAGGAGGTGTTTCCCAGTGCAATCGTTGCTCTGTTTGATCCATCTAGTTGCGCACTTTCAATAAAACCTAGAGCCGACCAGTACATGTACCTGGAAAAGAAACATTCTTCAAGATAAGGAAAAGAGTTTTTTCCTTAAGCCTTCCTGATATTTCTCGCTTGAGCTGATTTTAAAGATTCGAAGTTAAGTTCACTTTATTGCAGATCAAGAGCACGAAATCAATTGTTGCGCCTCTTTTGCAAAATTCAAATTTCATATCTTCGATGGCGAAACGACAAAGAAAGATGGATATACAAAGTAGGAGCCGAATTATAGTACCTATTCTTTACACTTAGATTCGAGTCATCAATCCGATCAATAAAGCCACCCTCAATTTAACGTGCAACCATACAGAGATATGTATGTAAACGATGGCAATACCATGGCCTATCTCTGTAGTTTCCTGACATTTATGTCATTCAGCATCGATATACAATGTGTTAAAAATAAATTCCGTCTGTTTTATTCTTCTCGATACATTTCAGCCTACTAAACCCATTGAACTAAATATTGCTCAAAAATTTGCATTGTTCTGAACTAATTTACGTTTATATTGACGCATTAAACAAAAGCTAAGACTGAAATAATCCATTGACATTCGTTACGTCACTCTCCAAAATTATTTTGTTAGTTACAGACGAACTTGCATTATGCGGTCATCCATGGGAAATGAAGAGGTGACCGCTTAATACAGGTTTCGCATAATAGGAGTCAAACGCGATAAAAAAAAATGCATTCTGTCTTAACAGTTCTAAGAATAATAGTAATCCGAAGTGCGTTGAGAACACTTGAACTCAAAGTACTAACATTGATTTTATTGATGCCTTAAATTTGACTTTAGAAATTGTTTTAATTTTATTTGAGTGGTTCAACTCTGAGTCACCGTTCAAAATGGGTGGAAGACGATACAAACAGGTCGTTGAGAATCAAAGGTGACCACGATCGCTTAACAGAGGTGAAAAATTGCAGTGCTAAAAGGGAAAAATTTCGAGACTTTGACCGATCGCTTAATACAGGGTGACTCGTTAGTACGGTGCCGCTTAATACAGGTTTGATTGTACACTGTAACTGCGACAATGAAAGTTTAACTTACCCTCGAGTCGTATCCAAAACAATGTCCTGCGGTGACGGTTTCGGGTCAGAAATCAGCACTTTCCAGTTATCACCGTTGAGATTCGAGACTTCGATAGTACCTTCGTCGCTGTTTATCCAAAACACATTTCGTCCCACAAGATCCAAACCAATTGCCGTTGGTGAACCGTTATTACGTATTACTTCGTACATCTCTCCATTAAATTTGGATCGAGCGATCTTGCCCAGGGAGGGTTCAGTCCAATAGATACGGTCTTCGAATGGATCAAAAGCTACTCTAGTGGGATTTTGTACATTAGAAATTGGTAAAGGAGTCAGAATATCCCTAGTCAGCTCAGAGTAAGAAATCTTCTGGGAACCGATATCAGCAACAAATATGACGTCACCAAGAGTACCTAGAGGTAAAAGGAGGCATAAATTAGTTTATCAAAGGGAGAAAACACACGATAGAATGTAGACTTGTATGAAGCCACTTGTTCCAGTCACTTATCAGTGAAGATGGAAATCTGGATCTGGCCATCATGTCATGGCGTAGCATTCAAAATTAACAAAAGCACTCACTCTTATAGATGTTGGGTTATGTGTAATCATTGTAAGACGAGGGCGGCGTTTAAGTCAGAGGGTTGTTCAGTTCCTTGCAATGGAACCAAGGTTGATGAAGCCTAGTTGCCTTGAAAATTACGTCATGATGACGTCTTAGATTTGTCGCCTAAAACCACACCTGGAAACCTTCACTAATTGTACATGACCATGAAATATGAAAAAAAACAGGAAAGATATGGTGTCTTTTACAAGTCATACACTAAACACAATACACAAATAAACCTACAGGTTTTTCCATCTTCTTTTAGTACCATTCCAGACCTACACCTACACTTCTGGTCATTTGGAGTCACTAAGCAGAGCTGTTCACATCCACCGTTATTCTGACATAGTGCTTCATCTGTAAAAGAAAAGTTTAATAAATTATTGGTTCTTGCTTAGCGTGCGCATATCGAGTTATGGGTGCACGCAGGAAGTTTAGATAGCACGAGACAAGCGTATGAGTTGCTCGAGGCGCCACTAACTTTAGCTTGTTAAATTATTGTACGAGTCCTCTTTCAATTCTAGTTCTGTTAATCAAGTATCAAAAAATTTAAAACTCAAAAGCAATTCGGCTGAGACGGGATTTTGCAAGGAAGTGTTGGTAATTTCTTCAAAAAAGCGCGACATCTACTGGCCAACTGATTATTTTTTTGTTTTTCTACAACAGTATATTACGAAAGTTAATGCACCTCTCCACAAAATTAATTGGCTTAGTTTTTATTTTCACGCCGTAACTTCAAGAGGGGGCAGTTGAGCTAGTCCATGATTAGAAGTTCATTTGGTTTTAATTCCTAGAATTTACCTCGCACGTGATCAAATATCAAGTGTTTTTTTCGTTAACAACATCAGCAACAGAGATTTCCGATAACCCATCGTTTCTAATATTGGGTCTTTTTAATTCTTTTATGAGAGACCCAGCCTGTTTCACGGAAGTCCTGGAGGATAGCGGTATCAAAATTCTGTTCTTTGTCAGTCGTGTAACCTTTCAAGATCGAGATGTTAGTAGTTTAAAAAGTCAAATAATAAGAAATTCAGACAACTAAACAGAATGGTGTGCGATTTTAGCGAATACCTGCACTTCTACGTCTTAAGATTCAAATTCTGACTTATGGTTTTGAGGTCGTTCAGCTACCTAATCTTACGATGATATGATATAATTACCAGGAGTTATCATAGAGTTGTGTGCATATATCGCCGACGGATCCCCCAGATCAGCAATCATCTCTTGAGCAACTGGGTTGTCTGTAATATTTGCTTTGAATACGGCACCAGTAAACTTTCCGTCACCCGAAGAAGTCCAGTACAGCGTATTGTTTATTAGTGTCAGTCCTCTAGGGTGATGGAGATTTCCGGAAATAAATGTGCGGACCTCTTTATTGTCCAGATTGATGTAGCGTATGAAGTCATGGGTTTGGTCAGAAAAGTACAAGCGCTTGTTAGGTTTATCCAGTGCTAAGTTAATGTATGTATAACTTAGAATGAAGGGCATAGTTTCGATAAGCATCTGGTTTTCTCCATCCATATCGGCTCGATGAATTGTCGTATTGATTAATCCATGCGATACATAATATATGTACCTGTTCGAGACAAATCAAATCAAAATAAAACAATAGCAATGTGAAGTATATGAAATATTTAAATAAAATTATTTTTTCTATTTATAAATCGCTGGCGATCCTTGAAATTTGATTGGCTTTCGTCGGTGCGATTTATTCAAGAATCGCACCATTTTTACTCATTTTAAAGCGTTACAAAAAACACATGACTTTTAAGACTGTTTAAAGTAACAAATCGAATTGCAGGAATATGAATGACAACTTTTGCACATTTGTACAAAATCAGCTCAGTACTGGATCAAAACATTTTTTTCATACAGACTGAAAAATCCTTTCTTTAAGTGGCTAAATCTTGCGATTTTAAAATGACTGTAACAACGTGATGATCAAACTGCGTGTTGAGCAATTTTGGTCAGATAGCATACTTGTGATTTCAAATCAAACTCACGTTGCACACTCGTTCGATTTCGAAATCACACGCATTATTTCAGAGTCAATAATATACATAAAAAAATTTCAGTTGGCTCATTGGTTGAGAACACGCCAATTAATCCCAAACAGCGCAGGAAGATGTAATTGAATGCAGAAAGTTAAAATTAAAATCTTTCTTGATTTTTTTTGTGATTTCGCGACAGGTGAGTCGCGAAATCATAACAAAGTAATGGTAAAAAAATTCAAAATACCTAACAAAATTGGATTTTGACCACTTATCGAGGAATATTTAAATACAATAGCACCACTTCATGTCTTAAGAGATATCACTCTTGCCTAGAGATTTCATCAAGTCTTTCTTGATGCAAAGTGGATTATTTTGAGAAAAGTATCTGTAATAAAAACTTCTGGTGACAACAATTGAGCCATATTAACCGTTATTCTTATAATGACTAAAATTTTAACCGTTCGTCGTAATTCGATTCCATCACCCCATCAACTTTCTCTCTCAAAAGTATATACCGCGGATAAGCATAAAGACTCTTTCACACCTAATTCGGTGAAGCTTACCTTGATTCAATGTCTAAGACGATCCCTTGAGGAAACTCTACGTCAATTAGAACCGCTTGATAGGTTCCGTCAAGAGAGGCAACTCTAATATTATCGGCGTAAAAGTCAGCAAAGTAGATGTTCCTTCCAACAGTGTCTATTTGTACACCCGTTAGGAAATAGTCTCTGAGAACTACTTCATCCGTGCCATTATGTATGGAAGCTCTTCTAATTTCTCCATAGTAATCTGTCCAATACATCTGTTCCTCTTTGAAATCGTAGGCTACTGCGATTGGCTTAGAGTCGAGTGTAATCCTTAAAGGAATCGGCTGTGCAGAAGAATTGGGCGGAGGCAGAGGCTGAAAGTGGCAGAGTTTGCGATTGTCATCGCAAAATAGCAAGAAATCATCTGCATCTGTGGAAGTGCATATAAATGAAAAATATGTGTCTGTGAGACAACTTTTAACCTAGTGAAACCACTCGAGGAAGGAGATGTAACCTGCAATTACTCATCATCTCACGCAGGGAGAGAGAATAATTTCTTCTGACTTCGTGACTAGGAAAATGGGATTAGCTCTGGCTCCCTGGCCGAGGAGCAGATTAATTAGCTTTTTAGTCAATTTTCGAACAGTTAAGTTACTCTTTGGAATCTCAAAATTCCTATGACGGATATGAAAGTTTTATGGTACTATGTACTTTATCAAATACTGAAATATGTGTCACTATAGATGTTTAGTCTCATGCTTTGATCCCAAAAAGTCAATGCTCGACTAGCAGACAGCCACTTCGCGCCTACTACTGTCTAACTTTTGACACAGCCGAGCTTTAAGAATAAAATTCTTACCTGGACTTCGAGTATCGTTCGTGCATATGACCGATGCATCTTCCTCGTGAAAGCAGTAGCCGATTACATTCCATCCTTTGTGCTGACAATCCTCGATTGAACTTTCATTACCTAAACATTCCACATCTGCCAACCAGATGTGACCATTTCCTTCACCAAAAATAGCGTCCGTGGGAGCACTCAAAGCCTCCCGATAACCAAGTTCACGACAAACAACGTCTGCATCCTTTTTATCCCAGGAATCGTCACAAATAGTTCCCCAGTGGCCATCATGAAATATCTCCACTCTTCCCTCACCCTCACGTATTCCGTCAGCCAGTCTCAGTATTTGACCTGAGGAAAAAAACGTTAATTTAGTGGATGTTACAATGATGGAAAGGGTTCTTTTCTTGCAAAAGTCTTTAAAGCGAATTTACAGGGTAAATAATGTGCATAAACAGAGTTCATCGTTACATCATTAGCTGTAAGAGAGTTTTGTAAATTGAGTCTCAAAATATGAAAAGCAATTTTGCTTTTGTTATCTTTTAATTTCTCGTGGGGAGTTTCAGACTAAAGTCATCTGTCATGCTGCGTGGAATAATGACTTGTTCTCGTGGTAAGGCCGGTAAACTTTTCTTTTTTTCTCATAAAAGGTTCTGTCGTTACGCAAAACGGAACGGACTTTACTTTCAGTCATCTTTGAAGTTTTTTTTGCGACCGACTAGTTTAGCCACTACGTCATTAAAAAGAAGAAAATTTCCACACTGCCATTTGGCGGAATTTTCAAATTTCTGTTTTCTAATATTTAGTTTTACCATCTTCTGGCTTACCTTGCCTTGGCAATGGAGTGTATTTGCAGACTACACCAACGTCATCAAAGTGGAGGCAGTTCTGACTTCCCCACCCACCATGGCGGCATCCTGCAATGCTTTCTTCGTCGCCAACACAATGCACATCATCTAGCCAAATCTTGTCTGGTGTACTATATCCATCATACCAACCGCAGCAGTGTGTACTCCAAGCACCTTCAGTATACCCCAGCATACGGCAAATGACGTTTGCTTCCTCGATTCCCCAATCGTCATCGCATATGGTTCCCCACGTACCGTTAAGGAAGAGTTCCACTCTTCCTTGATTTGACGTGATTCCAGATCTTAAGCGAACCTTTAATTCTGGGTCAAGAGTAGGCAAAAAATCCTTAGTAATTTATTGTGGTCTCGTTAATACAACGCTTCTGATATTTGTGATATGTAAAAAAATAAGACGATTGACTAAAATCATAATAAACTCACCCGGATGTGGTCCGGGAGAAAGTGTTGGGCCTTTAAAATGAAAAGCATAAAGCAGAACAGATTAGCTGTAAAATTCTAAATAAAACACACTAATGTTATTTTAATCCATTTTCCAGTCTCCAAGAGAAAACCTTATCGATGGCTTGTTAATGACCAAGCTCGAGGGCCGTATTACTAGGGAATTTTGGTTCGAGGTCGGGGTAGTAGGGCCAATATTCCTCGGTGCCACTCAAGCAAGCGATGTTAGTCTGTAGCTTGTTGTACTGCACTCGAACTAGACTTGTAAAATTTGACTTTTCCTGGTGTCGAGAACAAAAATACACGACTCGAACTATAACCTACTCTGTGGAAACGGCCCGTATGGCAAAGTCCCGACCATATAATTCAGAATTATGAATAAAAGAATCTTAAACGTTCATAGAGATTATCATGAAAGTAAAAAACTCACAAACCGAATCCTTGGCCTAATGTTTCATTAAATACCAAGTAGTAACTCAATTTCGCAGGAGATGGTGTATACTCAACCATACCATTACTCTCAATGCTATTTCATACTCAAGAAAACAATACCATACATCATTTAAAATAGAACCACGACTAAGCTCTGTTGTTGAGATATACTCGTGCCAAAGGTGTACAAACTGTGTTTACCTTCAGGAGAAGGAACAGAGTCATTTCTGCACACAACTCCTGCGTCTTCGCTATGGAAGCAATTATGCATCTCCCAGCCATCGTGCTGACAAGCCGCAATGGTGTGCTCATCACCGCGGCACTTAACATTATCCATTAAAATGGGAAACGAAGAGTTCCCTGGTCCGAAGGATTCCACACGGTTGGCTCCCGAGAAGTTCAACATTTTACAGACAACTGTAGCCTCACTTATGCCCCAATGATCATCGCAGACTGTTCCCCATCTTCCTTGATGATACACCTCAACACGACCTTCGTCAGGGGAGTTGGAGCCCCTAAGACGTACTTTCACAACTGTCAAAAAACATAAGACAAATTATAGAATACAAGATACTGCAGAGAAAGGAAACTTTAAAACTCAGATTATATTTATTTGAGCTATTTTCATACTGTCTGGTCTGCTCTGAGAGTTCGTCAGACAAGTTCAGGTTTAATGCAACATTTCAGATGACAGTCCAAGAGTTATATGCTTATATGCCATGCGATCAAGGCAGAGCGATTAGAAAGAGAATCGTCACACCCTCCCCACTCTCCATGTTTACAGTAGAATCACGGATGATGCCAGTTGAAATTTGATGCTAATTTCCAAGCCTGCACGTTCCCGAAGCATTCCAGTCTCAGAAATGACCAAAAATGAATGCTTAAATGCCTACCTGGCACAGGCAGTGGAGGTGGCTCTGGTATAACTTCTAAAAAGACAAAGAGAATACAAAAAATTGGCAAATCAAAAGGCTACATAATGCTAAATAAGTGAGAAAGAAGAGAGGGTTTGCAACTGAAATAGCTTCTGTCTGCGCTTACCTAGCGTCACCATGTTGTGAAAAAATAAAGAAAGAAAAAATATCAAATTTATAACAGGTGGAGGGGGGGCGAAGTGATGGTATGCCATCGAGAAAATAATGTACTGGCCTCTCCACCATTTACTTAATATTTATTTACTAGTAAATATTACCGTCACTGCAAGTCATATTGTCGTCTTCTAATTTCACACCAGATGGACATGCACACTTGGTGAACCCGCCGGGAGCCACTAAGCAGAGATGGCTGCATCCACCGTTATGAATACGACACGGAGATTTGGGTGCTTCAAAGAAAAGAAGTTTTGTTAGTTATAAAATTTATAACTCGTTTTATGTTGATATCAGAGTCGTACTTCCCTTAATATGGAGCCTCATAAATAGAACCTGGACTGAGATCTTTGTCAAACCCTACCTATTAGTTGTTTATGTTATAAAAGCGAAAATTTGAAAATAAAATGGGGTTGCCCTTGTATTTTAAGAAGCAGTAGTATCCCCTAATTCTTATCAAATCATGACAAGTATATTTTTGAGTACTTGCTAGATCGTGTTTCTGAAAGAAAGTCATTGCTCAATTCCAATGAAGCGGGAAAAAATGATAGGTCACCGTGCTCGTTTGCGAGAAAATGACGATTTACTTCTCTGATGAGCTCAGACCATAGAGAAAAAGCTGCTTTTTTATGTCCTCACCCCAGCTACGTGTGAAATTATGCGAAGTCAAGACGCAGCGCAATGATTTTCAGACATTCAATGTAAAAAGAAAAAAAGAATTTATATAAATTAACGGCGATTCATTCTATTTTCTTGAGAAAAATTGCCTTGATTCAATATGACCTTGCTTTTAAATATCTTACACCAGCATTGGGAATAAAATTATGATTAAGAGGACAAAAATAGCTCTGATATAAAAAGAAAGCGTGGAAAGCAGAAAAAAAATAGATGAAACGTAAAATTTGAAAGTAGAATTTGATAAAAACTGGATCATTGGATAATGCAGTTCAAGAACTTTCATTGGCTTAACCATCATGGGTTATGAGCGATTATACCATGCTCCACAAATATGGTAAGTGTATGCGTCAGCTCAAAGTTAAAACAAAGCTAAAAAAAACTTATAAAACATCCTTACTTTGGGACGTTCTTAATGAAACAATTATTCCACGAGCGCTTGTTGGATATAGCCAGCTAGGCTATCAATCATCTCATATCCAACGCTCCCTCGTGGAATAATTGTTAAACAGAAATATGGGTGTGTGGACAGATATTTCCAAAGTTTGGCTGGAGCATATTTGGTCATGTGACCTGTTTTAACCAATCGTTTACGAGCGAAAGTATTTGATGGACTGTCAACAATATTCTATTTAAGAGAACTACTTACCAACAGGTTGTCTCGATTTGTCTGACACCACAACACCCGTGGGGTACTCATCAGTGAGGTGTCCGAGGTTATAATGCATGCCTAGTTTCTGAGTCTTGTTCAAAAACTCAACGCTGTGACTATTCCTGTCCGCCCAATAAATAGAGTCGCCAAGCAAAGCGAGATCTGTTGGGCTTATGTTCTGTCCGATGTATGCATTGTAGACTACGTTATTCCCGTCCATGTCGGCTTGCTGAAATTCGTGAAAGTATCTGTCTATCCAGTGGATGGTCTCAGTTTCGTAGTCAACTATCACACTCATAGGATAACTCTGATACCAGGAAAAGTCAACTATGACTGTTGGATTTTCACCCGTTAGATCCAACCGTTCAATTCTTGGATTATCAAAAAGTCCTGAATCTGTCCAGAATAAGAACCTTGAAGAAGATAAAACATACCGATGCAATTGTCGTTCTATGAAATCCTGATCGATCGAACTGAAATGATGTTCCACTTTTCAGTTAGGTTGATACATTTTTAACTCTACAACACCCAAGCTTTTGCTTTTGCTTATTTCTTAATGACGGTGAATTGATCAGGTCATGCTAAGCCATGTATCCAAACCACCCTCAGCCTGAGTCAATGTTACAGTTTTTGCTAAGTCCATTGATCACAGCATACAATGTGTTGCCTCTTTTATCAGAAAGAATGCTGCTAATTACCGTTCAATTGCAGACTAAAGTCAGCTTTTTCTGGCCATCGAGTTAGAACGCATCAAGTAATAATAATAGTAATGGTAATAATAATAATGATAATAATAACAATGGAACTTAGCAGTGTATATTCCATGAGGTGGCACTTCTTTTCCACTGTTTCCAAGTTGAGTTGAAATTTGGAATGTTGGTTTGATCCGGTCATGGCCCTGACTCGACATTTCCAATCCAGAGTCTAGTACACAAACCGTTTTACTAGCGGGCTTAACGCACGATAAGATAAACATGGTTGAATCGACTGGCCTGGTGCAACCAATTTTTGTTATTATTTTTTTCTGATAAAATTAATCACACTTAAACTGTGTACATATATTGTGTCAAGGCCGACGCTCACGGCACAGAAGCCAGAACTATAGCTCGGTATACCTAAAATCAGTCATTATGCAAACAACTGTAGCTTACCCATTCTTTGGATCGACAGCTATTCCTCGAGGGCTGAAAATTCCATCCGATAGCAATGTCCTTCTAGAGCTTCCGTCAAGCTTCGCCACTTCAATCCTCTCGTAGATGAAATCAGTCCAGTAAAGGAGACCACTTTCCCATTCAACAGCCAATCCATCTATCTGTCCCAAATTGTCTCTTATGATGACCTTTTAGTGTCATATTAGTTTAAAAAAAAAATGAGTAAACAGACCATGAGACGTTTACGGAGCTGGGTAGGACATATTAACCGAGATAATTTTTCAATTAACTCTCGTATAGAGTATCGTAGATTTTGATCCTAAAGTACTGTTTTCAAAGTTATCACAGCAAATGCTTTCTGCCTGCTCGTCTTTAAAGACTAATAGCCTATTCTACGTTCTAGTATCAACCATTTTTTTCAAGGATCAGGTAATAATTTTATACGTTTCGTGTGTTATGTTTGGTTTACCAATTTTTATTCTCTTCAACACATTCAGCATTAAGAGGAGCGTAATTACCTCCTTTTCACCAGAAGTTAGACTCATTCGATTTAACGTCCAAAGAGAGTTGTCACTCCAATAAATCATCCTTCCTCGATAGTGTATGTCGATTGCGCCGCCCTGAATAAGGTCTGACCTTACTGTCTTAACACTGACGTAGGTTGAGTTAACGGATTTCAGGTCAATGCATTTAATGTTGTGCCGGTCGATAAAATAAAGACTGTTGTCACTTTCACAACCGTAAAGATCTTGAAAGAAGAAGAAAAGAATCTCATTAGCTATCCTGAGTTAAGTATTAAGAATATAAAGGTAAGCAAAGGGAAGAAAAATGTTCGTAAATCGTTGGATCATTTTAAGGCAAAAAAAAGTGAATGCATTTCGTTTGTTTTCGTTGATTCCTGCGATGATCATAAGCCAAAAATGTCCCGTGTAAATCGTTTTTTGCGGGAGCATTGGCCGCAAAACAACAAAAATTGAAATTAATGAGGACATTTTTCTGTTCCTGGCTAAACTACTTACTATTAGCTTGTTCGCTCTCACTGCAGGGTGTGTTTCTATCCTCATCAGAACATGCGCACTTGTAACCTCCGGGCTTTACCAGACAAAGATGACTGCAACTACCATCACATGGATTATCACCTGGACAATAGAAATTTGTTATGAAAAAAAGAGGTAAAATGGGGTTTGCATATCACGATATTATAGTTCATTACAACAGCAATTATTGATATATATCTATATATAGTTAAGTGTACTATATGAACGTAACTAAGAGGCCAACTCTTGACTGTTCTGGACGAGTTTAATGCACGTCGTTTCGGCCGTTCGGCCTTCTTCAGGTTAAAAAAAAAAAATATATATATATATATATAAAGGCTGCGTTCTGAAGGGAAGGTGACATTTCAAAATTTTTTTAAAGGTATACTCACTCTTCCGTGTATAATTGCCTTTTTTCACTGCAAGTCCTCTAGGGTCGTACAAACCGTGAAGGAAAAGGTCAAAATCGCTTGTATCGTTCTTGTTAATTCGAAACACCCATCCAAAAAGTGAATATTCATTCCAGTAAACGTACTTGTCATCTACGGCAACTCCAAAAGGGTCCCAGAAAAAAAGAAAGTTTCGCAGCATAACTTGTACGCTGTGGCTACCTGAGTCGAGATCTATATACAGTAAAGCATATTCAAAGTAGCTCACAAAGTAGAGGCGATTCATTTCATGGTCTAAAGTGAGGCCTCTAGCATCGATTGTGGAACCGTAGTAAGTTTCACCCAAAGAGGCAATTATGCGTCTGTTCAATCCGTCCAGTTCTGCTCTTTCAATGTATCCTTCAGCTGACCAGTACATATACCTGAGTTAATATAAAATCAGAATGAACTAACTTAACAAAATCCTAATATCACTAAAAGTTTGATCTTGCCCCTTCAGACTACATAAAAAGCATTATGATATAGAGTGTGATGAGTCGTATTTGCATGCTCTAATACAACTATGGCGTAGAAGGCGAGTTGAACTACCTGCAAATGCTGAATAATAAAACTGAAAAACGTTATCTTAGCTTACCCTCTTGTTGTATCCAAAGCGATATCCACCGGAGATGGATGCAAATTATAAACTAACACTTTCCAGTGATCGCCGTTCAGCTTTGAGACCTCTATGGTCCTTTTGTCGCTGTTAATCCAAAATACGTTGCCTCCCACAAGGTCCACATCGATGCCCATTGGTGAACTAACGTTCTCGCGAATTACTTCATACGTCTCTCCATCAAATGTAGATCGAGCGACTATGCCGAGTTTGGGATCAGTCCAATAGATTCGCTTTTCGATTGGATCAAAAGCAATACCAGTTGGAGTTTCCATATTTGAAATTGGCAGAGGGCTGAGAATTTTCTCTGTGAGCCCAGCATAATAGATTTTCTGGTGATTGGTATCGGCAACAAATATGACATCACCAAGAATACCTGCAGATCAAGACAAAGAAACCTAGTTCTTGTTTGCACAGGGGCCACAGCATACGAATTCTCCGTCAAACATTTAGGTTCTGGCTTCGCTACCAGATCTTCGATTCAGAGTTGTGATGAGATCATAGGTTGTGTCAAAACGTAATCGTACCCTTCTTGTTTCTCACTAAGGTTAAAATGTGTGTGTGGGTACTCTGATATGCATCAGTGACATCGATCTGTCAACTTGCTTTGCTGAAGTCAAGAAATTTAATGGATTGATGTCAGCATAAGTAAATAACCGCTCCCATCTCCATCTGAAGAGATGGTGTAGTTGGTGAATCATGAGAATCAGATGTGAGTGGTAACCGATTAAGTTATGGGCAAATCCTTTGTTTATTACATTAGACTATTATAAACCCTCACCATAAACCGGATATTAATAATAATGATAATAATAATAAAAAGAATAATGATAATAATAGTAATTGTAATAATCTCAAACATAAGCTTAATCATACTAGTAAACGAGATAGTGCAAAAGGTAAAAATACACTTACAAGATATTCCATCTTCCGCCAGCACCTGTCCAGCCTTACACATACATCTACTACCAGTGGGATTGACAACGCAGAGCTGTGAACATCCAGCATTATTTTCACACGGCGATGGCCCTGAAATAGAGATGTAATCCAATAGTAAGTAAGCTACTGTTAGGTTAAGTTGATCAACAGATTGGGTGACATGCTGCACTACTTGTCGAGCCAGTAAGTGACTGCTTTACTGGTTGTAATGAAAATATGAGGTATTATTATTTGGCAAAGGTAGTCTTGAGGTAAATCCGAGCGTTCTGATTGGTTCTTACTTGGTCGGTATTTTGTCATACGGAAACGGTCATACGCCATGTATTTTTGTTCGCAAAAGGCGGAAAAATTAAAGTTTGTCATGAGTGCCATACAAAAAATTACTTTCTAACTTCGTTTTCACAAGTAGTAGTGCGAAATATTGGCTTTCGGCCGCTTATAAACGCACCACGCTTCGCTTGGTCATTATGACCATGACCTTGGGCAAATATTCTCCAGTGCGGCCCTCACGCTCGGTTTGTAAAAATTAATATGTCATTTCTTTAAATAATATTTTGATTACCGGGAACTTGAGAAGAATTGGAGTTGTGGGCATAAATTCCACTTGGTTCTCCAAGACCGTCGACCTGCGCCTTTGCCACCGCGCCGTCAGATAAGTTGGCTTTGAACACGACTCCCGTGAATTGTCCTTCACCTGTGGCAGTCCAGTACAAGGTGTCTTTAAACAGCGCCAGTCCAGTTGGCGAGTGAAGATTTCCGGAAATCAGCGTATGGATCTCATGATTGGTCAAGTCGATGTATTTGATAACGTCATTGGTTTGATCAGAAAAGAACAAGCGTTTGCTAGCTTTATCCAGAACTATGTCAAGGAAAGTGTAGTAAGTCACGGATGACAAATTTGCGATAACTTGTTGGTTATTACCATCCATATCTGCTTTAGATATCATGGGGCTGCTACCAAGTGATGAATAATACATGACCCTGTTTACAAAGAAAAAAAAAAGGTGTGAAAACAATGTGGAACAATATGACCAGCCTATGGGGGCTTTTAATTGGATAAAAAAATTCATATGTCATTAGTGACATTTAGAGGGAAATATCTACACGTACGTTCAGTTTTTAAATCTAATATGCGATCACTTAATTTTTCCTCAGCAAAATAAGCATAGGCAAGAGATTATAAATTGTTCACTTGGCACAGGTAGTTGAGAAACTGATCAATCTACCAAATTTTAATTTGCACCTAAATTCATATTGGCACGGAATTGAAAATAAAACTAAAGCAAATTAATTTATTTCGAAAGGTACTCCTTTCGTGCTGATCTTTGAATCGGCTACTCCGAAATTCAATTCAGAGCAACGAAGCACCGCCCTAATTCTTGTGGGTGAGAAATATGAATGAGGCTCCCTTCTCTTGAATGACTGAATACTTGATACGCCATACTGAGTTTGTTAAGCCGAAAATCGTTTTTCCTCATCCAATTTTCACAGCTGTAACTTTTTCAGCGATATTACATGGAAATTTACTGAATTTGTGAAGAGGTGAATACCGCCCGGCCAAAGGAAACCGACTTGGACAGTCATGATGGAATACGGAGAGGTTAAAACCTCATACAAAATAGAATACTTGCACAACATAAGATTAAATAGTTACCCGTTACTATGAGCTTGATCCCATTGATGACAAAGAGTGCGAAGGAAAAGTAGAACTGCATCAGGAGAACAGTATATACCTGTTACAGAAGCTGAATTATACAATATATTAAATAAGCATACCCTGAGTCACTGTCCAAAGTGATCGCTTGTGGGTTAGGTACGTCAACGAGGACATTTTGATGTGCCCCATCGAGAGAAGCAATGCTGATTTTGTCGCCGTAATAGTCGGCAAAGTAGATGTTCCTTCCAACAAGATCTATTTCAATGCCCATTGGATTGCCAATTCCCGTCACCACCAATTCTATAGAGCCATTATTAATGAATGCGCGGAAGATTCTTCCATATTCATCCGTCCAGTACATTTGTTCATGCATTGGATCGTAGGAAATTGCGACGGGCACATAGTATAATCCAAGCTTTAGTGCCATTGTTTGTGCTGGGGCTTCCTGTGGCAGCGGCATGAAGTAACACAGTTTCCGACGGCTCTCGCAAAATAACAGGAAATCGTCTCCGTCTGCAAATGAAAACATTAAAATATTTGAGACTGGATCTAAGAGGAGTGATTTTTTAATTTTGCAGGAAAAGACTTGAGTGAGCACAGGGGTGATATTTTCAAGGAAATACATAAAAAAAGAGCCATTATTGAAATTGCCATAAGTCGATCAGAAGGGTCGAGAACACGCCAAATATGATTTACGCCAAAAAAAAAAGAAAAAAAAAAGGACTGAGAGGGAAAAAAAGGAATAGTTTTGTTTGCCTACTGCTCGTTTCAGACCCTAAACAGTGATCAGTAACAGCCCAATGATTTATTCAAGCAGCGATAATTTTATACCGTAAATTTGAGATACTAATAGAATCATTTGAAAAACTTATTGCATACGCTGCTTTCGAAGACTACACCACTTTTAAAGATACAACTTCTCCTTCCGAAAGCAACCTCTGAATCCATTTTTTTTGGTATCATAACGGTTCTTCTGCACTTAATTAAAAAACATGACTTTTTAAAAGAATCTATAACGTTATGGTGTACAACTTACCTAGATTCTGGGTTTCATTTGAACAGATAACCGACGCGTCTTCCTCGTGATAGCAATAGCCGTATACACTCCATCCGCGATGAGGACAGTCTTCAATTGAGCTTTCGTTGCCCAGGCAACTCACGTCACTTAACCATATATGACCATTCCCTTCACCAAATGTAGCAAACGCAGGAGCAGCAAGAACTTCACTATATCCAAGTTGGCCGCAAACCACCTGCGCGTCCTTTGTATCCCATAGATCGTCGCAAATGGTACCCCAATGGCCGTCATGAAATATCTCTACTCTTCCTTCGCCGTCACGTACTCCGTCAGCTAGTCTCAAAATTTGATCTGAGAAAAAAAATTAAGGTATTATATGTTAAGTGAACATAAAACAACACAATCAAGTATTTTCGGAATCAGAAAAAAAAAGAAAATGTTTTATGGTTAACCAACCAAGCCAGGAACCCATTACCTATTGGGCCAAGCTTGATACAAAGTTGAGCCACGAGTAAATTTTTTTTGTGTCAGTGGCTAACTTTGAATCAATTGCTCCTTCTTCCGTATCATTTAGAAACTCAAATTTACAACAAATGACTAGGCTGTGGTACATTTTATACTTTAAATAGGGTGGAGAGATATTCAAAAGCCTTGTTTAGCCAGAAACCATAAGAATCCGGTCAGTTGACAAAAGTGTTGGGGTTTCTGTCTTTACTTGGCATGCTGGGTCTTAAGGACAATATGCATTTGCCACGAACATGTGTTACTCAAGTAGGAGTCCAACTTATACCTTTGAAAAGAGCAAAATGCCTGGATAATTTCAGCACGAATTTACATGCGCAGATTTCCTGTTCATGTTTTCGTGTTTGGAATATTCTATACTCCAGTCAGAAAAAAAGTCAAACGAATTCCAGTTCACCCATTAGTTAGTTATCCTCTAAAGAAAGTGATATATTTTGTGCGTCTATTCTTTTCTATTAGGGAATAAAAATAATAGTAACCAGCATTTCAATAAAAATGCCAACCAGAATATCTACCTGGCCTTGGGGGTGGAGTGTATTTGCAGACTACACCAACGTCGTCAGAATGGAAGCAGTTGTGACTTCCCCATCCGCTATGGCGGCACTCTGCAATGCTTGTTTCATCACCGACGCAGTCCACATTGTCCAACCAAATCTGGTTTGGTGTACTGTATCCATCGTACCAGCCGCAGCAGTGTGTACTCCAAGCACCTTCGCTGAACCCCACCATGCGGCAAATGACGTTTGCTTCTTCGATTCCCCAGTTGTTGTCACATACGGTTCCCCATGTGTCGTTTAGATAAATTTCTACTCTTCCTTGATTTGACGTAGATCCAGAGCGCAATCGAACCCGTAGTTCTGTTAAGTATAAAGTAATAGGTCGTGGGCTCCATACTCTCATGCCTAATCTCTAACTTGTATGCAATCACTCGTCGATATGACAAACTTAATGGGGTTTCGACATAGAATACTGTTTTAAGGAAAGTAAATTAAAAAAATTTTATATAACAAATAAACTCACCAGGGTGAGGGCCTGGGTCTAAGGTTGGACCTTGAAGGAAGAAAATATGAAATAAAGTGAAATTATAGCTACGAGATTGCGAGGCTATAGAGCAGCGATAACGATGTCTCGTTTGTTAAACTGCATTTTCCCTATAATCACAATATGATTACAATACCCCTTATGAGGAGAAACAAAAGCATTGACCATGGCATACATAATCCTTTCACTCCCACGAGTGACTCAGACAGACTTTCTACTCACAAAACAATTTTGCCAGCAGGTGATAAGAAAAATGAAAGTATCAATCAGGGGATTATTTGTTAATCCAATACCAAATTCTCCAAACTAACATCATGAGGATTGTATAGCAGACGGCAAGGGAAATTGCTATTGACATCTTGGGAGTGAAAGGATTCAAGGCAACTACGTCTGGGATAAAGCTGAAAACGTATCGGAACAAACGAAAAAGCATCGACCGACCACATGAACGCCTTTTGCAAAAAGAAAATCTAAGTAACACCCTCGTTGTGTCTTCATCCTAGTATCTCGAAATCCAAGCTTTTTAAGGCAGACCGGGGAGTTCCTACCTTCAGTGGTAGGAATAGAATCATTCCTGCACACAACTCCTACGTCTTCGCCATGGACGCAATCACTCATCTCCCAACCATTGTGCTGACAGGCAGCGATACTTTTTTCATCGCCACGGCACTTGACATTATCCATTAAAATGGGAAACGAAGAGTTCCCTGGTCCGAAGGATTCCACACGGATGGCTCCCGTGAAGTTCAACATCTTACAGACCACTGTAGCCTCACTCATGCCCCAATGATCGTCGCAGACTGTCCCCCATCTTCCTTGATGATACACTTCAACGCGACCTTCGTGAGATGAGTTGGTGCCACTAAGGTGTACTTTTAGATCTGTGAGAAAAACGTCGACTATACTCAGTAGATGTCCAGAATACCTAGAATTATTATGATCAAACGTGTAAACAATTACATTCCATATTCCTGAGAGCCTTTTTCCGAATGATTTTCAACATACAATTATAACAGGAAATCGAGCAATTCGTTAGTAATTTGGTAACATCTTCCAATATGCTTTGTTTGCTTCTCCCATAATCTCTTGTGTTCTTAATCGATAGCATGACCACAGTTTTAACTATTTGCTCCACCTCCACCCTCTAGAAGAGACGATGTAAAAATTCATGCAGAAAACAGGTAGTAGAGACAGAGAGAGTGAGAACTCGTAAAATAACAGTAAATTTTTCGAAAGAATTCAAATGAAATGTAAACCATAAAAAAAAAGTATCAGATGTTAGCAAAATGCCATGATTGCGCCTCAGCGCAACACAAAATTAACTAAAAAGAAGTACACATTAGAAATTACCTGGTACAGGTGGCGGTGGTGGTTTTGGCTGAGTAGCTATAAAAATTGGGAACAAAGTAATGGAATCAGCTAAAGAATTATCGTTATTCAACCCTTTAATTACCATAAATGACCAGAGCAGATTTTCTCTTCACAATACAATTCCAGATACACAAGTGACCAGAATACTGAACGATGTCAATTATGGGATTATTAATTGATCCAACCCAAATTCTCCGAACCATCATCATAACAATTGTATGACCGACCGTAAGGAGAAATAAAGGGTTAAAGCTAAGGTAGAGCCTGAGCCTTGGAATCTGTGGCGGGGCATTTCTTTTCGTCATCAATACCTTTACACAGAACATATTGGTCTAACTGTGCAATATTGAGTGAAAAACAAAGTTATTGTACGGACTTCTCACATGCATTTCTCTCAGCGAGAATATTTGGTAGAGGTGAAATTTGAACGGAATGAGAAGATGGAAGGAGCAACTGTAACAGGGTTTTAAAACAGTGTTTCTAAGCTACGTTATACGTTGGTAAGGATAAATTGGGGTAAATACAGAGTTATGAGTGGCATATGGGGAATCTAATAGGGAATTTAGTTACCGTTACTACAAGTCTTTCCCCCGGCTTCTAATTCTACACCATTTGGACAGGCGCATTTGCTTCCTCCATTAGGAGCCAATAAACAGAGATGGCTACACCCTCCATTGTTAATACGACACGGTGGCCTGTTCATTGGAGACGCTGAAGAAAAAAAAGCAGTGAGTTGTTAGACAAAGGAAAATTTATCTCGGCTCGAGTTACGTGTTCTAAAACTTTAATATGTATATGGCGTTCGTGTGCCAATGCAGTTACTTTTACCCCGGATATCTCAGCAAATTTTCACAGAATGGTCAGGGCATTAGAGGTAACGAGAGCAGAACTGTATGAGAAAAAAAATGAAATTCAGTTACCAACTGGTTGTCTTGACTCGTCTGATACCACAACACCTGCTGGCGTGTCATCAGTAAGATGTCCAAAGTTATAATGCTGGCCTTTACCCTCCGTCTTATTAAAATACTCAATGCTGCGACTATTTCTGTCCGCCCAGTAGAGGTAGTCGCCATACAAAGCTAAATCTGCGGGATTTATGTTCTGCACAATGAACTCCAAATTGGCTTTGTTGTTCCCGTCTAAGTCTGCTTGATCGATGTAATTGTCGTAACGATCTATCCAATAGATAGTCTCGGTCTCATATTCAATAATAACACTCATAGGGAAAATCTGAAAGTACCAGTCATATCCAAATTCAACCACGATTGTTCGATTTTCACCGGTTAGATCTGCTCGTTCAATTCTTGGATGATCGAATCCATAGTCTGTCCAAAACAAGTACCTTGAGAGAGATTGGTAACGAGAGAGGGAATGGGAGAGAGAGAGAAAGAAAGTAACATATATCAGGAGTGTCTTTCTATGGGTTTTCAGTACACTCGAGTCTGGAAGCAGCACGCCAACAGGCGTTAGCAGTGACATTAAAAAGACTTTATTTTATTCTAAAATATCCCAATCATTTGCATCCTTCTTGGTCATCATTATCTTCGTCATCATCGTCGTCGTTGTCATCATCGTCGTCGTCGTCATCATCGTCATCGTAATAATCTCGGCCAGCGACACAATTAAGTGTCTAATATCATTCTTAAATGTTTCACAGTTTTCATTTTGATTGCATTCATAGCAATTGTCATGATTCTGAAATAGGATTCCCCGTGCTTTTTCCATCAAAAAGCCAGAAAGCGGTACTGTATTATTCCCTGAATAGATCAAAATTAATAAGGAGGTTATCTGTTTCTTACTGGCTGCGCCAGCCAAAAGGCTTTAAGGACTTTAATGGCTTACCCACTCTTTGGATCGACAGCAATTCCACGAGGGCTGTATAAAGAGGTTGAAATTAAAGTTTTTCTGAATTTCCCGTCCAGCGTTGCCACTTCAATCCTCTCAAAGATGAAATCAGTCCAGTAAAGCAGACCGCTCTCCCATTCAACAGCGATGCCATCGACTTGTCCCAGATCGTCTCTAATAATGACCTTTAATCAATGAAGCACGTGGTTCATTAACCAAAATGCATCGAACAGTTTATAATCCATTAATTTCCGGAATACGTCTATTACTCATTTCTATCCCACTTGATATACCTGAGTGTACATTTTTCTGAGAAGAAGGATACATTTTCACCGATGAAAAATGTAAGTCTATCTTTTTTGTAAGCTGGTTCTTGCTTTTCTTAAACTGCAATTTTTTTACGTATTCCCTATGCCAGTAGCCTCACGAGTCTCCCAACCATTTTGCTGTACTTTGGATTAAGAAATCAGTCGCGATCTTTACATAGACACATAATGCTTTATTAAATCCCTTTCATAGGGACTACAGCGGCAAAATATCAAGTCATTACTATATACCAGAATCTAGTATGACAAAAGATGCCCTCGATCGGCATGAATAATAACCTAAAATGTCTATGTCTCTAGGTCATGTTATCGCCTAAAGTCCTATTTACAGTGCTGGTTAAAAAAAGGAAAAAGTAGAAGATTCCTTTACCTCACTTTCACCAGTAACAAGGCTCATTCGATTTAAAGTCCATAAGGCGTTATCACTCCAAAATACCATTCTCTCCCGATGGTCTAGATCAATTGCGCCTCCTTTTATGAGGTCATCTCTCACTGTCTTAACGCTTACGTACGTATTGTTAGTGGAATCCAAATCAATACATTTGATGTGGTGGTCGTCAATAAAATAAAGACTTGGGTCGTTAGTGCAGCCGAAAACATCTTGAAAGATAAAAAAATTTTATGTTAAATATCATCTGATTCAACTGAATTAACTAATTTTCTGATCGCAACTTACTCGTGATGTTAATGCTCTCAAAGCAGGGAGTGGCGGTGTCGGCGGAACATGCGCATTTATAGCCACCAGGTTTCAAAAGACAAAGATGACTGCATTCTTCAACACATGGATGATAATCTAGAAAATATTTTATTAATAGCAATCAGTACCTTGAAACGCAGAATGAAAATGATCTTCACTCCATCGAGCGTATGTGAGCCGCAACGTGATGAAATATCAGAACTAGTTGAACAAAAAAAATTTGGGAGAGACCCTTCCTGTGATCACCTCAAAATTCTATGTAGCATTTTGAATTAGGAGACGTCGCGAAAAATATGGTTGGCAGCTATCACCCTCATTTTCTTTAATTACAACTATTTTAAGTTTGGAATGATCGCTGATGATACCGAGCCGGCCTATGAGATCGCGTCAGCGGAGAATCCTACTATTTCTGTGGAAGAAGCAATAGTGAACTTGGTTATGTCAGAAAGGTAGCGCAGATTTCCTGGCGGAGAAAGATAAATAATACGGGTTTGTCCCTCTGCAAAGAAATTTGAGATAAGATTGAAAATGTTGATACAAAATTCAGACTTAAGCAGGATACTTTTACATAATATTAGCCTTACAATATCTTCAAAGCTCATATCTAAGCATTCAAGTTACCTTGTACATCCTCAGGGTTAAATATGTTGACGCCTCTCGGTGTGTACTGGTAGGGAATCAGCTCGACAACAACCGAGTCCAGACCTCTGCTGGCTCTTATAACGTTTCCTAGCAACCAGTCCGTCCAGTAGAAGTAGTGAGCGTCAAGAGCAAGCCCCAAGGGATAATGTAAGTAATTGCTGTAGTCGATGTGATACACGATTTCACTATTTGGATAACGAAGGTCAATGTATTGCAAACTAGGATCCTGATCTCCTACCCAATACAAAACATTTTCGTCCACATCTATGGCGAGCGCGGTGGGTCGCTGATAGGGAAATTGAGTGAACTCCACCAATGTGGTAATATCGCTTCCGTCCAGTTGTGCCCTGTTAATCATCGTCGGATTTCCCCAAGCAGAGTAGTACATATATCTAAATTCACACAAGCATTTTTTTCAGAGAGTTTCTCATCATCAGTGTAAATGACCTTTAGTCAAACCAAGTATGTATTTACAGTTGGTGTACATTTGAATACATTAGGAAAAAAACTCTCCCACATACAAAAACGATAATAAAAATGCTCTGGGAGCTAGAGATTATAAACCTATAATATCTTGTCTGAGAGACATTCATAACGTTTTCTTTTTGAGAAGAAAGTCCCTCATTTTGGGAGTGGCCATTTGTTATTGGAGCTTATCGTTGGAGTTTCCCTCTTGGATGAGATGCTAATCTAATAAAGGTAACCAACAAGGTATTCTAAAATGGTTGTATCCATGTATACTCACGAGTGAAAAGAGGCGTATTTACCTTCAGGTAACTCGGATTATTAAAAAAAATTGACGTCTCGATGTCTATGTAAGATCAGAGGGGCAAAATAATACCAGCAACAGCCACAGGAGAGTTTGTCAATACTCGGATCTTTTCATTCTGTTCGTTGGATGCACAGCACTTTTTTATGTAACAATCTCACATACAATTCTTGATGCACTCACCCTCGTTGAATGTCAATCGCCAAGCCAACCAGATTATGCATTTGGCTCTGAATAAGCACTTTTCTGTACTTTCCATCGAGCTTTGCGACTTCAACTGTTTTCTTGTCCCTGTCAGTGAAATAGATGTTTCCTGCGTAGCTGTCCACAGCAATTGCCATAGAGTAACTCACATTTTGTAAGATTATTTCCTCATTTGTACCATCCAGGTTTGAACGAGCGATATGTTTCATTGTCAGGTCCGACCAATAAATCTTCTCCTCTGCCGAGTGAGATGCGATAGCCGATGGACAGGCCACTTGTTCAAGAGGCAGAGTATTTGCCACTGAAAACAAGTCATCTCCACCCAAAGGAGACTTGTAGATCTCGCTGAAGTAACACTCGGTATGCAGAATCAGCCGAAGATATTTGCCTTGGAATTCCAAGAAAAGACAGACAAAAATAAGTGCTGTGGGTCATACATTTCGTTTATTTTTCAAATATCGGAAAATTTAATGAAAAGAAAGATCTAAAAAAAAATTTGTTGTTAGCTCATTCGAATCACAGTGGACTCAAAGTATTTCCCCACGGGGAATTTTTATGAAGGTAAGTGCTGTCACTGAGTTCCATACGGCGCAAGGAGTACCCCAGGGCAAACGCCCCTCGTTCACCTTAAATTTTTCTTGTTCAAATCCCGTTTTCCTAATACGGAGAACGCTCTGCATATTCGGTACTCACTATAAGCAAACGCAAGAAAAACATGGTTTTCATAGCATGTTTGCCGGCGTCTGGAAAACTCCTCTGTTCAGTCTGTTTTCTTTGAAATTTTTGATCGGTTATCCAGCGTAAGTTGTCACGTTGTTCGTTTTGTATTTTCCTGAAGCGGTGAACGCGGTGAAAACGTGATATTCGGTTTATTTATATGGTTTTCCAGCACGATCGTTACACTGGTTAACATACTGATTTTTTAATTGTTTTCTAACTTTCTCTGGAGTGTTTTAACATAGTATTTTCTGTGTGTTGTCACGAGTCAGCTAACGCAGTGAAAACTCGATATTCAACTTCGATCATCACGCAACTGTATAAAGCCAATGAACAGTCGTTTTCTGGATACTTTAATTCACCAACAAGAAAACAACAGGAAATTTTGGATTTTCCATTTGGAAAATGTTAGAAAACGTTCGCATGATGCTGTTTTCCAAGAGATAATGCTCGTTTTCCGATCGGGTGAGCACCATTTTTTTGGCATTGCCCTTCATTCATGCAATAAGAGTAAGACTGTGATAAAAAATTAGGGCGTTAAACAACTGTACAAAGCGTGAATAGTTACAGCATGATATCAAATTTGTAAGTTGAAATTAAATGAACGCATCACGAGGCAGATAGGACTTTATAGAGCAAGTTTTCGTCACCTAAACATTGTAGGTTTAAAATGGGGATCACGGGCATCCCCAGGACCTCCCCCCCCCAACCTAGCTAGGCCCTTGTAGGGCACTGGGTGTTCTTACATGTTGTTGAGTTCACCAGCTCCATGTCGCTGGGGCATACACAATGTGGCCCGGATGGCGCATCGAGGCAAAGGTGACTACATTGCTGGTCACTCCGTTGGCATCCACGAGGGTCTGTAAACATAAAAGTGCAAATCATCATGTCTTAGCTAATCCAGTTACTTGAGAAGTAAGCCTCTTCCTGCATGTGATATATCGTAGCATGAATTCCGAGGCTGAAATGTTATGCGGAAAGTGAAAAGTTGTTCGAGAAGTTTTGAAGATTTCAGCGCACGCATTATCATCCGAATCTTTTAGCAGGCCAGAAGGGTACTATTTTTCTTACAAACCTACATTAAAATTTATCACATGGCTTCTAAGGCTCAACAATGAAATAAAAAAAACATACGGGACAAACTGGCAATTGATTTTCACTCCCCAGACTGCTTTGTTGCATTGACAATTCCTACTTTAAAAACGGAAAGTGGTGCGATTTTTCTGGTAAGATTGGGCTGTGTTTTAAGCATGGGCTCTAAGAAATAGATTACAGATTGAAATTCCAGAGTATCTCAATCATCATTTATAAACCTCGCTCATAAAACAGCAGCGCCACAAACGGTGAACTAATGAATGCTATGAAGAAGACAGCTTGGCTCAGGGTTGGTTGAAATTTACTTACCTGTTTGGAAAATGTTGTCTTTGTCGTAAGAGTCTATACCCCAAGTAAACTTCATCAAGCCAATGAGTTTAGAGACATTACCGTTCTCGTGCGAAAAATTTCCAGGACCTGCTAATTGAGAGCTGTAAATCCCACCATCCCATGCGCCACCGCTTCCTAAATCCGTCACATACACAGTATCGCCATGTATAGCCAAGTCAACTGGGTCCATTATCTCTCTTGTTATGAATGCTTGGTTTCCACCTGTTTGTAGATCAATGAAGTAAACTTCCTGGACACCTCTATCGGTCCAATACAAACGATTCAGATTGTAATCTACCGTCAGCCCACTGGGATAGGAATCTTCTGTCAAGGTGAAAATAACTTTTTGATTATTTCCATCCAAGTCTGCTCTTTCAATGGTTGGTGGGTATCCTTGGCTTGCCCAATAAATGTGTCTGAATAAAAGCAGATATAATTTCATGGATACATTAAGGTATGATGATTCTATATCATATCCACATAACAAATGGCGGAATGTAAACCGACCTATCTCTCTTTTCCACCTTCAGTCATCTGTAGGGCTCGATGCTTAGGTTATTTTCAGATTTTACAATTAATCAAGCCTTTACAGAAAGGGTCACTTTGATAGTAAATAGGTTTTGCGAGGGACTATTAAAACCCACAAAAATATCCTGCAACATTTCATTTCAATTTAGCAACAAGTGTTTAATTCTTTGCGCGGTTCCAAAGGCGTCAAATTAATTTTTTCGTACTGCAGCAAGCTCAAAATGCTATTCTACATTAGTTTCTTTTTTCTCTATTATTTTCTTAGGGTACCTGGGTGAAAATAAAGACAAAAAATGATAAGGAGCATATTTCTGCGTTTTATCATAGGGAAAGACTTGATTGAGCACTCACCCATTTTTAAGGTCTAAGGCTATACCCTCTGGCCAAACTGTAGAAATCAAACCCGTTCGGTGCATCCCATCTAAGGTCGCTACATCAATTCTGTATTTCGAGCTGTCTGAGAAGTAGATGTTGCGGGTAAGATGATCGATTGCTAAACGGTTTGCGTAGTAAATGCCATTGACAATAGTCTCAGCATCGCTTCCATTTAGATGTGAACGCTGGATTATCCCTGGAGCATATTCTGCAAAGTACACGAGCTCTTCCACGGGGTCGAAGCCGACAGCAGACAAGCCGCGGAGATGATCAATCGGTAAAGGGGCGGCTCGGTGGTCGTTTCCTTCTAAGTTAACTTGAAATATAATTCCACGCCAGTGTTCAGAGAACAGCAGGCTTTTCTTGCTTTCTGTTTGAAAAAAAGGGGAAAATATGGTTTTTAATGATTCTTTGCAACGTTCGGCACATGGAAATTCAATTAAAGGGAAAACTATCAGAGTAAACATGGACTACCTCAGAATGAAAAGCATTTTTTTTAACTTGATAATTATTTAAAGGACAAAAAATCATTGACGTTTTTTTTGCATCAACCAGTTTTGTTCAATTTTTTGGCATAGAGTCAAACGCATCGGAAACTCAGCCTCTTTGCTCTTTGAGCGAATACGGGATAAAGGTTTTAATTGATGGAACTGGTATCATTTCCAAGAATCTCGATTTCATTGTTATCAGTCGTACTTATCAAAGTACGACTGTCGCACGAGAAGTGGTCAATATTGATTCGTTTTCCGAGTCTCTAAACTACTTGCTGCTAAAAATTGCTGCTCTTCCTCACTGAAAAGAGTCTTCAATTTGAGCAACTTCATGTGACATAGAAATTCTGTACCATACCGTAAGATGGTAGAGCACTCTCATTTGTTTGGCAAATAACACCGGCGTCTTGGTTGTGTGAGCAATCATGATTTCCCCATCCGCCATGCAGACACTCTTCAATGCTGGATTCATTTCCCACACAATTTACGTCGTCCAGCCAAATCTGCCCGGAGCCAACATCGTAAGCAGAGAAGATAGGCGCAGCCAAGGCGCCACTGTAGTTTAACATGCGACAGATCACATTGGCGTCGTTAAGATCCCAGTCATCGTCGCATATCGTGCCCCATCGGTCCTTGTAAAATATTTCAACTCTACCCTCATTCTCACTTGTGCCCTCAACCAAGCGAATTATATTGTCTGTAGATTAACAGAAGATAATTAAGCATCTTTAAAAAAAATACTTTCCTCTGTGGTGGTGCGTCGGTGGGGAAATATAACAAGACAATTTGGTTTTATTAATTTAGTTGATAATGTAGATCAATAGATGGGCTAACAATCGAAACGTTAGATTTAATATTTTTACGGTGGCCAATTTTCATGATCAACTCTGTCAGTTGATATAACCAAATTATCTTGTTCCCTCTGACTTGTTTTGTTAATTTTGCTGGGGAGGGAGACTCAATTCGTGCGTTAATACGTTCTTAATATTTATCTCATCCTATTTAGGACTAACTTCATCCTTCGAGAGATTTAACCCAACCGTTGTAAGAACACAAACTTTTCACCCTGTCACGGGTTATATCTATAAGAAATATAAAAAGTATCACCTTAATGTTATTTATTGTCGAATGAAACTAACCCGGAGGTATGACAGGATTAGGTATACAGTAAACTCCAGCATCGTTGGCATGAGTACAGACGCTATAGTAATTCCCCCAGCCTAAGTGTGGACATTCTGACAAGGAAGTTTCATTTCCAGTGCACTGCAAGCTATCCAACCATATCGCACCGGTTCCAGTCCCGTACCGTCCACAGCACATAGTCGACCAAGCTCCTTCAAATCCTAGCATCCTGCAGATTACATGTGCGTCTTTGATATCAAAATCGTTGTCGCATATTGTACCCACTTGTCCATCATGTGTAATTTCTATGCGGCCTTCGTGTTCAGTAGGGCCTCCTCGTAACCGTATTGTTACATCTTCAAGGGATGAGAATAAAAGGCTGTTTTAGTGCCGGCACAACATGCGTAGATGATGTCTCATCTCATAGGCTACCTATTTACTTCGGAGTGTCTTGGAAACTCCACTGTGTATCTCTGAGGTTTCTATGATTATTTAAGATCGTTAACTAATGGAGATCCTTGTCCCTAAACCCAGGCCAGGGAACCTAAGCATTTAAACTCAATTTTGACGCGTTTCAGTTGATTGAAATCCCTTTGACATGTTAAACTGAAGATTAAATCTCCAGTGGTAATGGCTGCTATCGAGTTGTTCATTTATAACCTCCCATGCGATGCAACGTTACCAGCTTAATGTGTTACGTAAATTAAAAAAGTTAAAACATCTCTCACTTCCTGGTAGTCCTTTAGTCACTGCAAAAACAAAATCAAAATAATAATAATAAATAAATAAAAATATTAACCATCAAAGTGAAGGTACAAAACTGAATGATAATTTGAGTCATCTTAGCAAATTAGAAGAGTGACTGAAAGAATAATTACTGATCACCCCTAGTCTTTCTTTTCCGGAAGCTATCGACTGTGGTAATGACAACTCCTCGAGTGTTCAAGATATCTCTGATCTATTTTTACGAGTCAAACGATAAAAATACTCGAAACAGTAAAATATATGGTATACCTTCTTTAAAATGAAAGATACCTAGATCTAAGTCTGCTTTTTTGGTCTTCCATCTGATTGATAACGATTACGAACTTAGATGGTGCTTGACATATTAAATACAGGCACTTGCCAGAAATTCAAACCCTTTTAAATTTCGCTCAGAATTGAAAATGATTCAGCACAATTTCAGAGCTCTAAAAAAACTTACTATTTGGGGCTACCACCGGTGGAGTTGGGGCACTGTCATTTTTACACTTTACACCAACATCTTCGAAGTGGCCACAATTTGTCTGGCCCCATCCACGGTGCTTACACTCCATCAATGAGTCCTCGTTTCCTCGACATTTCAAATTGTCTAGCCAAATTGGAGAATCATCTGATCCAGAACCATATGACGCAACGAACTCAGCTCCACTGTGGTTGAGCATGCGGCACACAACTTGAGCATCTCGCATGTCGAAATGATCATTGCAAACTGTTCCCCATTCATTTTTGCTGTCTCCTTTCATCCTGACTTCAATTCTTCCCTCGAGAATTGATGGTATGCTTCCAAACATTAGCCTAACCTCAATCGCTTTATAGGATTAAAAAAACATTTATGATGAGATTCTCTCATTTGTGCTATTGTTGTGTTTATTTTGTTACTTTATTTTTGTGCTCTTTGTTCCTCTGTTTTATTTACTTTTTTTTGTTTTCGTTGTTGTTCATTTCCAATAATTTTTTGGTTTGGTGGTCTCTTGATAGTAATTTTTTAATGCACAATCAGTTTTAGCTATTTCACTAGGAAGTTTTTTCATTACAATACATCATCCATTTTTAAGCCGGTTTGCTCTGATCTTAGAAAAACTTCCATTCATTTCGTTATAGCCAAAGTTTCTCATCACTGTCCCTTACAATCTCTTTCTACACAATCCAAATAGAGCATGTCACTCATTGAGGAATATATAATTAGGAGTGTAACAGGAGTTGATGTGAGAACGTTAACAAGGAATACGTAACTAACCTGCTACAGGGGGTTTTGGGGACTCTCCAGTAGCTGTAAAACGCAAAAACAATAAAAGCACAAAGTCAGGTTAAGGAGAAATTTCCTTAAAGAGGAATTTTTTTTTATGTGACTCACCATTACAAGTAACATTATCGGGTAGCAGTTTGAAACCATTGGGGCACGCGCATTGGGAGCCAGTTGGGGTCAACAAACAAAGGTGACTGCATGCTGAATTGTTCTTGCAGTCAGTCATGCCTATAAAAATGAGAAAACCAAACATCATTAAGGTCCACGATATCCTCTTTACCCTCACCTCAGGTATATTTCTTTCGCTTTAGGTTTATTTTATTTTTCATTACCTTTAAGACCTTTTCTCGCACCGGCATGACTGATAACTTTATGATAGGCCTCAATATAGTGGCAATTGGAGTTGTACAAAATATATATCTCAAGTTGTTGCATGCAAGGTTTTGAACTCGCGTGGCCTCGCCTAGGTCAGTAACCTGAAGTTTCCTAAGGTCGCTTGAAGACGCCTTTATATTTTGACAAAGTTTGCCAAAGTCGCCTAAAAAATTACAGCGAAATAAGGACCTAAAGTAGGTCTGTTGACTCTCTCGACTACTTTAGAGGGTGTACACCAAATTTCTTTAATAGACCAAGCGCTGTAATTAGAATGATGGATCACTGATTCCCCTTTCACACTGAAATAGCTGAATTTTTTGTAATGAACCTCTAAGTTGAAAGAACATGGTGATACTCTGGAAGTGTCCTAAGGAGTTATGCGAACTGAGACAATATTTTCGTCAGGAGATCAGGATTTAAAATTTTCGTTTAACGATCACACCTGTCTATTATTTCAGAATATTTGCATCTTCTTTGGCGAATAACAACCGAAAAATATGCCTTAATAAGAGAATTCAACTCACCTGACGGTTCCCTTGAAGAACTATTTAGAGCGATACGATAGGTCATCTTTTCGGTCAACCACCCCATGTTTCTTAAGTGCTCTCCTGCAGTGACATTAACTCTCTCGATACTTCGGCTTCTTAACTCGCTTGCGTACAGAATATCCTCGTACCACGTCAGACCAAAGGAGTACAAATTATGACTTGTGGTCGTGTGTACAGTTTCCGCTTTACGTTCTTCATCCAACTTCATTCGCTCTATGATATCAGTTTGTGCATCAACCCAATACAAAAGATCAGAAGAAAAGTCTATGACCAAACCATTTATCAAAAGTTTTGGTATAAGTGCTGGATGCTCATCCATAATGATCCTTCTCTCCGTTCCAGCAAGGGTAGCTCGTTCAATCCTGGGAAAGTCCCATCCAGTTTCAGACCAGTACATGTAACTGAAAAAAGAAACCGCAGCGTTGTAAGGCAGTGTGCGGCACATAGGGCGTCCTGATGAACCAGCAATAGCAGAGACAATGTTTTAGTAGATACTAAAACAGTGGATGGCGTTGAAGGCGCGCTCTGATTGGCTGCTCAAACTCCGAATATCTTTTGCTATTCACCTCTGAGCAACTTGCGCGAGATTTGCGTTTGAAAAATTATAATCGTTGCAGTAATTAATTAATTAAAATCATATTTTTGTACTGTATTATCCAAATGTTTCATTATATACTAAATCAGCTATCCACCTCAAAATGGGTGGCTGGTTGTTAAATATTTACAAACTATTTTGAGAGAGTTCTAAGAGATCTTCGCGTTCAAATTCACGCAGTTAAATCACATTCTCCTATTGCTTTAATTCAAGTCTCACTTTACCCAAAGACGAGAGAATGTTCGATTTTAAAATGGTGTTTTCCGTAAAAAGCATCAGCTAGCTCTATGGCAGCTATGTATTGCAGTTGATTTTGGGGTGGATTTTTCCAGTTTTGTGATTTTAACGGTAATAATTTGTTCTGTTCAGTAAACATATACAGCATTGAAACTCAATGTAAAATTTCAATATATATAAGGGCACAGGTACTTGTAACTACACTCGCGAAATTACCATTTGTTAATTAAACTTACCCATTCCGAGAATCCACTACAATTGCCCGTGGATTTGCCACATTTTCCCAAAAGAGAGTCTTTCTGTGAGACCCATCAATGCGAGCAACTTCAATTGTTTCGTGCAAATAATCTGTCCAGTAGATAAGTGAAGACTCCCACTCTACTGCAATGTCATGCACCTCGCCTAAACCATTTAATATGATTTCTTTGGTGGCACTGGTAGAGAGATGCATTCTGTTAATTGTTGTGGTGCTGCCATATTCACTCCAGAAAATCCAACCATGTCTTACATGTAAGGCCAAAGATCTGACCTCCTGCAGACCCGATAGCAGAACTCCTTGAACTGAAACGTTCCTGGTGCTTATGTACCTGATGCTGTCTCGGTTAGCATAGAAGATGAGCGGAGAAGCGCTTCTACCAGCGGCTTCGAGCTCAGAACCTAAATATGGCAAAACGAAAATTCATTTGTTACATGTTGACATCAAATTGAAAAACAAGTAAAAGCAATTGAAAATATGTATCACCAGGAGTTCCTGGTATCACAGCCCTTCAGCTGAAATGCTTTATAATCAATATATCGCTTCAGATACAACAACTTTGTGCCTCGTATCTACGAGAACACCTTTGACTTCTATCTTTAGCGGAACGTGTATCTCTCACAGGTTTTGCTCTGAAAAAACCTGAGAGGTTTTTTAGCACATTAGAACACTTTGTGACTCCCATCTTTAGCGGAACGAGCATCTCTTACAGGTTTCGCTTCGAAAAAACCTGAGAGGTTTTTTTCCAACTATGATAAATGTTTGCTTTAGAGATTCTGTACGTGTTTTAGTTATAAATTTTTTTCATGAATGCTCCTCGTTTCTTTCGGTAAAACATGATTACAGATCAAATGGAAGATGTATAGTAGTTACAAAAGTTTCCTTGTATACGATGCATTGTAAAGATTCAGCTAATAATAGAAAGAGTTTGGTCAGGTTGGAACACATACAAAACGCTTGCGGGGTCGAAGGTAAAACATTCCAAAAAAGGAATTTTCCAAATTAGAGTAAAGAATGTTTTCTCGGATTGCAAATAACACACTGAAAATTTTGGGAAAAACTCTACAACATGCATTGGAGCGTCCAATGAGCATCCTATATGGAATATGTTTTCCTTTTTTTCCTTGCTTGTTTCCTTGTCACAGGTTGCAACTAACAAAATTTTCAAGATGTAAGCACCGTGAAGAAAAATTGTTGTTACTGTCTAAAGCGCTTTATTTTCCTTTTATAATATTGAATAATAAATAGTGGTATAAAAAGAACAAAGTTGAACAAGAATAATTTAGGATCGAGAAAGTTGATCTGAATTAGCACAGATAAATTTGGGGACGTTGGCACGTTTTTAAGATACGGAACCTACAATGTTGCTCCTGCCTTTTGTGAAGCAATTTCTGGCATAGGCCGGAAAAAGAAGGGGCCTAGTATGTCAGAAGGCCTTCTCATTTAAGGGTTTGCTTTCATATGCAAATGCACCAAAAAACGAGGCGTTTAGGGCTCTTCTCTCACTTTCTTGAAACTTCGTTTTCGTCAGTTTTCATGACCTTACAGAGGGAAACTGCCGCACGAATTTGCTGGTAAACGAATAGATTCTGAATTGTAAGTTATTCCATCAGCAGTTTTTGATAAAGTAAAGTTATTTATAACATTAAAAATGTGTCGATCCCGCTGATGAATTGTTTATGAATGATTCTAAGGTTTATCCACCATAGAAAACTATCCTGGTAGCTGCGATGGACAATTGTGTATTCTTATGTTTGCCAACTTTCGGAATCGATCCGACTAAATTTCATTCTATCAATCAAACTTGACATAAATCAAAATCATTTCTTCTTTATTACTGCTGATAGCGTATGAGTTGATTCCATGAGGAACGTTCGAGTGGCTGTCTTTAACGATGCATGAATAAAAATCAGTCGTCTTTACCATGGAATTTGAACAAACCGTTAGGGATAGAACACATAGCATAGCCATTTACACCGTCTTCTCTTATCGCAACCGGTGTATCCATAGCGACACGATCCTCAAATTGTGAAAATATTCAGCGCACTTAGCTATCATATCATTAGTTTGTGTGGAAAGAGAACAAAAAATACAATACCGCTTTTTTGATTTGCATGATAAAGATTTGTTTGTTTGATATAAAAATTTTTCTTAATTAAAGAAAGAAATTCCGGTGCTCCATTTAGGTGGAACGATCATGACGAAGCTTAGAACATTAGAAAGGCTTAGCTTGTCACATAAACTCAGAAAACAGAGAAGTTTCGGCGAAGGAAAGGCTGATGGGAGAATAAAAAAACCGTCTGGACATAATTGGAAAAAGATATGGTTCAACAACTTCTTTAATTGCTACTTAGAGCTGCTCCTGGCTCAGTGGCGACATTGTGTAAGCATTAGAAACGACGGACCTCAAGAATAAACAATTGATTTGAATCAAACTTTGCAATTTCAGGAATTTGAGCCAGGAAAATGATACTATTTAATAATGTAGTCTTCTATACTGTGAGAGATGTCATTGAAGCTTGAAATACCTTTGGGTTGAGCAACCTTGTCAAACAAAAGAGCTGTTTGCAAGACTGTAGTTGTTATTTTGTTTTATTGTTATTATAATAAGGATTTTTTCACCGATATTCATTCTAGCTCATGAATCCTTTTTATGCTCCTTTGAAAAAAGTGTATTCTTTCATTAGAATGGAATTGAAAGAATATAACAAGTGTTTTATGAATGGTAGGAAAGACTGCAAAACACTGTTGAAGAAGCTAGAAAGGATCATAAAAGGACCGAAATGCTAATAACGAAATCGTAGCCTAGGGGTTTTTGTGAGTTATGAGACAAACATAATTCCATAGCACCCTTTCAATGTAAAAAAATTTTCATATTATTGTCTCAAAGTATCCTTACGTTGATATTCTTTCATGAAAACCGCAAAACCTCCATGGGCACGATTTCTAGCTTGAATAAAACATGGCTATTCCAAGAAGAGTCCTAATGAGCTGATAAAAGTGCCATACTTAAGTCGTTTGAAATTTCTTCTTTTATTATTTTCTGTGGTTATGTAAGCGCTGAGTATCGTTTATTTGTAAACAGGAAAAATAACAAAAAACGACAGGTACCGTATCAAAGACAAGAAAAAGTTATTTATATTATATCAGATATTGGTTGGCGATTCAACTCCAGTGCCTGCTTCCACTTTTTAGAACCTAAGATGCTAAAACGAACTTTGCTCGGTCACGAATCCGGCCGCAGCTCATTATTCTCTCTGAAGACCTAAAAATACTGATGGAATTGTTATTGCAGACACAATCACCAATTGCAGAACATGCTGGCTCGCCGGCAAAAATTAAAATCGCGAACTAAACTTTAAGTGATGGTATTTCTTAAACTTCGTTCTTGTATCTCAGGCCTAACTGGCTTTGTCAGTTATCCCGTGATCCCAAAAAAAAGGATACTTTGGCTAAAGTAGAGTGTTTTTTTATGTACTACGTGTTCATTATTGTTTTTACAAACAAAGCTCGGCGTGTTTTTGTTATTGACGTCAAACTTCTTCGAGCTCTAAAAAAACGAGACGAACATGCAAATTGCCGAAAAGATAATTAAGCTTTGCACGCAAGTTCTTCATTCTATTTAAACGATATCTTACCTCACTTTTACATTGAAGAATACAAAAAAACTCAAACAAAGGTGGTCATCAAAGTTTCAAAACTAATGGTTCAGTAATTTCTGCAAATTTGCTATCGATGGTAAACCTCAAATTGTTCTTTTTGGCAGAAAAAAAGAACAAAAAACAAAACAGAAACTATTGCATGTGATGCCTGCTGTCTGTGGCAACTAACCACTGCTTGGTTATGATCTACTTATCCTGACTGGTAGATAATGAAGGACGGAAATAATAAGTTCGTCAGATACCGCCGAGAAAATTCGACTCCTTAAATCTCATCTGCGTCTAGACTTCTCAGTGCCCCACAAAAGTGCCATTTAACGATGAAACATAAATAATTTGGATATTCTCCTGAAACGTCTGTTTATGAAGCAGATGTAGCATTTAAGTATGTGTTTAGCCGGCTCGTAAATTTGCACGCGAAGTCTATTTTCTTTACAAATATTAACAGTAATGAACAGAGGGACATGAGCTTAGGTGTTGCTCTTCACTGATCACATGAAATATATTACCTTTCACAGTAAAGCATCCAAGAAGCGTCATCCAAACGATTAACATTTTCGAGGATGGCAGACCAACTGTTTGGGACGAAGACATCTTGCACTAAGATGCTGTAAATAAATGTAAAAATGAAAATTTATGCTTTATTTCTAATCTAGTCTTTAAATAAATTGATTTGATTCATTCCGCCACAGACCACCGCTGTTAAGAAGCCGGCAAACTAAACAGTTTCTTTAATTAACTTTGGACAATCAAGATAACTATGGAGTTTCACTTTCGCTATCTGTTCGATTTATTATCTGCCTCAAACATATCACAATCATGCGGCCCTACCTGCAGTCACCAGTTTTCTCCTGAAACCAACAACAGAACAACTGCAGGCTGCAGTCACAAAGTTCAGCTCTGCGAATATATTTAATGCTGCATGTCTCATGTATTATTCAGTATCGGTAAATGTTAAACAAATTTTCGTCAGTGATGCAAATAGATCAAAACAATTCACTCGATTCACTCGATTCTTGAATTTTAATAAATAAATTTAAGTCACACTTCGGTGACTATGCGAGGAAACTTGTCTTGTGCGAGAACGAAACAAGCTACATAGATACTTCGGGCGTCGTCGAAGCCCACAACAGCACTGATGAATGATTTTAAATTTTCAAATCTCAGTTGATCACTTTACGGCAATCAAACTGCTTTGAGGTGACCTGCCCAGGCTCGCAAAGGATTATGGACTGTTTATTCTAATCATGCGTTGAAGCAAGCCTAACTTTCAAAAATGAATCTGTTTGAAAACAAAAAATTCAGCGAGGAAGACATTTCAGTGCGAGGTGAACTTGTTGCAATGAGTTACCGCGCGACACCGTTAATTATTGAGATCTTTAAACCTAACTTACTCCCTGTGAGAGAAAGGTACGTTTAAATTGAAAAAAAAAAAACAAAGTAGGTTCTTTATTCAATTACAAGAAGAAGAAAAAGTTTGATCAAATCGTGAGCATAGTTTATTTCTCTAAGAAATATCGAATAGCTCGATGTGTTCACCGCTTTCATTTGCGTCAAACTCCCTCTTCCCACGGATGGGAGATGTGGTGCTAGGTGTGAAAAACTCGCCCTTTTGGCTTCCCGCTCTGGAAAATTGCCCATAAGACATAGATCTCATGTTGTTTTTCAGAAGGATTCAACTCAGAAATTTGCAAACTCACGCATAAGGTCAACAGCTGTCATGGATCGGGTTCATGATCCTTTTGTTCTCGAACATGTTCCCAATTGTGTTGATGTCGCTTTTGCTGAAGATGTCGTCAACCGCTTGAAAAGAACGGTCCACAGAAAAAATAGATTCAGAGCAATGACAAGACTGAAACTGACCGCGAGAAATTCTCTTTTGTCTTTGCACCACGTATAAGATGCGAATTATATTGCAATAGCAAATTTTTTCCACACTGTGAGCATTATGATGGTGCTAAATCAAGTTACGTGGATACTGAAATGTTTAGTCTAGATTTTTCTCAAGTTCTTCGTTCGCAATTGATTTTAGACCTTTGTTATCCTTTATTAGTCATTCCTAATTGTTGCATTTTCATAATGTATTTTCATCTTTTTGGGCTTTAAGTCCGCATTGGTTTCCTTCAATTTGTAATTTCTTCAGTATGTCGCAGGAAATAAGCCAAAATATGCTGAGCCTCAGCATGTTCTCAAAGAAGCTGCATAACTAGACTTGTGATGTGGAACATGTTGGGGCTCAGATCCTTGACTTAGAATTCAAACACTCTAAGTGTAACCACAAAACTAGAGCATGTTAAAATCTAAACAGACATGATTAGGTTATCCATTTTCACCTTATAAAAGTTTTGAATGGGTCAGCGATTATCGAAAATCTAAACTGTTTTTGAGGAGTGAAGCGGTACTGGCTCTTTGCACATTAATTGTGAGGCATAGTAAACACAGAAAATTTCTTCAGAGGTGGGATGGGTTTGTACACTTACCTCCCCACCCACTTCATCCCCCCAGTTTCCAAACGGTAATGAAAACATATTAGAGACTTTCAGATACTATTGTACCGGCAACGTTCTACAAGTGCTTCCAGGGAATAATATGGATATTAGTATGAAGAACATCATGAACACCGTATAATTTTGCGCTACATCAGCTCCGTAACAGTTCCTTGTCATAGGATAAGAAATTATGTTTGAGCTATCTCGACTCTTAAAGAAAGCACTTGACAACTAGCTATCTTCCAACTGCATATTACTGCTCTTATAACTACTATCCTGTTTATTTATTTAGGTAATTCCAAAGTATTGCATTGCACATCCTTGCGGAGCATAATTTCACACGTAACTAGTGAGCAATAAAAAGTGGCAGCTTTTACTTTCTGGTCGGAGCTCATCAAAGAAGTAAATCGTAATTTTGTCGCAAATGAGCAGAGTGACCTATAATTTCTCTCTTTCTCGGAATTTAGTCATCAGTTTCTCTCCTTTAAATAAATATGAACCAATCTCAGTGCTGGAAGAAGAAAAATTAGCGGAAACACGAATTTAGAAATTACTCGAAAGCAAAAATCCACAAGGCACAGTTGCTCCTAAACAAGCAGAGTGACACGTTTTTTCTGTTTCAAAATTTACGTCCCCTAAAGAAATAAAACCAGTAGGTAGAGTTTACAAGAGTCTCAGGCAGGTTCTCTTCTAATCAGAAAAATAACCTGAACAACATAATCAAGTTACTTCTCGGAGATATTTCTTATTATTACAGACTACATCGCATAGAATTTGAGTGGAAATCTTTTCCCAGTTGGTCCTTTAATAGGATACAACGTTTTCACAATCAAAACAAATGAAGACTAATTCGGTTCAGAAGCAAAACCTTCTGATGTTTCTGAAAAGGAATGAAAACTGAAATGTGAACGCCGATGCATTTTTAAAAGTGACAAATTTTCTTTGTGACCAATTTATTTTACTTTCAATATTTGAAATGTAAAACATCTCCAAAAAAGAATCTCTCTCTTCAATCAGCAAAGTAGGTACATGTCTTTCAATTACCTCTGCCGAACTTTGCATATAGGCTGCATGTCTGGAAGAAGGTGATGTACATCGTATGTCAAGGGATTTTTCCAAGAAGTTGGATCAGTTTTTATAACGAAAGGAATTAGAAAGTGAACTAGATGACGTTCACGATGAAATTCGATTTCCAAAACCCAAGAGCGTATTTGGCGCCGCTTGTTTTGTCACACTTTTAACCAGCCTCCTGACTAACGATAAAACTATGAAATGATTTTTTGTTCTTTTTCCTGTTTTCGTTTATCTCACTTTGAAATTGCTGCTTCTGTACTTGTGTACTGAACTTTTCAAAAAATTGAGCTCATACAGGATTAGGCCTTTTATTGTACAATACAATTTGCAAGCATGTTATAAATGATAAGCAGGTAAGTTTCTTTCACTTATGAATAATGAAACTCCTGTCTCTTTAACTGAATTTTTACATAACTAAAATAAACATAGAGATCTGAAGGTATAAAGAAAAACAAAAGCGAATACAAAAGAAGCAAAAATTAATCAGGCAAGCGTTTGCAATCAACCATGTAAAATTGCCTTTTACATGGTTAAAATGTCATTTTATACGGTCAGTTTTCTAGGTGTAGATAGGGTTCATTGTACTACAGGTAGTACAAGTTTCTTTAAATTTAAAGGCATTGTGCATTTAACTGTTCCAAGATTTTATTGTGAAATTTCGATTCAGAAGATCACGTTTAGACAATAGAGTAATCTTTCAAATAAGGTCGACAAGGATGGGGTAAACTTGTCTTACTCAAAGTCATTTTGCCATTTGACATCACCCTCAATTGCACGTGATGTCGCGAAAAACTGATATCAAACGACGCGACAGAAACCTTTCCCTTTGTTTAACATGACAATTTTGTTTTTGAAAGCGTTTGCGGTAAGATGCTTTTGTTACCCGTGTTACTCTATTTAGCAAGATACAATCGTTTCCCTTGCAAACCTTCCTTTATTACAGTACATCTATTGTCCCTTAAAGCCTACGTAACAAAGTACTCTTCTTCAAATGAAGCAACACCCATATGAAGACCTTTTCCTTTAAGAATCTTTCTGTTTCTATAGCTGGATTTCTTATGATCTTGGTAATTTCAATAATTCAACATGAATTTTTGAGGATATAAATAGGAATATACCTGCTCAAATTTACATAATAAAAGATGGTAAAAATTCAGATTAATATCAAACTTGTCCTCCACACATGGACTTAATTAACGGTCGGGCCTTAACAAGTTCGCTGTGGCTTAGATTGCACAACTTCGACATCAAGATCGAGAAGCTCAAGGTACAGACCCTCACCGGAGTCACAGACTTTTTATTAATTCTCTCAAGCTGAATACAGCTGTCCCACATCATTCGCTATCCTAAAGTTTCAAACACTGAGGAGTACTAGTCATCTTTTCAAGAATGTTTAAAATGTGTGGTTACGGAAACATTTGATGACAAATAAATACATGAATCATACATTCATAGTATAAAGAACCTAAGTGCGTGTTATGCGGTCATGATATTAGACGAATAAATATTGCATAGTCGAGGGAAGCAACAAAATGAATCCCAAACGAACGAAAACAGTTATTGACGAAAATCATGACGGAGAAAATAGACAGCAAGAAATATGCTTCATCAGTACAGGCAAACAGCAACAAAAGAGTGTTAAGGGACCTGTCTGTAAAATATCGAACCACAGGTTGAAGACAACACGAGATATTATTTTTCAGACACGTTATTGTTTGCTAATTTCTATACTGACACACGTTGCCGGGTGCTTTCTCAAACTACCATTTAGTCCATAGTAATTAAAAAAACAATATTAGATCTATATGCTTAAGTAGTTTGTTCAGCAAAGGCCCTGTCCATCCAATATAGAAGACCTTTTTAGCCTCTAAATTGGAAAATAGAGGACGTCGGATCCACGACGGAGATAGAATACCCAGAATTTACTACATTTTACAACATAACTTACCTATTCACTACTCGCAATCGATGACTCCTTCAGATAAATCCGGTGAGCAAAGATGAGTTGAATCTTTCGAGTAATCCACAGCAATAAGAAATATTTTTAAGTAACCTTAGCCGCAAGACAGTCACGAGTCCTATGCCTTAGCAAATCAAAAATAAGGTAGAGAAAAAGCTCCAAGAGGCTTTTCTAAAATCAATCGAAAAACAAAGAGCCCCTTAGTTGTTTACGTTTATATTGGCTGTTCACGGCGATTCGTCATAATCTATTAGCATGCGCACAACTGGTTGAAAAGGCGCTCTCATCCGTAAGACAATTAACACGAAAACAATGCAAATTAGTCCCTTTGAATTGTTTGTAACTTAAAAGTTTAGGGTCGGTAATTTATTTTATTCCATGGTTGTGGCGGTTGAGGGCTAATAACTAAACACAAACCACCAAGACGGTTTCATTTCCTCTCTCGCGAGAGCCGATATTTCCCATCAGCAGACAGGCCTTTGTTCAAAATGATCGCGGGCAAATCAGATTTCTTATGATGAAGTCGAGGAAAAATTCCATCTGGGATAGCTAATGCAAAAAAGAATTAGTAAAAGATGCAGCAAAATAAATGTTTAAAACGGAAACGAGCAGGATTTAAGGTGTTAAATCAGCACAATTTCCACTTTTAGAAGCTTAAAATGCCTTAGGGCAACTGCAGAATTCCAGACCACTTCATCCGATCTCTTAAATTTTCCAAAATGCACTGAAAATGCTCGGAATAGAAATATATTTAGGAACGACTCTAAAAGTGTTGATCGTTTCTAACAACAGAGGGAAACGTTGTTCGTTTCTATAACAACAAACGCACGGATGCAGCGTAACATACAAGTAAAGTTCTGTTGTTTCTATTTGTGACTTTCTTAACAAAACAGATGAAAACACCTGATAAACGAATGTCGATTGTCGCGTTCGACAAGTCGGTAAAAGGTAAAGCGAGTAACAGACAAATAAAGTTATGTCGTGTTTTTTTGTCGTAACATTAAAAATTAACTTGTTGCCTTGGGTAAGGCAAGAGTGATATTTTTGAGATAACAGTCTATTATTTATGCTTGCGACTTTTTTTCACAGTAGTAGTCTGATAGCATCATTTCCCCTAGGATCAGAATAGGCATAAATTACGTAGTTCTGCTCTGTTTTCTCTGGCGGTCGCATGTATGTTTTGATCCGATCAAAGTATTACGAATGCGAACTGGTCAAAATGAGCATTCATCCTTGCATTGAGTGTGATGATGAAATTAAACCAGGCCAACAAGCCCTACAGCCCTACAGCTCATAGTCTTCGTGGCATTGTTAGAAACCAAGAAAGAGTTTCTCAAGCTTACGAAACGTCCGTGAGTAAGAAACGATTACCTACCAAACGAACAACGCTGCATTTTGTTGTGGGAAGCGAACAACGTTTCCCTTTGTTGTTAGGAACGAACAACACTTGAAGAATCTTCATGGTGTTGTCGGAAACAAGAGCGCTTTAGTGATAAAAATTTCTCAGCGTTATTGCCTATTTACAGTCTGACATTCTGATCTTTTTAGCATTTGTTTCATCCGACGACTTGACTTTTTTGTATCGGGCGACATAACTAAAATTTCGGGCAACATAACTCAGGTTTTGGGCGACATGACTTCGGGCGAGATGACTCTCGGGCGACTTGACCGGTTACCATCAAAAGAATGATGAACGTCCTCGAGGGTGGAAAACCAAAGGATTGAGACAGAACAACAGCGGGCTGTCTACACACTCTACCAACACACTTATGCCCGTTATGCTGCATGATTAGCAATATACCAATTTTTCTCTCGCAAACGTTCCTTCAGTTAGATATTTTTGCAGTCTCTGGAAGTCTGACATAATACTTTTCTAGCTACAAATTGTTATTCAACATCTTACCTAGGATGCACATTGGAACATCTCATGCGTGACACAAAAGATCTAAATAACCCTATATCCAAATTAACGCGTCAAAATCTTTGTTATCATCCTTTTAGCTCAAAAAAGTTAAAAAATTCGGCTTTAATTATCGGCTGCAGTTTCTTTCTATTTCTTTCCAATGAGCCACAATGATAACCAATATTTTGGAGCAACCTGAGCTTAAAAGTTGTTACAAATCTTTAAACTCACAAAATCGAAAACGTATGGCACTAATGAAAACGAAAACAACCATAACAGAAGTTGTTTACGTACCCTCTCACGGGTGTTATCGTCGTGTGCATAACTAATTGAAAAGGTGCACTCATCTGTAAGATACTTCACCACATAGCAAAATAAAGACGTCCGTAAGTTACATTTCCGTCTGGGAATGATGTCAACAACCGAAACAATCTTCAAAGATCAATTGCAATTGAGAAAAGTGCAGATAAAGGAACCTGGACAAATTCGTGCTTTACAATGAAGGTATGAGACCAAATGTGCTAATAAGATACTTCAGAGCTGGCCGATCTTAGCTAATTGTCCCCAAATGACAAAAAAATGATCAAAAAAGAGCACAGGTAATTCTTTTGTTCGAAAAATTGCTGGATATAAGTCAAACGTAAAAGTGGAGGTTGCAACTATCAACTTTTCTAGGCCTAGTCCCTTTGTACGGATGAAATCATTTTTTTCAACAGTCAGTAGTTGTCAAGAGACTGTAGCTTTCTCGTTGACAGGCTCATTAATGAACCTGCATTTCCGAGCACAATCAGCTGAAGGTTATGAAATAAATAGAACTTCAACAAAATATGCGGAACAAAAAAAAAAACGAAAATACTTTCGAGGAAGAAAGTAGACAGAAGATATTGACTTGTAGCCTGGTAAACTAAGTATGACCGTGGTGTCTTAATTACGACCCGTACCATTAACATACTTTTTAGCGGATGAAAGAGAACAAATCCTTGTCTAAAAGGCTGAAGGATTACCTTTACAATTAAAAATGCTGTGAGTGGAACGCCTTATTCCAAGGATTCCATTGTAAACCTTTTTTTGATTATTTATAAAATGACAACAACAAAATCAGTAACAACAGTACTGAAGCATTTCTCACTGAATAGCACATCTGGCAAAAGAAATTCTTATTTCGTTAAATTTAATTTTTTGAAAGACTAGTATAGCAACTTTTTATTGCAAGCAACAACTCTGACTCAATCGGGGTCAAATCTGCATTCCGTAGACAAGCGTATCAAGATCTGGTTAATTACTTCTGGTGCAGTTTTTGGCGGCTTGCGATCGAACAAGTCTCTTGAGAAGGGAAGAAAAAGGAAGCAGTGTTATTTAAAAAATAATACGTGGCCGCGCCTAGGGAATGTCTCTTTGTGTGTTCAACAAACAAGTATTATTTTTCTTTATTATATTAACACAATAGGCCTTTACTGACAAAACTGAATGGACTCTATTAATGAATTAATAAAAGTTGGATCCACAGTGCGCGAAAAAAATTCGTCAAGTGCTTCGGTGATAAGGCTAAAGATAAAAAACATGCGTTAAATCATTACAAAAACAAACGATGTGCGGAACTTTTAATCTACAAAATTGTTAGCGTTGACTTTTTCCCTACCGACAGTTGTCGATTTTCGTTCTCAGCCGCGAGAAATGCCACTATCAAACCCAAGTACGTAAATTTCGATTTTCCTTTTCGTATTTTGGTTTTCTTCCGCTTCTAGGATGTCCTGAAATTCACATCGCTTTCAGAAAGTGACTTTCAAAATATTTTAGAAGCGGAAGAAAACGAAAATACGATAAGAAAAATCGCACTCGTTTTTTTTAGCTGAGAAAATGTCAGCGAACGATCTTGGATTGAGAATGGTGAACGCCTTGCCATTCATTCGTCAAAATGACAGAGTGGCACGAAAGGCGAGTGACGTGTCAGCAGCTGATTGACGATGTCAAACACACGTGAATAAAATATGTCGTTTTCACACGTGTGCTGTTACAGCTTTTCTCAGGGAAACATACAGTTTATATAATAATAGTCTTTCTTTTTTTTTTCTTTTGAAAGAGAAAGCTTTCATACCATTTTAAGTTCACGTCGTTCTGTTACGAATAGTAGCTTTCAATGATAAATGTGTCTATGCCTCTGGCTGTTGCAGCTGGCATTATGCAAATACAAACATGCATCGAAATGCAACGATTGCATTAAGGACAATCAGTGTACCACTCAAAGTAAGTGCCACAGGGGACCCACAACGTCCAACGTTACAGAGGTCGTTATCACAGCACATTTTGCAATATTCTTCGCCATCTTTCTCCCAGTTGACAAATTCCTTGTCGCATTTGTTGACACAGTCCCTGTAAAATCGTGTCTCTCCATGTCTTCCATCCTTGACAACTTCACAGAATTCGTTTCCTTCAGAGCACGTCGCCGTTCTCGTACCATTGACTGAATCTTCTGAACACGGCTCATTGCGAGAGTCACATAGAAAGCATGTCCTGCCTAAAAAATGGAGACAAAAAATTCAGTTTTCCTTATGAATAAAATCAACAATTGTGTTATTCCTTGACAAAATTTCTTCAACAGACAAATAAATAAAGTATAACGCACGTAGATTTGGAGTATTAAACTCGGTAGCTACGAGTGAGCGCAACGAGAAAGTCGCAAAGGCATTGCCGTTCATTCATCAACCCGACCGAGTACCGCGTAAGGCGTGTGACGTGGCAGCAGCTTATGATTGGCGATGTATTGTTTTCACTTGTGTCGTTACGGCTTTTCACAGGGCTGGAAATCTTTGTGTAACACCATAGTTTGATAATAAAAAGTACTACATTATCTATTAATTCATCCCATCCTTTTCATTTCTGCCATCTATTTTTCACTGTGACCAATTTTCTGATCAACGAAGTTACACGACTCAATTGTGATGTGAAACCATCAAACATGTACATAAATCAGCCATTTAAGTAGTCACTTACCAGCGACCTGGAAAGAAAAAATTACCAGGACGACGAAAACCACTAAAAATAATCCTCTTGTGATTCTCTTCGTGTCCATAGAGCAGGTGCTGGGCAATATCTGTCATAGGTACAACAATGTTTATTCTTCTCTTGCAACGTTCTTATTCTCAGTAAACATGATACATTATAACGGGGTATCAAAATGGTTTACCCTTCAACTACCATGATTTCAAAATTTCTCCTTACAATATCATTACGATATCAACCGGGCAAGAATAGATAGAGGAATACCAGTTAGGGAATTAATATTTGATCCAGTACCAAAACTGGCGTGAGAAATGCAGTAAAGAGAATTGTAAATAAGATCTTGGGAGTGAGAGGATAAATAAATCAGTGGCCGTTTTTATACTAGAAGACGCATTATCCGTACAGCTTAATAATGCGTCTCTCATGGTATGCGTCTGGTGTTAAGAGACGGGACGAATAACAAGACGAACGAGGTGCCAACAATGCGAAATATTACGCACGGTGAAATAAAAACGAATGAGAACTGAAGATTTCTTAGCGGTAAAAATTAAGATAGCGGCCATATTGAAACTTGTTCTCTCGTGAGAGAAAAGCAGAGAACAGTGTTTAAGCCGCCAATCTAAAACATACAAGGAAATGGCAAGAAAAATTTTCTTTGAGAGATAGGAGTTCGAAACTGAAGCTCGCTTTTATGTCGGTAATCGTTTTTCTTGTCGCCAGGACGAAGGCAAAGTCCTCAAGCCCCGTTTTTGCTATTTCGCTATTTTACTGTTGCCTTTTCACTTGCATCCGCCATGTTGTTTCTTTTGGCGTATAACCGCTGGCTTTTTACAGCACGGTTTTATTTTTTAACGTTCATCATCTGCTGCCCGCCGTTGCACACACAAACAGGTTATGTGTGCACACAAACTGCCTTTTAAGATGCATTACGAAGGATAGTGCTTCTCTTGTTATTGTCAGTTCATACAAGTGGCGCATAACCACATGAACTGTCTTTCAATAGGAAAACAACTAATGAATAAGGAAACTTATTTTATTGGCAACTGGAACCTTGCATCGAAGAAAAACGCGACAATAAACATGTAGCGGAGACTTGGTTATTTCGTTGTAGAAGTGAAAAATCCTTTTTCGAGAAAGATGCGAGTTAGTTACACTAATTTAGAGTGTTATCGTCGGTCGTTGTCTAACCGAGATATACCGAGTGTTATCGTCGGAGGCTGTCTAACCGAAATATAGTTTTTTCAAATTCATTACGATAAGCAGGAAGGAAATCTTTGGCTTTGTGTGCGCGCGATATAGTCACAGTTCCCAAATGAATGTGACTAACCCCAAGTAAAGTGCTCTCGGTAGCTAGAAAATTGACGCAATGCTCAATGTGGAGGACCTATCGAGAGTAATATAATCTATGTACTGCATTTGATACAATCGAATGCAAGATCCAATAACATTAAGAATGCACGCGCGCCACCCCGCGCGTGTTTCATAGCGTGAATCGAGGATTCCCTACAGCTATAAATCCTTAATCCTCAGTCTTTATGTAATTGTTCAACCCTTTAACCCTTAGGAAGTGACCAGTATCGAAGTCTTCCTTACAGTATCACTGCTGAGTTTAAAATCTAAGGAAACGAGAACAAAAAAAAAAAAAAAAAGATCGCCGACTTAAGAGGCTTGTGATTGTTACGCAAATTCTCGGGTCAGTACAACATGGAATGTAAACAGAGCAGTGTGGAAGATATGCATACTGAGTTAGGGTGACTGAGAGCTAATGAAGAAATCTGATTAAATTCTGAACAAAAAATAAAAATTATATTAATTTATTAAAAGGCGATAATTCATGTTTTAAACGTTTTCAACTGTGTCCAGTGTTAATGTTAATTTTGACCGTGCTTCAGTGAACGGGATCAGCAAGAAAGTCCATAAATTTCATCCTTGTTTGATTACAGTTCAACTTTTACGTCTTTGAATTAAATATCGTGAGTAACTTGAGTTGAAAGCTAGTTGAAAGTGTCGATAGTCCTTGATGAATGTTTATAATCAAATTTTCGCCTCTTAAATTTTATTTCGTCGTGTTGAAGACAGCTATAATTCTTTGTCGGCAAACTTTTAGGCTTCAACATACCATCACGTAACCGGTGAAATACCCGGCTAGCAAAGAACGCATGTGATATTTTTCAACTGACGCATGAGCAACTTCTTAGCAGTCACGCACAAAACACGAAGCATTACTGAATATTCTTTAGAAGGAGTAAGTTTCATAATTTTCAGCTTAGAACTCGCATCTGTGCCGTTGGACAGAGCTATGCATGAGAAGGGTTAAGCAATTACAAAAGATGATTGGTTCGAAAACAGTAGATGGAAACCACTGCCTGACGATCGCCGAACGAGTACTGTCATCACGTCTGCATTGAATGTGTCGCTGATCCGATCACGGCTCTCTCCCCCGGTTGCAAATGTTGGGAAAAAACAGAAATTACAATTTTCTCAGAGGCTTGGAATACATTTTGATCTCACCGCACTGCCAAGGTATCTCGTTCCTTTCGTGACTTGAACAATTTCCTCACCCAACTGTTTTACCCGAGAGGCTCTCGTCTTATCGTGTCAATCTTAACTTTAATTCGGTGAACAAACCACCTACCTTTGTCGAGATAAGTGGAATCACTGCTTCATCCAACTTCTAAATCAAACCTCTGGACTGCTTCACCATGCAGAAAACTCTAGAACATAATTTCAATCGATTCGCCACGCACAGGTAACTTTGGCCGTGTATGAATGCCAATGCTACGTCAAGAGTCCGAACTTTGACCCAATATTTTAGGAAATTTTGACAGTCTTCTTCAGCGTGTAATTAAGACTTCCGGACGGGTGGAACTACTTCTTTGGTAGTTCTCTAAGCTAAAACGAGATATGCGAGGTGCTTAGATGGAAGAAAAAACTTAAAGAAAAGAAAAGGAAAAATGCTGTCATGATGAAAAAGTGAAACAACTGACATTGGCAGGTTTAGATTACCAGGGTTTTACCAGTGTCCCACCTTGAATAATTCCACCTGAATATAAGGAATACCCCATTCACACCAAACCTTAATCATTTTATAGAACTGTTTTGTTTAACACGGACTAAAATTGTTTTCCTCATATAAGCTGCTTAAACAGATGTTTGTCGACTTCTAGTTAGTGACTTCCACAATCCGATGAAATATAACGTTTTTCCGTTCTCTGTGTCTGTTTTTCATTCACTCAAACCCATAATAACAAAACATGTTTTGCTGGTGTAATCGGGGCACATGATTCGTTATTTGCAACTTGTGTGTATCTTTGCCACATTTCCTATGATGCTCACAAGGAGAATTTGTCTAATAATGTACAGCTTCTTAAAGTCGCAATCAGTTCTTATATTCTCATAACCTTAGTGTTTGATTCAGGGGTGATGCTTTCGGGAGAAATAAGATGCTTATCACTCCAAGGGGTTTAAAATTCATCGCGATTCTCAAAATTCAAGTCACTCATATTGTAGCCGTATTTTAAGTATCATACATGGCTCGCTTGACAAGTAAATAGTAATACAAATGGTTTCGACCCGGGACTGACATTTACTTATATATTGTATATGTGGTCTGATCGTCCATCATCGTAACAACCAGCTATCTTAATGTTTCACACGGCTAAAGTGCGATTCTCTGATAAGATATTCGTGTTGAATCACTGTATCGTGCCTTCTTAATGTCTCGGCAGATTTCGCTCAACTGTTGATCGCACAGTCTAATCAAGCCTTCCGATGAGGGCAGACTTGTAACGGTTTATACTATCAGTCACTGTAACTCACAAGCGGCTGCCTATGATGTAATCAGCGACCGGGCCAGCAAAGGGACCATAAGGCAAACGATAGAGCTGATTGACGAAATGCTACGTCACAGGTATGCGGTCAATAACGCGGGCTCAACCGTTCGGGGTTTTAAAATTCAGCGAAATTTGCGGAGAGAAAAGGGGCTGGGATTTAGTACCGAGGCATTTTGTTGTCGTTGAAAGCATTTTTCTATTTCCAGTGTTTAAAATGAGAAAGCTAATTTTTGAAAAAATATTTAGGGGGTGTAGAAAGTTTTTGGAGGTTGTTCTGAAAATGAAAAACGCCCAGAAGCCACAGAATAGAAATCAAACGTGCCAACGGCTCAAAATCCGTTTTACGCGTTTTACGCGCCAAAGCCTAGCGCATGCACAGACGTTATTCAGCTCCGTCAAAGCAAATCACAAAATCAAGACTTGCTCGCAGGCTCAACAGACGGCGGTCAGAGGTCTTGTACGAGACTGTAGACTACTGATAACCAGCTTTTCTGGAAACTCCCGAGGTAACTGACACATCGAAACCCTGAGCAGAAGCAATTACCTGTACGACTAATTCGTAGAAGTGGGAAACTTGGAACATTGGCAGAGTGAAATTTATTTTATTGGAACTTCAATGATTTACAAACTACTGAAAACGATTTAAAATTGATTAGTTCAATTTTGATAACATCATATTTCGACGGTTTGCTTGCATATCAAACACTTTTAAAACGCAAGAGAATCCACAAGAAGGCCGCTGCAACGCAGTCAACTTTTCACCCATCTAATAAGGTAATTTTTTACCAAAATGTCGGTCAATTCAATACTCAATACTTCAGCTTCGAAGAATAAGTTCTCGATTCAGTACCGATACAAATGGGTTTTAAACCTTAGGACGACTCCTACTATGAAGTACACACTTAATAGATACTAAAAGGGAGTGACGTCAATCGATGATTAATTGTAAAGATGAGGTCAATCTCCAGTGTGCGCATAAAAGTTGCAGAATGTTACTTTGAACGTTACTTTACAAATTGACTCTTCCGCGTCTACGACTTCACAGCATATTTACAAGATGAAATCAATTTTACTTCCAGAATGAAAAAAGCCATAGTTTGGTCAACAAATACCGACAGCAACGACCAAGTCGTTAAATTATCCTCTGTGTGTGAGAATTCGAGACTCTTCGTATTCCACAAATCTTAGAGACGTATCCTATGCGAGAACGATTTCTGACAATAGCGTTATTTTCCTGATTTAGCGAATCTGGCAGAGATCCGGCAAATATTTGGACTCAGGGAAATCTCACCTTTACCTTGAAATGGGTTCTCATACAATCTTCATACTCCAAATTTGCGTTATCTGTGGTCAAAGTTTTGCAACACAACTTGTACACTTTTTCCTCCTCCAAGATGATGAGTTGATTTCATTTTCAATAAAATAATCGAATTGCTTCTTTTGAGAGTTTATGATCATCTAGGAGACTCATCTATTTTGAGGTCACACTAACACTCATCAAAGCTTTTCGTGAGGGGCATTTCACCCGTGTCGTGAAAACTCCAGGTTTAAATTCGTATATCTGCTTTACTACGAACCGTGTTTGGTTTCAAGACTTCTCTCCCAAATGTGCTTTTTTCGACTTCCTACTCGCTTCTTGCAACATTTACCTCTACTTTCTGATTGCAGGTTGCGATCACGTTTGTTTGACTTTAAAACAGTTAATCAATAAGCGCTCTGTTTCAAAATTATTTGAAATTAAGCTGTAGTAATGTCTACAGCCTCTGGAGTTGTGTGGATCTCCCCAGGCAGCTGAGAACCCGTCACAGGGTCACCAATGATACTCATAGTGGCGAGACGGGCTCGGCGATAAACAAGCAACATGTTGAAACCCAAAAGCCTGAAATAAAAGAATATTAAGATACATGAGTTGGTCGAACCGTTTAAATCAGACGTACGCTGCTCAATCTGACCGATCAAACAGCTACCTGACGGGTAAAAGTCTTTGACTACCGAAGAGACAGGCTAAATGACTGGCTAATAGATTGACTGGCTGACAGACAAACTGATGGACGGATTGACAGACTGATGGACTGACAGACCTACTCACTCACTCACTCACTTAAAGACGAACTGAGTGGCGACTGACGGACTGACCAACCGACAAACCGACGGACCGACCGACCGACTGACAATTGAGCGAATGAATGACGTATGACCAGATGGACAGACAGACAGAAAGGCAGACAGACTGTGGCAGACAAACAGTACATGTATAACCCAAGACTAGTAGGATCAACCAACAAGTGTATGTCATAGCCTTCAAGTTGAGTCTCAAGACGACACACCCTTCATGAGACATGTTTCAGGCTTAATTATATAGCTGGTCAGTTAATCTAATATTGTCAGCGCAGCTAATATCCTTTAATATCTAAGAACTGTTCAATTAAGGATTAATTTTGGATAGTTTCACTACGGACTTTAAGTTAAAAATTCACAAGCTGTCCTGTTGAAGAAACTTAGGGCAAATTGCATCAGCCAATCAAATCCAAGCAAAAACTACATGTGATAGAAATATGCTAATAAGCACAAAGCATAGCGTCAGCTCTGTAGACTTGTTGTGTTGTTGGTTGATAAATGGCAGAATTTAAATATTCCTCGTTATGAGCTGGATGCAATTCTCTGCCTCTTTTTGCTGAAATTCGGTGACGAATACGATCAGTCTAACCGTCATGCAGTGCTCGTTGGGCCGCCATTTGAAAAACTGTGACAGAAACTACAGTACCTTGCGAGATCGTGAATTTACAAATTTAAGACAACAACTTGAGGCAAAAGCCAGAGAATTAAGAATACAGGGTTACGGAAAGCGAAAGAACAAGACCAACATGACTGACCAACTGACTCACGAATAAGAAGTTTCAAGACACAAGCGACGCATTACCTCGATGATCAAAAACAGAATCATTAAAAATCATTAAAAGCCATCCAAACAACTAACAAACTAACAGAAAGATCAACCTAGCAAAGATACGGACAGATTGGTGACACACACCGATCCTCTAATCGTTATCATTTTACTTATTTCATAGATTATACAACGACCAATCAATAAATCAATCAATCAATCAATGGACCACGTGGAAGAGGGGAACTCACTCACCTGAGACAGACGTACTCGAGTACCACGCCCAGTCCTATGACCACAACCTTACAAGTCTCAGACATTTTGGTTAAACAAAGAAAGTAAACACTAATTGGAGTTCCAATCATCATGGACAGAATCAGCGTTGTCTGAATCCAATGCCTTGAGCGCCAAAAGAGGAATATAATTTCAATTACATAACTAAGCTATAGACCGCACTTTTAATCGTTTTATCAGCATAATAACCCACATAGGATGCTAAGAGAACACGAGAAAAGTTTGTAAAACACAAGCCGGAGGCGAGCGACTCACAAACTTCCTATGGGCTTACCGGTTTTATAAACGATAGATTTCGACTAATCAGGGCGCTCGTAGTATCTGACTAATTTTATAACCTGTGCTTGTTCTGTCATAGTGAGCGGTTTCAAATGCCCTTCAAGATTAACATTTGGAAAAAAAAGAAAAGGTTTTCGTAAAAGGGTAAGTGGTTGACAATCAGTGGAGCTGCTTTTGCTTTCCCTTCTAATCGTAAATCGAGCTAATTTTAATGGCAGGTTTATGCTCGCTCTCAGATTTTCTTCAATTCATGTGCTAGAAAAATATTGGAAAATTAATCGAAGACGAGGAATATCACCCTAAAAAGCAACTAACAATTGAATAACCGAGAGGTTTCTCTTGGGCTGTTAATAATGGGAGCAAAAGATAGGAGCAGAACAACTTAAATAATTTCCTACCTGACAGTAAGACCACTCGGTAACCACTTTCTTCCTGTTTCCAATTTGTACTGTCGAAGCAGATAGACAGCGGTTACGATACCATCAATGACCGTAAAACACCACGTCTACATTATTACAGGGGTTTACAATTCGCCACCACTGAGAGTCAAATCTCCACCGGTGGCGATTTGACTTAAACGTTATGCGTAGCCTGTCGCATAAAGCTAATGCGTAGCCTGTCAAATGAAAGCTAACATGTAGTAGTGCATTGCGAAAAGGGAAAGGGACTCAGAAGTTATGTATAGCCTTCCAATTAATGCAACCGTTAAATGAAATAAAAAATATTGATATCACGAAGATTATGATAAGTTTGCGTAAAGCGAAACCAGAGTGATTTTCGCCGATGGTTATGAAATCGTATGAACCTTACATCAAATAAATGCTAAGAAGAAGTAGTATATTGGTACAAAAAGCGCGCACAAATACAATGCAGTCTACAGAAACTGACTCGGCGTCCTTTCTTTGTTTTAAGAACAAAGAATATCAAAGTGACCTTTAACACAAGTTTCGTTCTTACGAACACAATTCGTAATCAAATCAAATGGAAAGTATGATATGAAAGCCTAGATCTTGAAGTTTATTCCCTTTTTTAGTTCTGATGAGATGAAATTAGGACTTTCCACGTTGAATGGAAATGTTTGATTACACGCAAAACAATTAAATGTAGACTAGACTTTCCACGTTGGATGGAAATGTTTCATTACACGCAAAACAATTAATTGTAGACTAGACATTTGGCGCTTTGCAAAGCAGACTCGAATGTTAAATTTAGCAACCAAGAAAGACCATAGACTACACAGCGTAAACGGAAAAAAAAACTACAGCTAAGGATACACAGCGTAAACGGAAAAAAAACTTCAGCTAAGGAGTACCTCTTCTCTGCACACTTTGCATTTGGGCCCATCCAAACGGCTCTCAGGGCAAGACTGGGAGATAAGGAATACAAATGAAAAATAAATGGCTATCTCTTAAACCTTAAAAGATGTGATAAAGATCTTCAAGCAAACTGCTACAGCGTTCATCTCCTCTAGCTTTACCAACAGGTTAGGGAGTGGAATTGAATCCATTTTTACGAAACTTTAGGCAGGTTCTCCAAGCGTCTACTGCGGAAATGTAATCGTCCGAGTGAGGGGAATCTTGAACAGTGAACAGTGAATGAGCAGAAGTTGTCATCAAGATCAAGACAAAGTCACTTGGCTCTGACAATGACTTCCGGTCAGGTCGTCATCCACTGTCACCGACACAAGCCCCGTTCAAGACTAACAGTAGACACGAACGATTACACTAACACTAAACACGTACCATCTCGAATTTGCCCACATGTTCAGGACGTTTATAATGGTTTCAATAAGACAAGAGCAGTTATCTGAGAAATTCATAAGAGCAAGCACACGGTTACTCTACCGCGGGTAGGTTACCTCAAGAAGCCATCTCTTCAGGCAGTCGTGGTGTACGGCAGCGACATCTCCTTTGCAGTTACATGGTAATATCATTGGGCCAGCATCAGTGCGATCACTGTCATAACAAATCCAGCAGTCACGGTGAGGTGCGTCAATATCTGTCAATCAAAATAGAATACGTAAATACAAAAGCCAGTAATAGAGCACAAAATGTCACGCTATCACGATTTATCCTTGCGCTGCTTGTTTACGCTGTTTTTGGTTGTTTTTATTCGTCTGTTTTCTTTCCTTCAGCTTGTTTGCTTTAGTGTGGTCGAGGACCTTGTTAGAGTCTAATACACTCAATTATATACACATATTGCCATGTTTTTCAAGAGTAATTAAAGAGAATTTTCTTTCAACATCATAAAAATTACTCGTATTTTGCAAAAGGAAGGAGGATGGTAAATTTCCCCTCTCAGCCGTCAATGCCAATATCTCTATGGGAGAAGCTGTTTTACAGCTAAACTCGAAGACTGATTTTTCTTTCCCCTGTACGGCTCCATTTATTTGTCGAATAATTTTCAACAAATCTCGGCGGTACTCTCTATCAAATTATCTTCATGTAAGTGATAGCAATAATACATGTATTACTAATGGCGCGATTGACCGGTAATACTCGACAATATTCGTTGAACCTTCAGGGAATAATTGATTTAGAATCATTATCCAGGTGATTGACAGCGACCACATTTTCCCTAATTTTCCTTCTCCAGTCAAAGCTTCAATGCTTCAATATTTCACCTCGCGCGGGACGATCACAGCTAGATATGACTAAACCGACTCAACCATTGACCAATGTGAGTACACACATCACTGTCATCATCATCATAATAAATATGGTGATCGAATGAATACAATGAACAATAGCAAGCACTATTACAAGAATCATTTTAACAACTCTTTTGCGATATGCAAAGAAAAGTTAAGTGTATTGAAGGTAATTTACGGCTAAAAGAAGCAATTTCAAGGCTTATCATAAGCAAAAAGTTGAATGCAAATATCGATTTGAAACTCTACAGTGCGATTCTTTCCTTGCACAACATACATGCACAGAACATGACCTTAGAGAGGGGTAAAACACTAAATATGTCTGATAAATCAATGGAAATGGTAGCGTTCAAACACGTAATTTGCAAGAAACTGAACTACCGTTATGCATGTCGGAAAGCGCAAGGCGGCTGCTTTTGGCTCGACAACTGTAACAAAATGTACAGGAAGATAAATTTACCGATGAATCCTGCATGCCGGTTGCACGGAGTCCAACAGACGGCATTTCTTAGGTCACGAATGGTGAGAGTCAGAGGATTTGGTCGCTCCATGAACGCTCCTTATCTACAGAACACAGCACATGTAGCTTGTACTTCCACCGGGTATAAAGCCATAGACTGCAGCTCTTTCATACAAACCGATTACGATATTTTTATTTTTAGCCATTAAATCAGAGTCAGTCGTAAATTTGATTTGCTATTACCATACGTCACGGAAGACTGGTTTGTTTACATTTGCAACAAAACATCAGAGATCTGAGGGCGACTTTAAGATAACGACGAAAGTCGTAATTTCGTTCGTTCATATACATACGAGCATTTCTTGAAGCCACTCAGTTCATCGGATAGTATGTATTATTACCGACCATAATAAAGCCAGTAACGCAAAGACTTAACGGCTAAAGGGAAATTCTAAGAAAGCCAGCAACGGAATGACTTGACGGCTACATTCGCGTACGTATAAGAAAAGTTAGAAGATAGCCGGTAACGCAATGACTCAACAGCTAACTCTGCGTCGGTACGCGTTGACAAGGATACATCGAACGAAACGGAAAAGCAGCGACTTTACATTTCTGATAAATCTCGTTTCAGGCTTCCAATGTTCCCACATGTACTGACGTGAGCCAATATTATTAACATTGTTAATGCCCAAAGCGTGGTGTTCGCTCCTCGGGATTAAGTGAGCAACCGGATGAAAAGAGTAAAGAACAAAAATGAATATTAGGATTCGAATATTGAGGCGTGGGAGGAACAGCTGTCCTCATCAAGAATTTACTGTAGTTTGCCATGAGCGTCATAACTAATTTCATTTTGCTGAAGGCTTTCACCGTTTAACCCATTGAAGGGACAAGCATCTACATGTCATTTCTCCTTACAGAATCCCTGCGAATCAAACATTATGGTCATAAAATAAAGGAAGTGAAAAAACGAAGGAAGCCCTCGATTTTTAAACAGACTCTTCTTGTCAGTGACATAGGAAATCTAAAGATAACAGTATGGAGTATGCCAGTGTATAATGATGTTAGGAAGTGAAGAGTTAATGACATGCTACACTTAAAATCACAATGCTTTTCAACCGTTCATTGCTAGAAGCAACACTCAATTCCATTATGTTTTTCTACAGAAGGTGAAACAGGAAACAACGAATTTAAAGCCTATATAGCCTCTCTCACCTGCATCTGTTTCAATGGCTTCGTATGAATGACAATGATGGGATTGACCCAATAAATGAGAGGTTTCCTACAAAAAATTGACACATTTTAAATCAGTATAAAAACACAGAAGTTCTAAGGTTTACCATTTTAAATATTCCCTCTAATCAGAACTGGAACTTAAGTTCGAGTATAAGATTGTTATCTCACCTTGCACAAATAACAGGAAAACATTAAAATAAAACAATAAAAACAAAACTTGAAATCTAAATAATCTTCGAAAGCACAATACCTCATCCGTCTCATGTACAAGCAGTCGCTTAGGGTTTAATATCCAGAGCTGACTGGGACTGAAACGATCGAGAAAAAAGGCTGTCAGTAACAATATTCAGACATCACAGTTGCGGCAAAGCAAGTGCATCTATATGCAACATGATTTGGCGGTCAGGGGGCATTCAGGATGTCAATTTTAACCCTTCAACACGATGATGTGATTACCTAAAACTTCTCGCAGCATCAAAACATCATCTACCATTTAAGGAGATAAAAATAGCCACATGCATCAACCTGTGGGTACTATACAAGTATACATGTATGTCTAAATTCTCTTTACTTATCTGAAGGAGGCATATATCACATCTAGAGGGGAGCGTTACGACTAACATTGGAGTAGAGGATAACAACTTAGCCAAACCCACCTTTTCCAATTCCAAAGACAGCAAGAAAACCAGAGTGCTACGCCCAGCTCAAATACTCTAAAGACAACCTCTAAAGCATTCCTTCCCTCCATAGGCAGTCTGAGTAAAAAAGAAAGCTCACATTTACAATTCGCATGTTCTTTTCTTCTTTTTTTCTCTAAAATCTATCAAAATAGGAGAGCATCTCACCAACCCAAGCACACTTACAGTTGATGCTTTAACCCCCAAAGTCCCAAAGTGATTACCAGATAACGGTTATCAGCTCATACTCTGAATCACTGTATATATGTAAAACGATTCACCTGAGTGTTGCTAGGATCAATTTACTTTAAACGTAACAACAAAGTCAGTAAGCTCCAAAGGCACTACCAAAAAGTGGTTAATTTAATAAAACAATTATTCCATTTGTGCTTGTTGGATAGCAATCTCTGCGCTACGCACCTCGTTGGCTATTTACCATCTCAAATCCAACTCACGCTCATGGAATAACTGTTAATTTGATCCAGCAAGAGGGTGAGAAGAATGGGAAAAATTATCTGCTGTGATGCATTAACCCTTTAGCTCCCAAGATCTCTTAAGTAGTTCTCCTTACTGTCTGCCATACAACTGTTATGATGTCAATTTGGAGAATTTGGTATTGGATCAACTAATAATTTCCGAATTTATATTTTTCTTTATTCTCATCACTTTTATGCTTGATATTGTATTGATAATGTAAGGAGAAATTCTCTCTTGGTCACTCATGGGAGGTAAAGGGTTAACTAGAGACATTACCAAATTCTCTTTGATAATCTACCAGCTAAGTATCATCGTAAGTGGCTAGAGTGAGGAATCATTGGAAGCAATGAGCAATATTTACTACCAATACTGTGCAGTGCATATGCTTACTTGTGTTTCCATTTTGCCCCCATAATATCACCAAGGAGGAAAAGAGATGTGAGCAGCTGAAAAAAACCAACTCAAAAATCATTATTAAGCACACTTCACTCAAATTAAAATTTTGATCAACCATTAACATGAAAAAAGTCTCAACCATTCTCAGTACTATTCTCGTTTGCGGCAGTTCTGGAATATTTCTGGACAGTCTCGCCAAGAGAAGTATCTTTCAACAAAAACAACCTATTTGCCTCTGAGAGGAGCAAATTGGCAAATCTGAGGATGAGATGCACGTATTTGATGCCAATTTGGCAACAACAGAAAAATGGATGCAACAAAACAGGGGAATATTGTAAACCATGAGATAGAGTTACTGTACATGCCCACCTTTCCTTCCAGAACTTAAAAAGCGAAATAAAGATGAATTTGACAGTTTACCTGTAGGGATGCTTGTGAAAATAGACCAAATCTTGACATTGTAGCTTGGGTGATGTCAACATTTGATGGCTCTGTAGTTATAAAAGCACCCCGCACCTGCAATAAATGCAGTAATGATGATTTTTTCATTTAGTTACTTAAAAATGGTTTATCCAAATTCTCAACCATCATTGAATAATTTCTTAGTCTTTTTCTCCCATACCACATGTCACCATGACAACACTACTGCCTCTCAGAACGTGCCCTTGACTCTAAAATGAGTTGGTGAACCCCTTTTTTTATCATCAAATCACAATTTCAGCATTGTCCAAGGAAAAAAAATTGGTAAATAATGCACATTCCATGCTACCTTAATTTATGGATAATTCTGTTTGATCCCCATTGGCTAATTTCATTTACCCTTAACCAAAAGGTTGCATTCACAAATTCATGTTTTCTCTCTCAAAGTAAGCTCCACTTCTCAGAAAACTATGCTTCTTTCAAGTAATCTTTCAGCTCCAGGAACTAATCTCTAAGAAACCAGCCACTATACACCTGTATCTGAATGGTTTTTAATTAACTAAGTTTACAGACTGCTTCACATTAATCATGGATGGCTCTGTCATGACACACAGAGGCCCAAAAGGTCTCACAAGAGTATAGCACATACATTGTACTTACCTTGTAATACAATTCAACACCATATATGAGAAATAATGTAAGCATCAAGAACATCAGGACAACAAAAATGCCAGTAAAAATATTGGATAAATAGACCTGGGAAAAAAAACAAAAAAAAAAAAAAAAAAACATGTCAAATATATTAATCAATTATGCTTCATGTTTCCAGTGAAAATGTTTCCTGTTAATTGAATAATCTATAAACAAGAGCTGTTCTCAAATGAAACCAAATAAATCAGAGCTTGATGATTTTTCTGACCTTTCTTTGTTCATCTGTGATCTCTATTGTTATGAACTGTGCCAAAAAGACCAGGAACAAAAATACATTGAATACAATAAAAGCTAGTGAAGATTTGCTGAGGAAACGTGGCTTGTCAAGCCGCAGACCAACCACATGAAATGTCTGCAAGAGAGCAAAAACAAAAACAAAAAATAAAGGAGTGTTACTGTAGAAGGATTACTACTGTCAATCACAATTTATGTTTATGAGAGTATAATGGTAATTTACCTCTGCCCAAAAGCAAATAATTAGAGAGAATCCAGAAATAATAGGTGGATAGTACGCATTAAATAGATTGATTCCTAACCAGGCAGGAAGGTACCTCTGAAAAAAACAAAAACAAAAAAAAATTCAATTTCTGGCAACTCTTACCTTGGCTATCAATACAATAAAGATTGAGTAAAATTATCACTTTCACTTAAAATGGATGACAAGAGAGAGAATTCAAAATATTTCAAGATAAAAAGAAATCTAAATTTACCTGAACTGAGTAATACACTCCCCTTGATCCACAAGCTATAATCATACAAATGTACAATGTCTTTTGCACTGTCAGCCGGCAGGCTTTGGCTACACTTGGTCTCTTCAGCTTTTTAAATTCTGATCTAACACAAAGGAACTGAAAATACAACAGAGGAAATATCAGTGTTAGCTTCAGCAAAGTTATGGTCCAGGGTACATGTAGCTGTTGACCCAGTGGTAAAGCCGAATGGTAAAATAATTGGTTGAAGGACACAACATTAAGACCAAACTTTCCTCAATTAGCTCACATATGAAACTTTCTGGCCCTGCTTGAGCCACTCCATACTGCCACCATACCACATATTTTTTACAGTCAAATTATGTTTCAAAAAAAAATATACATATATATATATATAGCAAATGCTATTGGGAAAGTGCTCAATACACATGAGTGTAGAGCAAAATACAGTTCAAAGTGACTAAAATGAAACATGCATGATTCCCTGTAACTACGAGTTTCGTGCTTACCCACTCGTCAAACAGATTAAACTGACCTGACACTTGTCAGACAGATTAAAACTGTCTGGCGAGTGCATAAGCACGAAACTCAGAGTTACAGGGAATCATGTGTGTTTCATTTTAGTCACTTTGAACTGTATATATATATATATAGGTCATATGATCCTACATTTTGTGTCTTGAATACATACACTTCATTTAATTTTCCTCCTCTCCATTTCCAACTTAAAAAAGTCTGATCAAAAAAGTCTGATCTGCTAGGGTGTAGTCCAAAGAGGATGATATCTGACACTAAATGGAATTCAATTCAAGATTCCTAAGAAAAGGGTGGAAGGGAAACCTCAACCACCACCACCACTAGTGAGAAAGTGCGAGGGGGAGGGGGTGGGGAAGAAAAGGAGTTACATCCTGGCTCCCAAGTAAAGATAAGGTTTAAGTTATGCATAAACCAACTACCTAGCTTTCATTCTCAAATACACTTCCTGTTTAAAGCTGTTATTTTTCATCATTCAAAACAAATCAGTTATTCCTTACCCACTATTTCACCCTTTAGCTTGAGTGACCAAGACAGAATTTCTCCCAAAAACATCAATACCATATCAAGCAGACAAGTGATTAATGAAGAATATCAACTAGGGGATAATTAGCTGATCCAATACCAAATTCTCCAAACTTGCATATGCAATTTATAAGAATTGAATAGCAGACAGTAAGGAGAATCACTAATGACATCTTAGGAGCAAAAAGGTTAACCAGTACAACTACCAAGTTTTCTACAGTATTTGTTACATACCAGTTGAGTTGCAGACACTGCAGAAACAAAGAAGAAAACCACACTAAAACCAATGAAGTATCCTATGTTTGCATCATCACATGCTCCACCGCTATATTTGAGCTGAGGATAAAAAAAATTAAAATCAACAGAATTCAAGACAGGTTTTCACCTCATAATATCAGGACAATATCAAGCAGACAAGTGATGAGATTATAGAAAAATATTAATTGACGGTGGGAGATTATTAGTTGATCCAATACCAAATTCTCAAAAATACATGTCAAAAATAATTGAATAGCAGAAAGTAAATGGAATTACTAATAAAATCTTGCGATTGGAAGGGTTTAGTAACAAAAAGAGTTTTTTTTCACAAAATCTTCTTTTTTTTTTAACCTAAGATGATGATACAATTTTCAGAATTGCAAATGCTAATACAACAATGCCTTCTGTTAATGGTAACCCTTGATGCACATTTCTAAAGTTTAGATGTTTTGACCACAACAAAATAATTAGAAAAGTTTTCAAGCGAGCAGAATATGGTAAATCTATCTTAACCCTTTAACTCCCATGAGTGACCAAACCAAAATTTCTCCTTACAATATCAATACATATCAACCAGATAAGTGATGAGAATAAAGAAAATATCAATTTGAGGATAATTAGTTGATCCAATACTAAATTCTCTGAACCAACATTATAAGAAATGTATGATTGACAGTAAGAAGAACCACAAATTTGATCTGGGAGTTAAAGGGTTCAAACAATTTGATCACTACAATTTGATCAAACATACATGAGTACACATGTTTAAATATAAACAAGCAAATCAAAAATTGTCTGGGTTCTCATGTCTTTCTCTCATTGGCTCACTGTCATAAATAACTGAATTACAATATGATATTTAAAATATATTCAAAAGCCCTAAATCAAGTAGAAACAAGGGCAGTTCCCAGATGCAAGAGTATTACTAAGTCAGCTGTTGAAAACCAAAGCCACTAAGTTTAAAGATACTACAAGCCACTTTTTACACTCCTGTCTAGTGCCTTCATCAGGGGTGATCTAACCACTGCAACATGAGGTCCTTTTCTATGCTCACTAATTAGCTGCCCTTTTTTCTGATGAGGAGTAAGTGGGTGTCAGGTAGTAAGCCGTCATCATCGCTATCTAAGGAGTGTAGGTGGAAATGATATACCAGGCTTCCAAACAAAGGCACTAGTGGCAATGTTAATTAGTATTGATAATTTTAGAATTATCCCATCCAGTTGTATGGTAAGTCAGGCATGTGTGCTCCCACAAAGCTGAATTTTCTTTTTTGCAAAAGAAGAGAGCTTTTTGATGATGCTCTTTCAAATGTGCACCAAACTGACCTTTGGTCTGTCAGATATACTTGTGATCACAGTCATTACATAGAATAGAATAAATAGCATCAGGTTGTTGTTCCTTCACAACAGGATCCTAGGGTTTGGCAAAACTATGCCCTAAAGTCTGAAAAGGTTTTTGAGCAACTTACCAAAAACCTGTTGACAGTAGGTGCCACTGTATACAAATTGCATACAATACCTCACTTTTGACTCTAGCCACCCTATTTGCCATAAAAAGTCTTAAGCTAAAACTTAACTCAGGAGGGTTGACTGTCTACCATCTTCACTCATTCAAAGGCTGAGGAGAAGAAATATGTTTCTGATGTCCTAACGGTTAATGGCTATACCAATACATTTCTCTATACCTGCCAGAAACCAGTCACAACTAGTAACACTCCTGATGAGAAGGAAGCAGCGACTGGTTTTGCTGTTATTTCTTACATTCAGGGTGTTATGGAACCCAACAAGAGAATTTTGAATAGCCACAAAGTTTAAGTTGCTGATGAAGGCACTAGATAGGAGTGTCGAAACCTTGGGTCTATGAATTGTAACTTCTCAGTTACATTCATTAAATCTTTAATCCAGAGTAGCATCAAACCATGTCTGATTGTCAGCCTGGTTGCCTTGTGAACTTAAATATATCATGAGTTACATTCATTTCATCATCTGTCTGCAGTGACAAAAGATGCATCACAAAACCAATGTTCACCACATTATGCTAATAAATCTGTCAATCTCGCCATGAGACTAAACAGTATCTCCTCTTGATGGGATTCACAAAGATGGAAAAATTTAATTCTCACACCGAAGATTTACAACTACATCAAAATCTTCCACCATCATTTACCACAATATGCAAATTTAAAGACGTGATTGTAGCCTGTGTATCAAAGCTGTTTCTCAGGGGGTCTGCAGATTATGGTTTGCTACCACAAATCTCCATTGCTTGGTGATATTCAAAATCTTGCTCAGCAACGTAAATCACTTCTTTCTTAGTAGGCATGTGCCACTGATCGAAGATAAAGTTGAACTTTACTTTTCACATTAAACATCAGGTTAATTGTCAACACGTAATTTTTGTAATTTTCGTAAACATCAGTACATATTTACATATTTTGGTGTATAAAAAAAAAGAGGAAATGTACCCTGAGAGCCATTTTAAGAACTCAATTGATCTGAGTGGAAACTAGAAACAAACGAAATCTCAGAAGAGTTTCGCGTTCTGTTTCCAGTAAACATTCAACGATGCGTAGAGAGAAAAGTAATTAGGAAAAAAGGATATTACTTAAATTTGTTCACTCTGATTTTGAAACGAAAAAGGCTATTACCTTTCACATTGTGAGTGAACAACGTTATCGTACATTTATTTTTTCCGTTTTCTTACTGACATGAGACAATGCGGGAGATCTCGACACGGAATGGTTGAGGTCGATAGGAACTTTCGAAAACGTTATTAAAACGAAACATTCCTTGCAAGGATTGAGTATACAATAGCGCTCCACAGTTGACCTTACAAAATAAGTTGTGACTATGAAGTTTAAAGACAACTTTCTGAACATATTTAAAATAGATTCGGTACCTCACAGATGCAAGATCCCCTAACACACAAGCCATGGTCGTTGCAGTTGCTGGGGCAATTAGTCGAACTTCCATCGCTCATTTTCAATAGGAAAAAGCTCATTTTGGAGCAAAAAAATCGCTTAATCGTCAAGTTGTCAATCTACCACCACACATGACCTACTTGCGAATTAATTTGGTCAAGAAAATTCGTAATTTCCGCACGTTATGTTCAGCCGTCGTTCTTACGACATTTTTTGTCAATCGCCACTAGACTCTCTCTGAGGGACTGGGTACGGGATGAGTGGAGACAAGGACGGCTGGCGGTCTAGGTGTCATCGCAAGCTGCCCACATAGGAAGAACCGCAAAATTTTAACCAGCTTTGAGTTTACTTTCGTTTATGCGATGCGTGGTCCCTTTCTCTGTGGTTTTCCTCAAGCCACAACGGTCATCAACAGTGTTGAGGACAACGCTGGTGAAACAAGCCAAGCTGCTCTTATGGATGAAAACAATCAAGAATCAAAATTCGATACTCTTCAGACTTTCGATAGTCATGAGACCTACCATAATTCTTCCGCTGTGAGAGTGTTTTTGTCTCGAATTAACATTGATCTCACGCTATATCGGATGAACACTAAGCAGAAAGAAGGACATTTGAAACGTAATTAGACACTTCCACAAAATTTCTTCCCCAAAAAAATATGAAATATGTTAATGATGGCTTTAGGACTAGTTCATAAATTGTCTGCACTTTACCATTAAGATGATTAGCTTGTATTTAAATTCATAGTTTCTGTTATTTTTGGACAAGGTAATCTCGTTCTTTTTCTATTTTCTCCTCTCTCTGAGATACTTACGCTCTAGCGCTTCTCCTCGATCCCAATAGAAATAAATTTTTTATGACTGCTGTTACTAAATTTCCTCTCTCAGATTCCAGTGTCATGTCAGGTATTTCTTTTCGTGTTTGTGTCATATGACCATCACAACGTGATTCCATAAATCACAAGATAGTGTTAAAGACTGATTTTAGATAGATTCCAGGATCCTGCACATACCCCAGATATAATTCTTAATCTATAATTGTGAATGAAATATATACTTCCGTGAGGAAAGGTATTTCATTTCGCGCAAGCAGAAAATTCTCATGTTTCCAAGAGAATAAAAAATATTCTCTCCTTCACTTTTCGATTAGTGGATAGTGCAATTCAATCAAAAGACGGACGTGACCACAAATTGTATCATATTATCTTACGCGCGTGATATGTCACAATATCAGATGAAGACAAATACATTTTTTTTAGAAATCACAACACGAATTGATTGTCTTTAGAATACCCGTCATGGCTCGCCATGTGGAAGATGTGGTGACCTTCAATCAGATGTTCTTTTTTTATTTGTGTAGTGCCCCCGACGAAATATCCTTGGAATGCCTGATAGCGGGTTGAAGACGCGGTGTCTTAATACCGTAAGACTGTCAGGCAGGATCACCATTTTTTGTAATCACGCTTGAGCAATACGTTTCCTCTCGCAGTGCCTTGATCAAATAGCTTGCGTCATATTGCCAAGGAAGCATCACGGAAAGCAAACGTTAGGGACCAGGGAAAGAGGACTGGGGAGAGGAAATAGACCCCTATGGACCAAAATCCTGTCCAGGGGAGAGTGTGCCAACGCTCCTCAGCGCCTTGCGTTCTAAAACCGAGATAAGTTTTGGCAAGATGCGCCCTTGATCGTCAATTTTCCGGACTTTCGGAAATATTAAAAATGCATCGATATGAAATTGTTAGGAGCCATATTTCTCACAGTCAATAATCATCCGTGTCCACTTTGACTTAGCATCAATTATTCTCTTGCCTAGCTCTAATCAGTTGGAGGCATTTCATTTATTTTCTTATCTGTTTTATGTTATTTACAATTGAATATTCTGTTCGTATAAATCACGGGCTAAGTCACGTGATCATGAGTAAACAACTTTTTACTTATGAATTCTAAGAATGACCAAAACAGAATTTCTCCTTACAATATCAATCAATGAAGTTTTGAGAATGAAAAAAGACATCAACAAAGGATCTTTAGGTGATCCAATGCCAAATTCTCCTAACAATCATCATAAAAAAACCCAGTTAAATGGCCAAACGTGTTACGAGTCTCCTTGAGCTCAGTGCCTTCCTATTAGGACGACCCGGAGTTCCTTTTTTTCTCGGAGTATGCCTTTGTCGTTTATTGAGTAATATCTCCTTTTACATCATAAGAATTGTATGGTAGACGTACTATTTAAAAAAATGAGTACGAGGGTTTCAACATGGTTTCCAAACACGAGAAAACTGATGAAAGCACGAGGCCGCAGACCGAGGGCGTTTATTGTTTTCGAGTGTTGATGATGACGAGTGTTGATTTTTTCCATGATGAGACCTGATGTACGAGTTTTTTGAAACAGCTTCTTAATCGCGTCTCAGGAATACAAGAAAATACAAATATTCACGAATTGTTCACATGTTGTCGGCAAGTTTGTTGTCACGAAAAAACTTGTATTATTGTGGTGATTTGTCTTTTCAGAAAGGGTGTGATGATAAAATCAAGGTTTAATTTGGAATTCTTCACTCTCTTCTGCAATGGCCTTATCGTGATAATGTTTTCTTAAGAAAATGTATTGTTACCTCTCATTAGAAAGGGTGTTGATAAAGGTTGTTTGTTCATGTTGGTGTCTTTGTTTTAAATATTCAAATACGTGTTCTCAATATTCAAATTAAGAAATGATTTCACTGGAGTACGATGCATTATCAAACTCAAGGGTTTGATGTCATACGAAACTCACGAATATTGCGTCATTCCAGTGTTTCACCGGGGTCTCAAACCACTTGCACGTGACGAAATTGGCATGTCATGGTTGGTTGATCACCATATGAATAATTAATGTATTTGAGAAAGTAAGGAAAGTTACTGATGAGCTCTTGGGGGTGAAAGGGTATGTGGTGTACACCAAAAGTTATTTGTTTGGTAAGACTAAAATACTTCTGTGGAAAGATTAAAACAAAGAGGATCGATGATGGTCGAGGAGACAGGAAATCGGAACAGAATATAGCAGTCGACTTCAAAAAAATTAGGCGATACCTTTCGAGTTCGACAAAGCGTAACTATTAACATAAATATTTTCAACGCTTGAGTCATGGTCTCTGTTTCGGGTTCCGGGAGGTGGCTGTTGTGATTATTTTGGTTAACAGTTTTACCCCGACAATCAATCGAAAAGTTCTCCATGTTATTATTGATGCTTACTCCTTGACAAGTCAATGATTCCCTCACGCTTTCGACAGTAAGAAGAAAACCAAAATCCAACCCACACGTGAGAAAAGAAGGAACTTACAGGAAAATATTCAGCCAAATCATAGATATATTACTGTACCGTGACTTAGGCAAATTCATAAGCAGGTTGAGGACGTACGAAGACCAAAGACAATTTGATGAAAAGGATAATGACCAGAAGTGGATTGTTCACATTTCCTCCTGTGCCACGTGTTTCAATCAGCTCTCTCTAAACTCTCTCTATGATACCCAAAGTTCACTGACAGCAGTCCCAGCCATTTTTCCACACTCCTTGTGACTCAAAGCCTATAACGGTGCTGTAAATCTGAAAAGAGACGTCAGTATATACCCAAAGTCAAGCCCAATTACACGAGGTCACATTGTAACTAGACTAAACACCAGATGTTTCTTGTTTTGTTCAGCCCGTGATGAAGATAGCTGTATGACAGTGAGACTGTTAAGATTCTTTTCTTCAGTCAAGATTGCTTATCAGCATTTGATTCCCAGCAGCCTTTCATTATAGTTCTTTTATCATAAACTGTGACTGTAAAATATTTAGTTCTAAGCTATCCCTACAGGATCCCTATCTTTAAAGAATTCTGTGTCGGTCGGACGAAACGCTTTGGAGTGAAATCTTATTCTCACAGCCAGAACTTAGCAGTGCTGCTCGCTGAGTTAGTCCCTTCGTGTGTACCGATCCCTATTACTACAAAGCTGGCAAAAACTCACATCACAAGGTGACCTGTAAAGTGTTTCCAGAGAAAATTCTGTTCTGTCCTAATGTTTTGAAAGGGAATTGATGGACCTGTACATATAAGTATTTTTTACATATGAAAAACATCCTATTTATACCCACCTTGGCTTGACACAATTTGATTTTTGACGAAGAATATCTGAGAGATTTTACGACTAAAATTAGCTAGCTTTCTTTAGGGATTGACGGTAAAAAATCGTATGTTCACGACGGTGAATTTTTTGCCATTTGACGGTTCACGACTAACCCCACTGAGACCCTCAGATACGACATTACATTGGGCTGGACTTATTTACAACCGCTGACCAGGATATGAACGCGTGCCTCAAATCCGAATATGGTTATTAAACTAGCCACCGTGAATGGTTGTCGAGACTCTTTGTTTGAAAATACAGCATAATATGTTAATTGATAATCAGAATTTGATTCCCGGAGGCCTTTAAAACATGATTTCAATTGAAACTTTGAGAGAGAAACTAGCATTTTTCTGTTCAACTTTGGACGCTTCGCTAGGCACAAAACTAAAACTTCAGAAAAAGTCTTTGTCAGTAAATTTCATATGATAAAAAGAAATGTCGACTTCTTACTTTATCAAGGTGTGCACGGCTGTTTATATCTCTATTCAGTCAGTTTTGCATGTTTTAAAATTTACACGCATGAAAAGACAGCATCTCGCTCTTCGCGTTTTTAATTTGTCGCTGTCGAACAAAGAGCATCTAGACTGAAGCCCGAACGAAAAACCAAGAAGAGTGTCGATAGTTTCGGTAAGCTTGCGAAGCTTTGGTCGTTGGTCATAATTTGTTTGTATTTCATGAGTTTTTCACTGGTAGGTGAAAATTAGTCGGCTAATCGCTGTTACCTAACTATAAAGGTATTTTCTACCTTCGGATAAAGGCACGGCATAATAATTTTATTGATGTTGCTTAACGATAATTTCGTTTCCAGCAGTGGTAATCATGGTAATTGCTGTCGATCGGACGCAGTTTTAAATCAAGGGGAAAACTGAGTTTTTTCCTATCGATCAATGATATTCAGCGTTAGAATGATTCGAAACATTCGATAAAAATTTAATGGAATTTTACTATAAGGAGCGTAAATTATTATTGTAATACAATGTTTCCGTAATAGTTCACAACTGTAGGAGAATACGAAGTCTTATCAATAACCGTATAAGTTTTGTTTATTCATTTTTCTTGTGCAAACAGCGATGAATGTACATCTTTGTAAACACTGAAGAATCTCTTTTTGTTGCAGCTTCCTGGGTTTACTTCAGTTAATTGAATTTTTATCCATTTTTTCCACGCGGTCAGTGTAAACGATCTGTGTTCTTATTTTTATGAACAAAAAAACTTGCGTTAACCTATTTACATCGAAGAAAAGAGAGTGCCTCGGGTGTAGTTCGGGAACTACCTTTATTTTCCTTTCATTAGCGCCTTGCCGTAGAGGAAAGGAAAGGCGAAATTAGTAAAAAAGCGTGTTTAGTCTGATGATAATTTCTACAGAGTTCTTCTTTCTTCTCTGTTGAGTATCCATTAAGCTCGAGACTTCGTTTCGTAAAATATCCCGCAGTAATGATGAATCAAACTGTGATCGCTAGCGAGGAAACCACGAAAAAAGCAGAAAAAAGAAAACAAAGCCTGAGGCATATATTTTCATTAGAGAAATTTCTTTGTGAATAAGACACCGTTAGAACGAGCGACGAAATAGCAGTTTTTTTTTCCAAATGCACGACATTCGTTATATCCTTAGCTCAAACAGAATGGTCTTTTACAGTTATCAGTCACACGTCAAACAGAAATTCAAGTTTTCGGAATATTGCGTGTCTGTTAGATAAACAATTTTAAAGGAAAATTCAACTTTAAGGCAACGATGTTTGCGCAAGGAAATAATCATAAATGTGTTCAGTTGAAGTACATCAATTCTCTAATAAAACGGCCTCTGTTTATTTCTAAAAGCACCAGCGGGAACACGCTTTTTTTGGTCAACATACCACAGAGTTTATTGAACAGAGTCAATTAAATTACATTTTAGCTCAGAATCGCGCTCTCCTTGAAAACTTTTTGCATATAGTTATTTATTCAGTTAGTTTTAATACTCTTTTACACTCACGGTAAAAAGATTTTATTTTCTCGAATTACAAATGTCCTTTTCAAACCGGTTGAATGAACGTGAAAATGATTGGTGTATAAGGATATCAAAAGTAACAAGAAAACATTACCATAAAGCTTACAAAATTTATTTAAATTTTTGTCGAAGAAATGAGAAAATCAACAGCTGTGGCACAGCTGTTCTCACGCAAACAATGAAAAAATCGCCCATCTGTCTTATCGAGCTCATGGCACCCCACAGAAACAATTGAATGGCCGGATCATTGGTTCGATTCTAATTAGGAATATGATATTTTGTGCAGAACTTCTTTTAAGGAAACGTTCCCAGGAAATGAGTTGAATGATGCTTTGTTTAAATGCGCGAATAATTTATTACGCTATAAGTGCAAGGAGTTGATCAGGAATAACTCTGTCTTTGTGACCGACTAGACTGAATTACCGCCATTTTTCCGTTCGACGCAAGTGAGTCGCTCGTCCGTTTTGATACCTTGATATTTTGTTGGCTTTTTTAATCGTTTACTCTGTAAACACATTTGGTTATGAACTAGATTCTCAAACCGTCGGGAAAAACTTCATTGCAGTTACGTTATAAACAGGTACGTTTGGCTTTTGATAATGATTTAATTCATTTTCTACCGCTGAGGAGAATTAAAACAAAATTTGCCACTTTCGGTCGTTTTAATCATGAAAACTGTAAGCGAAGACAGGTAGTCGTTTTAACGAAACTATGGCCAATTTACCAGGCTAGGGTAAACACAAAGTTTGTTTAGCGAATACTGCACGCATAAACGACCGAGTCGTCAAAAGGTTAATTATCTACCTTGTTAAACGGAAATTATATTTGGTTGCTCTTCGCTCATATCCATTCACACGACATCAACTTCGAGATTTGTAGGAGCAGCGACTATGGACCAAAAATAATTTCTCAGCATCGAAAGTTAAGGAAACCTGAAATGCAATTGCCGACTTTGATTTGTATCCAAATAGCCTTTTTATAACACCTGCTGATGAAAATTCAAAAGAGCTTGTACAGAGCCTGATATGTTTACTCGGCTTCGCATCAGGTAGGAAAAGTTAACTTCTGACTACCAGTATCAGTTGAAATTTTTAACATTAAAGCTTTGGAAGGAACATCATACAGAATCAATATCAAATCGAGTTGAAATTCCTTTTTAGAAAACTATTTCTCCTTTCTAGAAATAACAAAAACGAGACTTCGTAGACATGTGCGATTTTCCCAGAAATGATGTATGCATATTTAATTATGTAATAGAAAAAATTGTGTTTAATTTTAACACCCAATTTACTTGGGAACGCAAAGAAAAATATGGGGCGCGTTTAGGTCTTCATAAAGATCAGCCTAACAAGTTGAAAAGTGAAAAAGCACTTTTTAAAGACGTTTTACGATTATTTCGCATTGCAATTTACTACCTCAATGCTCGCTGTGTAGTGAATACTAAAACAAAATGTAAATAAAAATGTAGTTTAATATACTCATGTTGCTATTTTGAGCTTTGAAAAAGTTTGACTGACTAGGTCTTTAGCGAGGCGGCCGTACGTCCGACTAACATTTAGCAATGTCTTATTGACTTTTACGGCATATCAGCTTGTTTTGCCCTTAATGCTGCAGTTATCATCTCGTCTTCACAAAACGAGATAGGTTCATTTAACATCCCGCATGGTTGTTCAAAGAGAAGTAGAACACAGCCTGAGAGAGTCTTTGAGATAAATACAATCTAACTGCAAGTTAAAAACAGTACAACTAACTTTAACACTGGATCGTTTTCAGCAGAATCAAGAGGATAGCGAAAGATGGAAAAGTCCTATGCAAGTAATCGCATCTGTGCCATTTGCGGGGATCGTTCATCAGGATTTCATTATGGCGTACAGAGCTGTGAAGGCTGCAAAAGTTTCTTCAAGCGAACCGTCCAGAAGCAACTTCATTACACATGCGTAGAGAACATGTCATGCCAGATAGACAAGAATAACCGTATTCGATGCCAGTTTTGCAGGTTCCAGAAGTGTTTATCCTTGGGCATGCTGAAAGAAGGTAGATAAAAAAGAAAACTTGAGAACTTTTCGTTTCATTTGGTAAATAGCTTGTCCAGTTTTTGAAAGCGAGATCTTTTCACATTTTACTCTTTTCTGATACGATTAAAAAAATAAGAGCAGATAAGTGGACTGTGTCTATAGCAACCTGCTTCGAAAATTGATAACTCAAGTAATGAAAGGACAAACCCGATATATCGCTCGATAATCGGTTTCTATGTCGGTCGATAGTCGGCCGGTTCTTGATTTACAGTCGACTAACAGTCGATGAAAGTCGGGCGATGGTCGCCAACACCTAAACGATAATCGGTTGATGTTTTGAACGAAACTTCGGCCGATCAATTGACGAAAGCCATAGCATAGAAGATTCAATGTAAGAACGTAGAAAAAGCAAGTCATGAATGAACAAAATTTTAAGTCTACTTTCATTAAACAAAAATTGATACAAATCATAACTGGTAAGAAATTTAATGTTAAAAGCTAAATTTTTTCGTTTTTCTCACGATGTAGTCAAGTGTGATGTAGATCGCGACGTTTCGACTGCATACTGCTAGTCTTCTTCAGGCAATGAGGTCGACTGGTCATGTGTGATCCTATAAGGCATGATGCTCTGCTGTGATTAGTTGTTATTTAACAGCTCTGGTTGGTGCATTTCGATCCTTGCTGTTCACTCAGTGATCTGCTCCCTTGGCGGACCGCTGTCGCACGGCTCTCCTGTTGCTGTGTTTTTTGATCGCAGGCATCCACGCTTCTGGAATTTCTATTCCACTATCCCTGTTGATGTTGTTAAGGTGAAGTCTTATATGAATTGCCTCTTTGACCCTACGCGTGTAGTAATAAGGGTCACGATTAATAAACTTTACTTCGTTCCAGAATGGCTTGTTTCCGGTGTTGTGGGCATGCTCTGAAACGGCGGAGGTCTCGGTACGGGCGAGTCGAATGCCTCGATCGTGCTCCTTAATTCTGTCTTGCATAGGTCTTCCAGTCTCTCCGATATACACCTTGCTGTATTCACAGGGAATCCTGTAAACTACGCCATCTTGTTTAGCCGGGTCGACAACATCTTTTGGTCGTACTAACCGAGATCTTAGCGTAGTCTCCGACTTGAAAACAGCGCCTTGTTGTTGTAGGCAACGGCGAAGCTGTTCGGACAGACCTTTGACATAAGGTAAAACCGCAGTAGCTTTGAACTCGTTAGCGGGTTCGGCACTGTTGTTTGGTTTTCCGGTCTTGGTAAGTTTCTGCAAGAAAGAAAAAGGATAACCATTAGAAACCAGAACAGATGTCAAATGTTTTTTCTCCTCGAAGAAGACGGAGGGTTTTTTTACGAGACGTTTGGCGCGCTCGTAAAGCCACTTAACAATACTGCGTTTTACTGATTGAGGGTGGTGTGAATCATACGCTAAGTATTGATGGGTTCGCGTGGACTTCCTGTATACGCTGGTGGTGAGGGGGCCGTCAGGTTCTCTTAAAACTGCGGTGTCTAAGGAAGGCGAGTTTGTTTTCTTTCTCTGTCTCCATAGTGAAGCGGATGAAGGCTGATCTGTGCAGGCGTTAGCGTGGTGCGGTCTACAAGGCCTGGCGGTCGCGCTCGTAGATCTTTACGAACATCGCGGTTCTTGATGCACTTTGTTAGGAAGGTGAGATGGTTGGTGTAGCGTGCGAGCTTGCTGGAGCAGCGCTCATGTCGACGAATCAACCTTAGGGCTGCGTGTTGGAAAATGAAAACCATGTAGATAGGTCACATCTACATGATCAAGAGAACATCAGCTTTTATTACATTTTTAACTCCGGATATTCCGATTACTTCACACAACTACGAGTATCAGCTCATATTCCCAGTCATCTTATAAGAGAATGCACTGCGACGTGTTGGAAAATGAAAACCTTTGCCGAAAACATTCTAACGTTCAGGATAAAATGAAATTTAATAAAATTAATATATAGATTTAGCCAAGCCTAAAAGCGGAGCTCGCATTTTTTTTCCCGCACGTCTCAAGGGCACAACGCCTTGCCCGGCCAGGACTAGAACCCCGGTCGTCCGACTCGGAGCCCAGTGCACTGACCACTGGACTACAGGACAAAGCCGTGGCGTTGGCGTGCCCGCGGTACAGTTGACCACGCATGTTAAAAGTAGCACCTTGTACGGTCGTACGGTCGCACATCCAAATTTTTTCAGCTTGATGGGTTACTACTATTTTGTATAATTATGGGGCTACGCTCTGCGAGCTCCGCTATTATTCCATTGGTGCTTATTGGATACACAGATTGGTTATCGCCTGGCTATTTACCATCTTATAGTCAACGCGCACTCGTGGAATAATTGTCACGTATTCTCTTGACATGACCTAATCTATTATTTTTGAAAAAGACTTAAAATAAAGATACCGAGAGAAGCAAATCAAAGTGGAATTCCTTTTTTTGTTTCACCATTAGCTGTCCGAGAGGACCGAGCACCCGGCGGCAGACCAAGGATCAAGTCCCTGATCGGAATGAAGGAGAATGCGGACACATTCGTTTCGTCTGAGTTAATCACGCAATTGATCCAAGCACGCCCTGATGCTACTCCCAAAAGAAGGTTGGTTGGCTTCAACTTTGCTTGCTAGTATGGCGAGAGTTAGATGCTTTATTTCTTAGTCGTTCAGGCAGTGAATAGAGCGCTTTTCGATTGAGTGACATAAACCAAAACCCTGGTAATCACAATAAGAGTCAAGAAACAATGAAGAAACTCGATGAGAAGTCAAAGTAATAAGTAAATTTTCTAAAGCCCGAGAGGACGTAGGCGACCAAGTCGTGATTCGTTTCAGTTTCGCACCTGATTGGTTGGGAGAGTGGTGCAAGTTTTCTGCACTTATCACAGAGCTAAGTGAAGCAAACCCAATGCAATTCCGAATTGTTCTCGACACCAAAACAAAAATTTCCAAACACTAAGGTCTTGGAAAACAGTTTCATTTTATGCACCTTTTTCACAAGGAAAAACGGATTCGTAATGTTTGAATAGTCTGAAAAAGGTTATTATCCTGGGCATTATCTATGTAAACGTTACTGATTTCTAAACTCAATTTTCTATGGTCAGTCTTACATTTCAACACACGCATGGTGGTGGAAATTGACGTATCCCAAGGCTTTCGTCACAGGACTCTTTCTCTATCCTATAATTTCGCTCTTGGCTGTATTGATTACCAAGCATCGCTTTCTATCAAGCGTACTTTGATTTTCTATCGAGTAAGTTCAATTAAAATTAAAATTAGGGGAAAGTGTGTTCTATTTTTAATCGAATTTTCCGAGGGTAAACGATATAGATTTAACTGAGGAAGGAAGGGTTAGGCTTCTAATAGTCTGTCACATTGTTTACTTTCTGTTTCAGACCGGACTATCTAGAGCTCGGTTTTACCGAGATTTGCCCTTTGAACCCTGTAGAAGTAGTGATGGAGCTGGTACTGCAAGAAGTGGACCTAATATTGGCCTGGGCCTTCAAAGTTCCCGGATTTAGAGAACTTAACAGAGAGGATCAGGCAAGCCTCGTTTCCACAGGTATTAAAAGTAGCTTTTGTTTGACAAATTTGTTCATGGACATCACCTGTACCACTGAAGAAGCGAACAGCCTACCGCAAGCAAGGCACCCGGAGAACTACGATCTTTGCGCAGGAAGTGACTTATGCAAGGAGAAATATCGCAATTTAATTCCTTTTTTCTTTTTGTAGCTTTATTAGAGCTGTTGGTCCTCCGCGTATGTCAGCGGTCCAGTGCACACCAGGGCTCAGTGCTGCTAGCAAAAGATGTGCTTCTTACTCCTGAGCACTCTTTTAATCTGGTCCTGGAACAATGGTCATCACAGTTGGCTTGTTTTGCTTACAAGTTACAAAGCTTGCAACTCGACATGGCAGAATTTGCTTGCGTAAATGCCATTATGCTCTTTGAGCAAGGTGAGTTATCCCACAATTAACGAGGGGATAAATAGGGGTATGCAAACCCTCAGACCTACTATAATTCAATGAGCAAATCCGTTTAGAAAATATCTAACCCTAATCCGTTTGAATTTGTGAAAAACGTCAAGGAACCAACTAGCAGGCACAAAACCGATGAAGCCTCTGTCAATTTGATGAAGCTTTTGGGTTTCAACGAAAATTTATGGGGTTCGCTGAATTTAGGGAATCTTACACATTATTGCTACCCTAAGATTACCCAATCTAACAACTATCCAGAAACCTTTGCACGGGAACTGTTACTCCTTTATTTATGATGATATCTGTTGCTTCAAATTACATCATCTCCTTTTCACAGAGACGAGCTCAGGACTAAAAAACCGAGAGATGGTGGACTTCATTCTCAATCGTTCCCTTGATGCTTTGCGAGACTACATTAAGTGTTCATATCCCGACAAGCCCAGCCGTTTTGCCCACATTTTGCTCCGACTTCCAACACTGCGCAGCGTCTGTTCTAGAATGTCGAATGAGAGTCTGTTTGCGCAGTCATTTCTCAACATGGCGGTCCCTCAAGTGTTGTCGTTTATTCTAGAAACGAAAACTTAGCTGAGTACGTCATAAAACTGAAAATTCGTCACATTTTGTTACTATTCACCTGGTACAACACAGCTGATATATGTTGTCCTAGAAAAAAAAAATCATATGTCAAAAGAGGTCCGCTGTGTGTACTTGTGTCTGTTACAGCTTTTAATATTACATTACTTCATTAATTTTGTTGGATAGAAACTTTACAAAATAAAACATTCACCTTAATGTGAGATGTAAGAACACAAATGAATTATGAAGATTACAATCACTAGTACTGCCTCAGATGCATAAATTAACATTGACAAAAGCGTTAGGTAAGAATCTTAGGAACCAATGTCAGAGCAGGTATTTAGCATTGAGGAGAAATTACAATAATAATGAATTTAGTGTTGTAACTAACTACTTGTTCTTGTATCATAGTTATTGATGCTTTGTCAACAAAGCGATAAATGATAATTGTTAAACTAAGAATAAAACCGTTCAACCAGGTGACCGCTTGATAAGTTTTATATCCTTTACCCTCTATAACTTGTAAGGCATTAAGAAAATTATCATAACCAACCTGGGCCAAAACAGCTTCCCTCCCCTCCCCTCGCCCAAACTTAAACAATGCGAAATGAACTATTATACCATGCCAGATCTAAGTAAGAAGGAAATTAGAACCAAATCGTGCTATAGAAAACATTTTCAGTGTCTCTACGGAAAAAATTAACCCATCTAATAGCAGTCTGTAATCGGTAACCTGCTGGTACTTCAAGAAATTGAGGGGGTAGTTTGCAAGAGAAACTTCTATTGATTTTTATACTTTGTCCAAAGGCCCACATCTGACGCATTAATGTTTCATAGAATCTTTATTATTATCGTTTTAAATTTTTCAAATTAAGGTCTTCCAAAGAGGCAGCTAGCAAACGGTACTTTACAAGTCTGAAATGGAAATGTTCTCTGTATCAAGCACAGAACCGTAATTTGTACCAATCTCGACAATCTTAGAAAAGAGTTTATTTGTTAGAGCAGGTTTCTCGTCGCTTAGAAAACGTCCATTCGACAGCATTTGTGAAATGTTTCTAAATAATTAAAAAGACTTGAAAGGAGAAAAGGCTTCGGCAAAATTAAATCGCATTTTCGGGGAAAGTAGGGTAGAAAATCGTTTGAATCAAGTTGTGATAAAATTTGTCTAAACTTATTTTCTCTCTAGAAAAAGTTGAAAAGCACAATGAAGAGCAAAAGACCGAAAAAATCATGTAAAAGACAGTATTAAGTTACCGTAGAATAAACTTGATATTCAGCTGTTTAAAGTGTCTTGGGATCTTTATGTAAATTTCGGATACAACAAACATTGTCAAAAGACCCTCCTAGCGAGATTGCTCGCTCGATTGAGATAGCGTGTAATTAATCGCGTAAAATTAAGAGGTAGTTGAGGAAAAAAAAAACACGTAAACGTTGTTTTCTTTGTTTAAGAAGAAACTTTCGGATCCGAAGCTCCAGGTTTTTATTCGTTTGTTCATAGCTAAATCAGTTTGTTTAAAGCAACATATTAAGTTGATCCTATCAAATTCTGCGGGTGGTCTGATCTGCAATTCATGTTATTCTTCGCCGACTGACGTTGTTGATCCCCGCTCAGCGATACAAATAGAAGCTTCTTTGCCAAGGTAAGTTGCCTTACATTGAGTTTTTTGAAAAGTATCATATGAAGAATGTTCAGAAAAAAACTACATACTTTATTTCGGCTGTTTTAAAGGTGGACATAGGTCAGACGGGTATCCTTCAACATGAAATTTAGGGTTTGAACCGATGCTCATTGGTCTCCAATGTGTATTCATTTTATAAATATGATGATATTTCTGACTGTGAAGCCTGATGAGAAATGGCAACAGTTTTGCTTGACATCTACGTAAGCATTTTTTCATGATACTTTCTCTAAAATCTAACAAAAAAATATTCGAATCAAGGTCGTTAAGCCAAAATTAACGCCTTGCAGATCCGTAATGAGTTCTTGTCGGTTCGGAATCGTGCCTCGTCAAAACCCAACGCAAAAGTGGTGTGAACAGCGCATAAAGTTTCTTAAATTATACCTTACATCAGACTAGTCTCCTGAGAATTAGCTGAGCATTTTTCCTTTTATATTGTGACTATTTTTTTTCCTTTGATTGTTCCATCCACTGGAATATACATCGGACCTGCCTTATTCTATGAATCATTCATCTCTCTTGAAAGAAACATATACACATTAATTTCTAGACAGGTCATATTTTTTCACAGCTTATTGAATCTCTATAAGAAATTATCTTTGGCCGCTATCTTCAATCCTCAGCTAAAATTCTTGTCTCGTTAACTACTTAGCATTTACTTTAAACTTTCATTGAATGTTTTACATTTACTACATCCCTTCAACAAATAGTATATGAAAGAGTCTGTAATTTTTGAAAGAAAGAGTGTGAAGGCAATATAACCTCTAAGACTTTACAAAGAAGTTCGACGCCATTAAGTTAAATTACTTTACAGACGTATCAATATTCGAAAAGAAGAACAAAACTGGTAAAAGCATCCGTTACTGTGTCGATAGACCCCATGTCGATCGATTTGAAAGCTTCGCTGTGATGGACGGACTGGGTAATGGATTTATAAAACACACATGCTTTCTATTTTCATCAAAATTTTACACAAATTAACCCATTTTATGTTTAACATTAAGTTTCAAGTATGTTCGGAGCTGAAGTTTAGTGATAAGAATTTATCTTTCCACACTCTATATAAACGCACGTGTTACGTAATAGATTTATGTAATTGACACAAAATTGTAGCATATAGGTTGTGAAAAGCTGCACATAAAAATTAGACTTGCAAATTGAAGGCTTGAGTCTCCACCAAATAGCTTTCACAGAATACCTTCTTGTTAATGAAGGGTGGTGACTTGTATCAAAGTTTACGTGGTGTCAAAACAGATATATTCCTTATAATTAGGCTAATCATAGAATAGAGGTAAGACCTATGTAATCACTCTCTATTTGTTTAAGAGCTTAAATGGAATGATGTTCCAGCCGATGTTAATCATCTCTGGAGTCATCAGTTCTGCGGAGAACAAAAAAAGGAAACATGGTTTTCTTGACCTTCAAGTTCATTTGCGTCGTGGATTTGGCCAACCTTTAATTCTAAGTAGAGAATTAATTACAAAGATTTGATCTTCACGAGTTAAGACCTCAAAATAACAGCTTTTCGAGCGGAATTATCATCCACCAACGCAGGCGTTTAGAGCACCGCAACTAACGTCACCAAACACTCAATGATATACCTTACGGTTATTTTTTACCATAATACCAATTGGCTGTATAATTTCTCATTGTCCGTTATCTCTGAGGCAAGTACCTTGAGCCATGTTTACATTTTTTTATAAAAGAACGGAAAGTTTTTCCCGAAGACGTTTTCCTTGTGCTTGGCTCATATTTCAGTAACTGAATGAAACCTAAGACAAAAGAGGATCTGATGACCTTCCAGTCGGTAGTTGTTTAACCATTGACTTTAAAATGAAACATTAGAAGGACCACAAATTTCACGGGATTATTTGTATTAATGTGACAGTCGTCAATTTGGCGTTATTTGAAACAGCGAATAATAGTTATGTATTATAATTGCACTATCCTTAGATGACGGCAATGAAAGTCACTTACAAACAACAGGTGCAAGTTACTTAAATGTATAAGTTTTGTCCCCTGAACGAGTCTTGAGTAGAAGCATCATTTTTGAGCCATTCACGCCATTTTTGAACCATGTTTGGTAGCCAAAAGATCCCATGTCATGAACGAGCGTGAGACAAAGACGATATCATGGCGACTTGTGTTATTCAGAGATGGTAATTCGTGGTTATTTATTTCATACAGATCGAAGCAAGTTCATTTCTATTGAGACGAAACGTTAAACTGGAGTAACCAGCAAGTTTTATTGAAGGACAAGTCACAGATTAAGGTAACTGATCAAAATTATACTCGGGATCACCGCCGTTTTAAATGTTACTTCCCTTTATACAACCGTTTTTTTACCTTCCTTTAGGCAAAGAACTATCCTATCAAAATATTTTATCCAATCGCTCTGGCGAAGGGCTAACACCCGAAATGCCAGCTTTTAAACTCTTAACGGTGGCCAATTTACGTTTTCAACTCAGTTCATAACACTAAATCACCCTCAAAATATTTTAGTTTGGTCCTTTCAGGCTCACTTTGACACGCCACTGACTTTATGAACACATAGCTGAAGTAGATTATTTCAATATTTCAAGGTGTCTGCTTTGCCACCATTGGTAAAGCTAGATTATGAAGCAATAGTAGAATTTGTGAAAATAACACTCATGACTGGTAATTGAAAAAGAAGAAATAGGTGAAAAAAAAACAGCTATTGTATTACTGACAACTATCTGTCTGTTTGTTCTTTACATTTTCATGTTCATATTAAAAACCGAATTAATGAGGCGAGGAAGAAGAAACTCAATTATTGGATTTGATTATGAAGACTGACACTTATGCTAGACCACATAGAAGCTAAATAAAAGCACGGATAGGTTTAGTAGATGCTATAGAATTATCAACCTACCAGTAAACTACCTCAAAATGTTAGAAAAAGTGAGAATATTTTCTCCGTTGTTTGGTGTTCTGCTGCTCAACCAGAAAACTGCACAAATTTGTTCTCAAAAGTCATTATAGCAAATCATCTCATACCTCAAAATTTTCTCCTCGCAAAACACTCAAAAGAAGTCCCGAAATCAGTGCTCGCATAGTTTTCATCCTACACGGCAGGTTACCAAATAAACAGAGAAGACTGTAAGCACTTTGACCCTGCTCCTAAATCAAGATATCGTTTTCATTATTTTGTCTTATTCTCTGTTTAGAGTAAAGACACTTCTTGACTTATGGATCAATACCAGTTCAACCTGTTTAACCAAACGTGCTGGAACTGTTCCACTAGTTTACCTGAACAAACAACTCCGGGATATACTCGAGCCAGTGAACTCTTAACTAAAAATGAAGCGATCATTCTCTCCATAATCTGCGCCTTGGCCAGTGTGATTGGAACCTTTGGAAACTCTCTCGTCCTTCTTGCCGTGCCCAGCAACAAAAATCTTCGCACGATCCCCGATCTTTTCATCACAAACCTAGCGTTCTCAGACTTCACAGTCTGTGCAATTGTTTTACCCATGTTTGTATACGACTTCAATCAAAACGTGGGTGAAAAATCGGAAGCCGAACTAGAAAACTTCGACCAGGTGAAAAGTTTCTTGGGGCATACCTCCATGGTTGCATCCGCCACTAATATGTTTGCGGTGACAGTTGATCGCGTCACTGCAATCAGATTCCCATTCAGGTACGCATTCATGGCGACCAAACATGCATTAGCAGGTATTCTGGTTGTCTGGATAATTTCTATCACATTCGGTGTCCTTTACGCTCCTAATTTGGTGTCCAGAATGTACATTGCCCTCTACTGCTCAGCTTTATTGATCACAACAATGATCATGTATGTCTACATCTTCATTGCCGCTAAACGCCAGGAAAACAGAATTCATAGCATGCAGATGGGAACAGATGGCGTCTTAGTAGAAAAGAAGGTAGCTAAGACCATTTTCACGGTGGTCGGAGTGTATGCGTTGTGTTGGTTACCTTTGCTCATGCTTCCAGCCATCATCGATTTTGAATCAAAACCAGATCAGTTTAAGAAAGGCTTCAACTGGGCTCAGTCAGCGCTCGCTTGTAATTCAGCCATAAATCCCTTCATTTATTGCCTGAGATGCACGAAATATCGCACAGCGTTTGGCAAAATACTGCGAATACAAAGGTGGATCGTTCGGCAGTAATCACTGAGCCCAATCACTCGAAATGACATTTGACAATAATAGATTAGTGAGACGGTTAAGTCGTGTGTAGGTGAAAGGAGGAGAAAATGAAAGAGGGGATGTATATTGCAATCGTTCACACCTTCACATCTTCATACCTAACAAATATTTTCACGTACCCCTACAAATGTTTTCACAGATTTTTCCAGAGGTGAAAAAAATCTCACGAGGAGGTCGATTCCGCTTACGATTGCATGACGGCTACTTGCTTTTATAAATGACTATTTCACAATATTTTATCCTTTTTTCCATCGGCTCAAATTGCAGAGCCAGACTAAAGTTGTAATGCGCTGACTATGTCATTTATCGATGCAACTACTTTGTTTCTATTTATAACTGGCTCGGTACTGTTTTAACAATAGACAATTGATGTCCTTAATGCACTGTAAAAAGTACAGGTGTAATACGTAAAATCGGAAAACTAACCAAATCGCGAGTATCAAATGATACAAAGAATGTGGCAAAGACTTCTGGATTTCTCCGGTTGCTTTCTGGACTAGTTACACTGATTCAACGAGATTACGTACTTCATCAACCAAAAATAACTTAATTTTCATACAGCAACTTCTGCTTACTTAGGCAGTCTTTTCCTTTTGGAAAAAACTGCAATGACAATAGCGTACAGTAATTTCAGTGAATTTTCAAAAGGAAATAAAGCGTTCATTCTCTCGTTGGTCGGCTTCTAGGCGTGTATGATCGCACGAGTGGAAAATCTTCAGTGGTACTCGCCTGCAAAACAAAACGTTTCGTACGATACCCAACCTTCTCTTTAGAGACCTGGCTCTTTATGGCTATTATAGGGAGGAGGTTTGACATACGAACGAAAGGAAACATTTTGAACCCTCATAGTCGCCTTTCGGTAATTTTCCTGATCCACACGGCTTATAAACAAAGCAAAGAGGCGTGTGGCAAATAACTTATGTCAAAATTCACTCCTCTTATATGGCGCAAGAGAATATTCTCTTGACGGCGTCAGAGTCAGTCAACTCTGATGATGACTTCCGTTCAGGTTGTCGATACACCACGAACGACCACAGTCCTTTTCAAGTCTCCCCTGACTCAAACAATCAGACTTAACGATCTAACACAATTCGAATTATGTTTTAGGCCAAAAATTCCAAAAAAATCTATGTTTGAGTGCATAAGTGGTTTGAGGCATTCGCTTGTCTATCAAATTGTGACGACACGAATTGAACACGAGAAGATGGAACCCTGTGATACTCAGCAATAAGTCATCTCCTTGTCAGCTGCGCATCTGAATAATTTAACGTCAAAAAAATAAACAACATATCCAGTGTAGTTTTAAAGCTGAGGGATTGCTTAACCCTGTAGGTTCTACACGGTACAGTAAGAATGTGAACACACAAACCGAGGGAAGATAGATCCCCTGTGAATGACAGAAGTTGATCATAATTTTGTTACTTGGGCTCCATAATAAAACATTGGCCGAAAATTCAACATTACACCGAATTTAATTTTAATTTGATTGCATAGGTTTGTATCTTCGATAAGACAGAGAAAGGGGCCGAAACCATTTATGAGCCTTGTTAAAGTAAAAATGTCACTACTGTATACGTCACTTTGTTGTCAGCAGCTGCTCGCAAACTTGGTATTAACTTATTATCCTGTTCGCAAAACACGCCATTAACTCACTCTTATTGCTAAACAAAACAGTCCGTTGGTTTTCCGTTTTCTTTCAAATAATAAAAAAAAAACCTAAAAACCCTTGGAACCTTCAAACTCCGTGAGAAGCTGTTAGAGGATAAATCATGATTTTCGCCCTGCACTTAGGGAAACCAATTTTATCTGAAATGGTGAACAATGTTATTAAAAAAGCCATCAAATGAATTCTGCCAATAACAGCTAGAATTAATATCGGCCTGAGCTAACACAATGTGCAGCTGCAACGCGGTGATATGGTTAATTCTGCATATTTTTGTTTGTGTTACATGACAAGTAGTCGTTGAACAAGAGTGCGATTCCAGTTATCGATAGATGCAAAAGGCGAGTTGTTAAATTGATGAGATGAATATTTCGCTATCTTTCAGCTAAGACCGGGAACTTCGCTAAATAAGATTCTATCTCTGATGGCGAGTGAATTATAGTTGACGTTGTTATTTTTCGACCGGTCGGTTTTTTTTTTTTTTTTTTTTTTTTTCCAATTTACCTAAGCGTAAAAGAATAGAGACGTTGTTTATTGACTGAAAGAAACAGAAAAGACTACGGAACATTTGCCAAGGTAAGTTAATTTCGAGTTCGTCTTTGGGAACCTTTGTCAAGGAGATGCATCAGTTTTAGGACCGATGCAGTTGTAAACTGTGAACGAAGATAGAATAGGAATGTAAATTTTTTTCGTCATGCATGTGTGTAGTGTTTTCAGATGCAGAAAAATGTCTCTCTTTTACGTTATTTGGAGACCAATGATTTTCACTGCTAATGGAAATATATGTTCGATCGAGTAAATCAATAATTACTTGAACTTTTCTTAGACACGGTGTATTTGCCATTTGACAGTGCCACATGGGATATTGTGCTTTGCTCGATGTCTTTTTCCATGGTTTCGTAGTTAAGAAAATTTTTTCCTTTTTTGCGATTCAGGAACTTTCGTTTCGGGTGGGAACATAAGAACCGTAAAGGAATCTAAATTTATCACTTGAACTTTTCTTAGACACAGTACGAGTGTATTTGCCAATTGACACTACCACAGGGGCTATTGTACTTTGCTCAATGTCTTTCTCCGTGGTTTCGTGGTTTGGAACATATTTTCCTTTTTTTGCGATTCAGAAACTTTCGTTTCAGGTGGGAACATAGGAACCGTAAAGGAATCTAAATTTATCGAACAGGCTTAGAAAAATTGAGAAAAAACGGAAAAAATACGGAAAAGGTTATCATAAATTTTAATTAATTATTTATGATACACAGACCGCAGCTACCAAGGTACAGCTCTTAAAGAAGGACCAGGGGTCTTTACACAAAGAACTATTCCCTTGTTTTTTCAAGGCCCGATAAATAAAAAATAACCGCCTGAAAAAAAAATTGGCAACACATGTGATTCAGAAGCTTTAACGCATCAAAAGGGAGGTTGGGCTTACTAAATATTCTAATTCATAGACTAGAGACTTCAGTAAGATCGATTGAATCCTCTTCTTCGGAAAGGCTCTATGAGTAACATTATACAGCAACACCGGAGAGAAAGTTCACGATATGAGCATTGTAATGTGTATTCCGGTTAAGGTGGCCCAAGATAGGGTAAATGGGCTCAGATTTCTTTGTTCAAAATGACATTAGGGCATGCACACACGAGCTCGGTGGAAATCTAGTCTGATTATCATTTTAAGTAATTATCAAATGTTTCCAACACTGTTTGTTTATGCATACGCATTATGTTTGGATATCAACAAGCCAGATGAATGTTCGATATGAAATCATTCAAACATGGAGGGCTAATCAACCCCCACCGTATTTAATATGAAGAGGATTTGAAAAATCTTAATATACAACAATTTTTTTTTTAAGAATGCAACGAGGATAACATTCTAAATTTTAAAGAAACTGTTTCAAGAATCGATAAAATGAGACGAAACATTCGGCAGCCTTAAAAACTCTCATTACTTACAAAGTGAGCAATAATCTTTATATATCATAACGAAATGTTTTTTAAGTTGTTTGATCCCCAAAAAGAGATATAGTATTGTAGTTTAACGACTTCCAAAATTGATTTCAGTTTTGTTATTAGAACTGGTTATCTTTTAATTATTTTTAGCTCTGAATTTGGCTATGATAATACAATCGATAAACTTAATATTTTTTTGTCTAACCAAACCAGGATTACGACCTATAACAGATCGTACGGACCGAAATCAAATTAAATCGGACCGTGAACAAAGTAGCAGTGTAACAAATCTGTGGGAAAAAAATTAATACAAAGCGTATAGCAAAGTCTGCTGTTTTGCCATGTCATAGCTCGTTACTTTGTTTGTTTTTTTCTTTGAACGGGATGACTTCGTAAACTGTTGCGAGTCTCACCCATTTTTTAACCATTTCTTGGCTAATATTTTTTCCGTTTTGTAGAGCGATCGGCGAATGGCGGTGACAATTTTTAACCAGACCTGTTGGAATTGTTCAACCATTCTTCCCCATTTGAAAACAACTGCAACGACAAAAGGATACACTAACATCAGTGAATTCTTAACGAGAGATTCAGCGGTCATTCTCTCGATAATCAGCTCCTTGGCGTGTATGATAGGATGCCTTGGAAACTCTTTGGTCATGCTCGTCGTACAACGAAATAAAACTTTTCGCACGATACCCGACCTTTTCATCACAAGCTTGGCTGTCTCCGACTTCTTCGTGTGCGCACTTTATTTACCGTTGCGTATTTACTACTTCTTTCATACCATCAGCGAAAGTGAGGGCAAATCCAAAGCTTTCGACTACGCCATGAGTTTCCTTGGGCATACTTCCATGGTAGCTTCCGCTTCAAACATGTTTGCGGTCACAATTGATCGCATCATTGCAATCAGATTCCCATTCAAGTACGTTTTCATGACAGCCAAACATGCTGTAGTTCAAATACTGCTTGTGTGGATAGTCTCTCTTGCATTCGGTGTCTTGTACGCTCCTCTCTTGGTGTCCAATATGTACATCGCCCTTTATTGTTCAGTTCTTCTGATAACAACAATGCTCATGTACATCTACATTTTCATCATTGCAAAACGAGCAGAAAACAGGATACAGAACGCTCAGTCAACATTGGAAAGGACTGTGTCTGAGAAAAAAGTAGCCAAAACCGTTTTCACAGTCGTGGGGGCCTATAATTTGTGTTGGCTGCCCATGCTTCTTCTCCCAGCAATTGCCAACCCTTCAACGAACCCAGTTCAGTTTGGTAAAGGATTTTTTTGGGCTCAAACCCTTCTGGTCTGCAATTCAGCTATTAATCCTTACATTTACTGTATGAGAAGCAAGAAATATCGTGCGGCATTTGGTAAAATACTGTACATTCAGCTTTGCATTGGTCATGAATAATGGATGTAATAACAAAACTTACAAAATTAATCATAACTTTAAGTCAACTACTTCACCATCTATTTGCCATCAGAGATGAGCGGATATTTCTTGCTTGAACAAACAGATGAAAAATAGATCTTAAAAAATAGCCTATGCCACATGTACAGGCAAAGCGTACGAGCTTTCCAGCATAGCGAATAAGAGTATTTTCTTCATTAATAGGAAGGTCTCAATGGGGTTAGCCGTAAAACAGCCAAAACGTATAGTCTTTAGGCGTAAAACTTGATAAACTTAGTCGTAAAAAAGTTAACCGTAAAAAATTGTCATGTCTTTGATGCTATTTTGGGTGAATTGTTAGCTGTAAAAATGGCCAAAATTCTAACCGTTAGCGGCTGGCTCTTACTGTAAACAAGATCATGTCACAGCTGATAAATTAATTGTAAACCAAGCGGAATCATAATTTTGAAACAGCAGTGCAATTAACTGGTTGAAATTTATTCAGCAACAAGGCCATATGATTAAAAAGCGTGAAGTTGGGAAAAATCTAAGAAAGATCTTCCGAGACCGCCCCCAAGAGCTGTTTAACGAGATTTACCCATAACATCAATATAATTCTAGCGATTCAGCCATGCCAATCCCATATTTTAAATCGCACTCCTTTGTTCAATACGCATGAGAGAATCTTTCGACGGCAAAAGGGAATGTTTGGTTTTTGAGAGCTTTGATTATAGCCGGTCAGGGTCGGTTATTGAAACGAGGTCTAATTTGGGTCACGGTTTTTGACGATTAATGGACTTCGTAAGTTCCTCATAAGTAGGGTTTTTGAAGTAATAGGATATTTCATTCAGCGCTAATTGAAATAGAAGCCCTTTTAAAAATTTCGCATAAACTTAACGTTTAGGTTATATTTTCCGCTTCATCTAAGATTGTTTAGAGCACGGTTTGGGTGAATATGGGAAAAAAAAATTTTAATAACCGGCCTTTAGGGTTGAGGAAAAATATATCCAACCACCATAAAAAAAAAAAGTTCAAAAACTATGAAAATTCCATGTTTAAGATGCATTTGTATCAAAATGTAAATGTAGAACATTTAAAGTAGTTAAGTGAGGTAAAACAGAGATTAATGATTCTGAGAGAGATCAAAAGCCCAAATGTAATTATAGAAAGCCGAACTGTTTAAAGTTCGGCGTCATCCTCTCAATATTAACTAAAAACAAATGGTCCACATCTTTTTCTTGAATCCTCTCACTGGGAGGTACTTGTTACCATATTTCAGACCGAAAGAAAAGATGAAGAAACAGATTATTATCCTACGCCAGCAATAAATGTAAAATTTTATAACCTTACCAGAATACCGTGGCAATTTCAAAACTTTACAGCTTTCGTAAAATATAAAAACTCAGTTATAAAATATCTCGCAGTGTCCAAGTTCAGCTTCCCTTTTGAAAGAGGTACCCGCCCAGTAAAGTTTTAGTTTTACAATAAATATGGAAGATAATTACTGGACTCATGTAAATACTGATAACACATTGTGGAAAAATAAAATGTCGACAATATTGAGTTTTAAGTGAAGAAGGCTGTTATTAGAAGCTTCCTGAGGCAGTAAAAAGTTCTTTGTCGTCTTGAAGAATCCAGTTACTAAATTTTGGTGGGGACATGTCAATGATTCTTATAAGTTTATCTCAATCATCCAATAAGTGCATTTACTTCTCCGTTGGCCTTAAAATGAAATCTTGGCGGTCTATTATCATTTTGATACCTTCTTTGCCTGGATTTCGAATAATCGATTAGCCATTCTTCTATCAAACCGCAACAGGGTTAGAGAATGATTACTACAATTGTCAGTTCAATAATTGCGATAATTTCCGGTAGTTTTCATCTCTGGTAGTTTCAGAGTTCTGAGAAGGGATAAGAGAAGAGTAAAAACAAAATTCTACTCTTGAAGATGGTGACCTCCAAGTTTATGAATCTTCAATGAATTACCTTCAATTTAGAAGTAAATAAACAGCAACCCCCTTTTAATAATCTACTCGAACCTTAGCTTTTTCGTTTCGTGTTTGTGGTCTATTAGTGTCTCTAAGAGAACTGTTTTCCTATCTTACTGAAGTGATTAAGTTTTTAAAGTCCGTGAAGTCGAAGTTAGTTTTCACTGCTTGGAAATGACTCCTGAGGTACTGACAAGAAGAATTTGTTTACCAATCAAGAGCTTCTGTGGTTGGTGACCATTTCCGTTATTCTCGTGACCTTAATGTGTGATTCAGCGGCGATGAGAGAAGGAGAAAATAGATGCAAGTCACTGTTAAGGGTCAAATTGATTAAGAGTGAAAACGGCTGAAAGGAAGACAGCAAGAGTATTAATATTTTGCGTCTTCCGTGTTCCGTTGACGTAATAATTTTGAAACTACCCTAATATTAACAAAAAGGGCCGAGTAGTTAATTGAAATCATGGTATCAAGCAATATTCACGTAGTCCAAAATGATTGACTAATAGTTCCATTATGAGCTTAAGAGCTTTACCTAGGGCCTCAGTTTGGTTAATCATTGGAAGAAAAACGACATTAAAATTTAGCCGTTAGGCGTAAAAATTGACGAGTTCTAACAGATAGTCTTAAAAAAAGTTGACCGTAACAATCTTCATTTGAAAAACAATGGAAAGAAATGGACAGTTAGCCGTAAAATGGCCAAAATTTTAGGGTAGTCGTAAAAGCCATTATTCCATTAAGACCCTCTTTACTTAATGCAGAAGGAGGCGAGAAAGCACTATTGATGATTTCAAAAATTATATTTTAAAATTTTAAAGTTAAAATTTGCGAATTGTTTTGTAAATAAATATAAATCTACCTTGATTGCCCAAGCTTAAGAGCTATTATTGATCAAACGTTTGCGAACTTTGCTCTAAGATCGATATCATGTTGTATATTGAACCTTCCGCCAAAACGTTTGCGAACTTTGCTCTAAGATCGATATCATGTTGTATATTGAACCTTCCGCCATCATCATGGTAACTTTAAGTGGCGAGGAGTGCAAATAGATACTCATAAATCGCTTAACACCTTAAGAAGGAGCACAGACAAAACCAGAAATATCGTGAGACGTTTGCGTACAACATAGAAGCTTAAAAAGAGGTAACATGCTGTCTTACAACTGACCCCTAAACGGCCTTTGTGTCTGCTGATCTGTTTGACATCCTTGTAGTTTTGGTGGTGACGGCCGCCTATAAAGAGATAGATTTTCAGCACTCAGAGAGATTGAGCCTATTTCGGCGTAAACAATTATCGGTACTTTCTTTTATTTCGTTTTCACTCTTGCTTTTATTTTATCTGAAGCAATTTATTAGTTTATTTCCACATATATAGTTACAAACCGTTCAAAAAAATTGCACTCAAAAACTGCAATATGACGACGCCAATTTCACCTGCTCTTTCATTTATTGGACCTCAAACACCAAAAAAGACCATTGGCTCGAGATTTCTATCTCGAAACTTGACATAAACTCTTATTAATGCTTCTGGAACAAGTTGCCGAGCTTTGTGTGCTAAAAAAAGGACTCAAATAGATTGTATCCCTCTTTCCCCCTTTTGCCGCAAATCTAAAATTTTATTTAGGATGCTTTTAACAATTTAAAGGTAATTCAATCCTGTAATGAAGGTTTTCTTTAGTTACTTTCCGACAAAGCGACCGCTAGGAAATAAAACGGCTGTGACCGCTGTATTTGCGCTCCAGTTTGCAGGTTGAAGACATTTGAGGTCATCTGAGTAGTATGACTGCAAGTTCATTTGACTGTTTTAACCAAACAAGCTGCAACCATTCCACAGCTACTTCTCCATCACAAGAAACACTTGAGTATCTCCGTATCAGTGAAATATTAAGTAAAGAGGTAGCGGTCGTCCTCTCTCTCATTTGCGCCTTGATAAGTGTGCTTGGAGCTTTGGGGAACTCTTTGATACTCCTTGCTGTTGGCGCAAACACAAATCTTCGCAGGGTTCCTGATCTTTTCATCACAAGTTTGGCGATCTCAGACTTGTCTGTGTGCTTGGTGTATCTACCCATGGTGATTCATGACCTCAATTACAAGTTTCAAAATGATAAAGAATTCAGGATCTTTGACATCACCAAAAGCTTCTTCGGCCATATTTCCACGGTTGCATCGGCAACTAACATATTTGCAATGACAATAGATCGCGTTTGTGCGATTAGATTCCCTTTCCAATACATAGCCGTTCTGACAACAGAAAAAGCACTTTTAGGAATATCATTTGTCTGGCTTGTTTCTCTTCTATTTGCTGTCTTGTACGCTTCTCCTGTTTTGATTCCCAGGTTCTATGTCTCAATCTACATCTCCTCTCTACTTATCACAACTACAATCGTGTATATCTATATTTTCATCACGGCCAAACGTCAAGAAAACAGAATTCATAACGTACATTCGCGGTCTTGTAATACCATGAGAGAGAGAAAGGTGACTAAAACCATCTTAACAGTGGTAGGAGTTTATGCTTTATGTTGGATGCCTTTGCTTCTGCTTCCGCTCATTTTACACCCTTCTGAGAACTTTATTCTATTCAAGAAAGCTTTTAGCTGTGTGCAGACGTTAGTAGCTTGTAATTCAGCAGTCAATCCACTTATTTATTGTATGCGTAGCAGTAAATACCGTAGAGAATTCGCTAAAGTACTGCGTATAGTTTATTGTGGTGAAAGAATTCATTCTGTGTCATAGCGTCTGGGGAGGATCAAACGAGAGGAAGGTGTTTCGCCGTAAGGCCTTTTTTCCCCGGAAGATCTCTCAAAATATATTTTAAAGATATCGTTGTCTTATAAAATTTTAGTAAGATTCAAAATAAACAAGAACTGCGTCAGAAATTTTACTTCATTTGATCGGCCAAGCGTTGTCTATACGCTCTCTAACGATGCATTAAATAACCAGAGAAGACTTGAAACATAACTTTTCAGGAGAACAGCTGGGAACCTTTGAAAGAAAGTGTATTCTATGGCCAGTCTAGTGTCAGTCTTTTCCAAGCTTTTTTCAAATGGTTATGCTTATAGTGCAGGCATAGTTCTCATTTGGATGTAAAGCTTTCTTATCCTTTCGAATCAGAATAAAACCTACCTTTTACATTGTATTTTACCCTGTCATTATTTGAATTACTTGAGTTCAATACTTTTGAAAGGGGAGGTTCAGAAGGGGCTTTTTAAAAAAACTTTTTACTTCAGATTGAGGGGACGTTTTGAAGGGGGTCCTCATTGAAGAGGGGAACTTATTGAAGTCGGGGGGGGGGCTTTTTGGGGAGGGAACACGTTAAAAACAGGGGCTTATTAGAGAGTAGGACTTAATGAAGAGGAGAACTTATTAAATAGAAGGGCTTATTGAAGAGGTGGAGTTATTGAGGAGGGGGACTTACTGAAATCGGGGGAAGGGGTTTTGGGGAGGGGAATCATTAAAAAGGGGGCTTATTACAGAGAGGGGAACTTATTGAAGAGGGGGACATATCTAAGTCGGGGGCTTCTTTGGAGAGGGGACGCATTAAAAAGAGGAGAATTAGAAGGGAGGACGAACTTATGAAAGAGGAGGGGTATTGAAGATGAGGGCCATTGAAAAGGAGGCCTATCAGAAGGGGGTGGTAATATTGTCATTCGTTCGTTTCAAAAGCTTATTGTAGGTTTCAATAAGATTAGTACAGCTTGATTGTTTAATACAATCGGTTGGTTTTGTTCACAAACTTTGGTGAACTGAATCTCAAATGCGACGATACTAGAATTCAAAGTGTATAGAACTCAGTACTGAGATAGAACAGACATGTTTTAAGATGAACGAGTATGGTGAAAATTTTTGTTCGTCTTATAAAGAAAGGCGTCACCCAATTTTGGCGGGAGCAACAGGAGAAAAGAAATTTTTTTCTTTCAATTAGTTTGTTATTGTTATTCGTTTCAAAAGCTTACTATGGATGTTATTAAGATTAAACAAATTGTGGTAGGTTTTATCACAGATACAAAGATGTTATGAATCGAAGTTTTTGAACACAGCACTACAAGGCAGGTGAACGAAAAAGGTGAAATGTTTCTCTCTGTAGCCTGATAAAGAAATATCTGGATGTCACACATGTGGCGCGAGAACTCGGGAAGAAAAGAAAAAGTTTGCTTACAATTAGTTTATTGTTATTTGGTTTTTTCAAAAGCTTAATGTGGATGTCAATAGGATCCCAAAAATTTGTAGCTTCACAAATTGTGGCAAGCTAACACTCAGATACGAAGATGATGTAAATCAAAGTATTTAGAACACATTACTAGGACAAAAGAAACATGCATTAAGAGGAAAAAGAAGCACTCTGACAATACTTTTCTCTTCTGTCGTCTAATAGAGAAAGATGTTACTCGTTTGGCGGGAGCGTAAGGGCCTATTTACACGGTACGACTTTGTCGCATGCGACAAGCTTACGACAGGCTTACGACACGAATTGTTTCGTGTAAATAAAACCTACAACTCGCTTACGACTCTTAAGTCATGTCGTAGGCCTGTCGTAAGCTTGTCGCATGCGACAAAGTCATGCCGTGTAAATAGGCCTTAAGAAGAAAAGAAACATTTTTCTTTAAAAAAGTAAGAGGTATACAAACCGCCGTAAAGTGATCTATGAACAATTACTTCATGATTACATTATTTTGCAAGCGTAGGAGGAAGACAAATTTTGCTTTCAATGAATAAGAGGTATACAAATCGCTTGTGACTGATCTTTGAATAATTGTTTGGTGAATTGGTTCTTTCTGAATATCTTGTTAGTTTTGTTCCCGAACTCAGACCGCAAGTCCCCTGAGTGCCCTATGCATCTAATTTAATACTTTGCAGGCCTAAGTGACACTTCGAAATTGCGACAATCTAACAGGAGTCTTCAGAGAACTTTAAGTGACATGTATATAAGCTTCTATGATAACATAACAACTGCCTACTGTAAAACTACAGGGGAACATACACAACAGAATAGGTTACTTTTAGAGTCTTCCTTTCAAAAAGGTCATTGAAGCGTGGTGCTAACTTCAATGCCTCATTTCACATTGAGTGTCCCCAAGGTCGTTATTAAGAGCAATTTTGCGGTCCTTGGCGGTTCAAATGAACCGCATTCAATAGTTTATGTCAAATACCTGCACTTTTCTGAATAATTTTTTTTAAAGTTAGCAGCGGTCACTGACTTATAACCTGGCAAGTTCCTTTATTATATATGTTTTTTTTAAGACTTTTTTGACCTAACATATAACAAAACCACAATAGTATTCCAATCATTTTCAACTTATTACTGATCAATTCTTTCATTTGATTTACTCAGTCACCCTCTATGAACACAAAACAAAAGATGTTCTCAATTTAAACATATGCATAGTTATTTTATCTTTCATCACTGCTGGTTATCCAAACAAGTCACCCCCGTTTAATGTGTGTAGATATTAATGAACAGCTCCCCACAAGAGATCATCATGGCTCAGCTAAAGTCATCAACACAGGTGGCCAATTCCAGTGCTCAGAGCTTTTCGCCCTTATCTTCCCCACAGTTGGGAATGCGCCTTACAGCAGAGTTCAATCCCGGAGAAAATGACAGCGTTTTTGAAAAATCACCATGTATTTCCTTTGACGACGAACACAGGGAAGAAACTAAGCCACAAACAATATTACAGGTTCGTGAAAGACAGAAATGGAGAAAAATGGCGCTAGCAGTGACTATGACGAGATTATTGGTGTCTGTGATTTTTGCGGGGGCATCTTTCTTCCTCTCAGCCACTATGAACAGTTCATCTGTCCTCGCCACAGCTCTAGACACAACGCTCACCGTACTCACATGTTTTGTCTTAGCGTGGAGATTTCATGAAGAAACGAACGCGAAAATCGCTCCCAAGAAAGAAAAGCATGGATCCATTGCCTTTGGAATAGCATTCATCGTGGACGCGCTGATAGTTATAGCAGTTTCAGTGAAGCACCTGACTGATAAAACCAAACCAGATGGAGCCAGCATAATGTGGCCATGTCTACTGGCGTTTTGTTTTGTTTATTGCTTACTGGCCGGGGCGGAATTCTGGATATCTTCGAAGCTTAAGAGCTCTATCCTTATAGCCCTGAGTATAGATGATGGGCTTACAGGAGGGTTTATGTTCGCTCTTTCTGTGAATGAATTCATTGAATGTAAACTTCCAAACTTGTGGTATTTGGATCATTCCGCGGCGATTGCTGTTTCACTCATGCTGTTATATTGCGGTATCAAAATTCTTGTGGAGATATTTGTCTACAAGAAACTTCCTTTCCAAATTTTCAATTCATGATTTCAAGAGGACACGCACGACCAGTTTGTACACGGTCAGGCGAATCGCTCGCAAGTGCAGCTCATTATCACAAGATGACTTGGAATTGACCCTGTCTTTCACGTTCTATGAATCGAGTCTTCATTAAAAGAAGACGATTGTAATCACATTGGCCTTTGAGTCAAAGGACTCTCAACCCTGAGATATCATTAAATGAAACAGACTGTCCCCTCATAATCGAGCCTCGGAACTTGGGGAGATTAATCAAGCTGTACCATGCTTCGCTAGTTATAGCTCATTGAACCTAGATTACTAAGAAATATTCCCTTTAAATACCGGGACTTTTAGGGTGAATCTCACTTCGCCAGCAGTCTCGTGGGTTTTCGTTCCATCGACGCACTTCTTAAGTGTGCTGTTTGAGCTCATTGCCTTTCGAAATTTCTCAGTATTTACAGCGACATGAAGATGACAAATGCAACCTCGTTTTAAAATCATGGCACGGGCCTTGATCTTCGCTGAGAGCTACACACTGAAACAGCGAAGAAAGAGTGAGGCAAAATCACTTCAGTAACTTAAGCCTAAAGGCACGCATCATAAAATAACTGTGACGAAACAAAAAAACATAACTAAGAGCGCTTTGCGACTCAGATTAACTTAGGCTGGTGTTTTAAGATGTTTTAAATTAGTTAGGACTGGAAAACTTCATTCGAATTATCCAGGAATCCGTTAGATTTGAAATCGCTCGATGTATTAGAATTCAATAATATTTCAAATTCAAAATCTTGGCGCGAAACGTCGTGAAATAAATCATAGAATTAATTAATGATTGTTCTACGGAGTCGCATCGATCGAAGATGAGATGGTATACAACTAGCGAGGTGCATGGCGTCGAGTGTATTCTCATAGTCGGCAAGGATAAAGAGAATAACATATTTTAATAAGATTGCACACAAAAGATAACTCTACTAACAAGCTTTTATTTGGTTTTGTCAACCACCGGAAAACAAGAGCAAGGCTCGCTCACAGAAATTTTGCTCATTTCGCTGACGAATTCATTGACCATATATGTCGGAGTTAGGTTATGAACTCGGAGCAAGGTTATTAGCTGACACCACAGCTCCCCTCAGCCAGTCAGAGGGCCAGAAATTCAATTACTGTGCTCCAATTTATACCCAAAGGGTTTAATCCCTTATTCGCTCTGACGAAAGGCTAAAGCTTGAAATGTCAGCTTAGAAACTCGCTTTATGGTGCCTACTTTACATTGTCAACCTAGTTGATAAGACCAAATTTTCTTGTTTATTTACCTCGGACCTTTTGCAATGTCGATTGTTTTACGTTCCACTTGGAAAATATATGGGGCACCAGGCTAAGCTATGTTTTGAGCGATACGGTCCGCTGGAGAATTCAAGCAAATGCAAATGTAAAATCAGCGGCAGCATT